TTTAGCCGCTTATTTATAATTATTTAAAAAGCTAATAGGCTAGAAAGTAAAACTTGCTATAAAAGTAGTTACTTTTTTAGTGTTATTTAATTCTAATATAATATAGTTAATAGAATTATTAAAAGTACTTTCTAGTATAATAAATAATTTATTACTAGTATAATTAATACTATTAATTAATCTAACCTTAAAGTATATATTGCCTAATAATATAAAAGTTTATAGTTTATTAAATAATATAATATAAATTTTTAAAGTAGTAGAAAAATATCCTAATATCTAAATCGATTAAAGTTAGATAATTAATATTCTAAAACTAGAATATATACTAATACCTTTAATCTTTAATACTAACTTAAAATTATAATAACTTTATTTATTAAAACTAAAGAATAAAAAAGTTATTAATAAAACCTATAATAAGCTTTATTCTTAAAAGAAAAGAAAATAATTAAATTAACTAATAGAATTTAGCTATCTAGTTTTTATTATATAGTATAATATACTAGATAGTCTTAAAAAAAGAATTATTATTAATATTTATAGGTTAAATAAAATTATTAAGGTTAATATTTATTTGCTACTACTATAGTCTAATATTATTAATCTTATTATAGGATATTTATATATTAATATTATTAATACTTTAGCGTAGTTTTACTAGTTTTTTATTTAGTTTAAAAATTACTATAAATTTATTATTATTTTATATTATAGTTAGGAATAATTAAATATTTATTTAATAAAGTATAAAGGGTTACTGCCCTATATATAAAGGTAGATAGATAAACTATTTAAAAAACTTTAAGGATTTATAAAAGTATATATAAATAATATTATTATATATTCTAAAATACATAAAGAATATTTAGCTTATTTCTATTAATTTTTTTTACTTTACTAGAAATTATAAATTATACTTAGTCTTAGGAAATTATATTTAAATTATCTATTACTTATTATCCTTAAATAATATATTAACTATTTTAGTTTAATAATAATTATAAATAAGATTAAAGTAATATAGGGGTTAAAATTTCCTAGGATATTAAAAAATCTAGAATATTATCTAAGTTTAATAAGCTAATTAAAAAGTTTAATCTATAGCTACTCTTAAAAGGTTTAAATACTTTAAAATTGGAAAACAATACTAATAAAATAGCTTAAAACAAAAAGAACTAGATAAAAGCATTAGAGTATAATAGTTTTAGTTATAACCTTAATATATTAAGAACTTAAGTTATTTTAGCAACTTTAAAAAGCATTTTAGGAGCTAGTATTTTTTATTTTTTATAACTTTTTAAAATGTTTATATATTAATATTAATTTATTTAAAGTATAAGGCTTTACTATTATACTTTATTATATTAAAAATAACTTAGGATTAGAAAAGTCTTTTTTACAAATATTAGTTTAGCTAATAATATTCTTAAATAAAAACTTAAATAATATAGAAAAATAATATTAGCTTATAGAATTAGAAATAGCTAGAATTATATAAATTTTAAAAAAGATATAGTATATAGTAAAGTTGACTTTAAAAAAACTAATAGTTATTTATACTAATTATGCCGCTATAGTAAATATTGTTTATTAAATAAGCTTTATTACTTCTAGTATAAATAAGCTAAACTTTAAGCTAGTTAAAGCTTTTTAATATTTATTAAGTTTTAATATTAATATTTAATATAAGCTAAGTAAGTCTAATATTATTCTAAATATATTATTATACTTAGAAAGATTAGCTAAAAGTACTTTTAATAAAACTAATTATATTAAAGAATTAAAAGCACTTTATACTATTGCTTTTAATAAACTATTTATTATAGATAAGCTTTATATATTCTATATCTTTTTTGTTGAAATATTTAATAATTTTAAATAGAAATTAAAAAATATATATAAAAGTAATAAAAAATAGAAGAAAATATTAACTCTATTTAAGTCTAAGAATAATAATAATAAAGAGGTATATAATATTAATATTAAATTCTAGATATATAATAATCTAATCTATAAAATTAATAATAAAAAAAGTAAAAAGCAGCTTTATATTTCATATTCTTTAAAGTAAAATATTTTTTATTTTACTTATAATTTATCTAGTTATAGTAGTTTTTATTATACTTATAACTATATATTTTTATTATTTTTTATCTATTAGCTTTATAAGCGATTAAAGAACTATCTTTCCTATTATCCTAAATACTAGTTTTATTAAATAACCTACTATTTGCTATATAGATAGCTATAGCTAATAGATATACTAGTAATTTTATTCTTTACTATTACTATAAACTTTATTATAAACTTGCTAGAGTTTAGACTAAATAAACTTAATATATTCTTTATTTTAATATATAAGTTTTTAAAAAAAATACTTTTAATTACTAAGAAGAAAAACTAGTTAGCTAAATAGTAGGCTAATATTATATTAAAGGAGTTTCTACTATAAGATTAAAAAATCCTAGGCTACTTTATCTTAGACTATAATATATAGTTTATATTGTTGTTTTAGTATATAATTTTCTAAATGTTAAGTATAGAACTATTTATATTAATAGTGTACTACTTTTAAACTAATAGTTAATTAGAAAAAACTAATTAAATAATTGAAATCGCTTTAAGATTCTATTACTTTTAATTAGACTATATTAACTAGGTCAATATTCTCCTATTTATTAGTACTTTATTTAATAATTCTATTTATTTAATAATGAATTTCGCCTTAAATAAAATCGTCTATAGCTTTAAAGTAAAGGATATTATAAATCTATTAAATAATTTATTATTAAAAGATTTTAATTAGCTATATTTAATTAAAAAGGAAAAAGCTAATAATATATTTTTATTTGCAAATACTATAATAAAAGTTCAATATAATTAACAATATATTAGTATTGATTTTTATTTTAATAATAGTATTTATTTAATATTATATAAAAAATATATAATTCTAAGCTTTTATAATTATAAACTAGGGCAACAATAGGTTAAACTTTTTAAAGTCTTTAAAAAGGTTAGTAAAATAGTATATTAACTTAAATTTCCGCTTATAATAAATATCTACTTTATAGTATTAGTAGCGTAGCTAGAAAAAATATTAATATAAAAAAGAATCCCTATAAATAAGTATGTTAGGAAAAGATACTAGTAATTAAAGTTAAAGGTTTTAAAGAAAACAATTAATATAAAATAGAAAAGCTTTTAAAATATAAGATTTATTATAATAAGTTTAGCTATTTTATAAAATAAAAAACATTTAGGTATAAATATAATATCTAGTACTATTAGGATAATCTTATTAAAGGAGCAAAGGATCTAGTAGATAAATATAATACTGCTTACCTAATTAATTAAATTTTAAAGTAATACTAAATCGATTAAATTCTAGAATAATATTAGATTAAACTACTTTTAATATAGCGACGAAGGCGCGGTCGACCGCGCTAGTTATAATAATCTAAAAGTACTTTTTAATATAATTAATAATAGATATTCTTTTTAAATATTAATATATACTAGTATTTTATATAATATAGTATAGTATAGAAATAGTTATTATAGCTATTAGAACTTTTTAATTAGTATCGATTATTATCTAGATTATATATTAACTTAAGTAATATATATATCCGACGCGGACGTTAGTCTTTTTTCGTTCTTTGTAGGCATTGATAGGGAGAGCAGTTTTAGTTGTCTGGAACTAATTCCGCTCTCGCTCTTAGCTGCATCTTAGATTAATCTTAGATCTTAGTAGTTTTAAATAATAATAAGATTACGATTCTAGACAATATATCTATAACTAGTCTATTTTGGGCTATACTTTGCTGCACTGTATTAGAAGTATATTTCTAGTAAATCTATATATAGGAATTTTTTTATATACGTAGATATAATGATTAAACTTATATAGAATAAATTTAAAACTTGACAATCTATTTTTTATACTATGAATATAAAGCAAATAAATTTTTAAATTAATTAAGCAACACTAGAGACTACTTAGTTCTTTTCCTAAAAAGGTTAGAAATATACATCATTCGAAAAAGCCCTGAGTAGACGCCCAGCTTCAAAGTCCCTAGGACTTTGCTCTCGAGGTCTTACGCATTTTGAGTCACATTATCAAAGATCGAACTCGAGCCTTTGCAATTCGATCTATTGATGTGCAGTGAGTAATATCGATTTATTTGTATATTTCATTTCAGTAGACTAGCCTCTGTTGTCAATCAAGTAGGATCAGGGAGCTTCAGCGATCCAACTAATCTCAATCGCTGATAAAACTAATGACCGGGGCCTTTCCATCGCCTCGTCGACCACGACTCTCACGAAATCCAATTCTTCGAGTGATGGTTCATCATGTTGTTGCTAACTTGTTGAGACGCATGAGTTATGGCCCTCTTGATGTACTCGTGCGTCTTGCTGAACAGTCCATGTCGATTTATCTTGTTACCTATTTCAGCGACCATAACCACCTCCATCCTAGACCTGAATTTTTGTGGGACTCATAGATGTGAAACGTCTGTTCCGGATACTTTTCCATGGCTTCATTGTCCTTTCTGATTCGTCTGCGTTACTGATCAGTTGATCAAAGGCTCTCATCTACTTTTGAGAAAGAAAACCCCAGACTTGCCGAGCGGGCAATGGAGAATGTCTAGAGCAACCTCTCAACTTTTGCTCGTCTTGCGCAACGAAGCTAAGTGGCTCCCTGTTTCTCCAACGTGTAAGCATCTGTCGCGGTACGGCAGCTCCGAGACTGAGAGGGCAAACAACATGTCCCCACGGAAAAACTGTCGTTCCATGCCGTCAGTTGAAAACTAATGATCGCGGAGCGCAAAATCTAGTTGCTGGAACCTTTTGCCTCAATTTGTTGAAATGGCCAAGATGGAACTCTCCTCTTCGGGACAAGGTGAACTTGAAGCCTTTCAGTCCAACTTCATCGAGGTCATTGAGACTATCTGCAAGTTCTCCACAATGTCTTTGCGGTTTGAAGGTTGCGCTTAATTGCTATCAGTGATCTCATCAGTATCGCTGCTCAAACTAGCATCATCCTCATCCTCATCCTCCTCTTCCATCTCAACATCGCTCCCTTCAATAGGCACTCCCATATGCCTTCTTCTCTTGACCTCATCAATCTTGATTTCTCTAAGACGCCGTCGTTTCTTTCTAGCCGCTTTGATCTCATCCTCCTGCTTTCGTCTCCAACTAGCTCGCTCCAATTCTTTCATTCTCTCTTTCGTCGATTGAAGCTGCTGAGCTATCGATGTGTTCTGTTTCTTGAGCTCTATAGATGTCTCAGAATCTTGACCAAAGCCACTGTCGTCTTGAGCGACTGTTTCAGCCAAGTATTCTTGCAGAAGACCTGGTAAGAAAGATGGCTGGGTAAGTTCCTCGCAGAAGCTGTTGTAATCTGTTGCATTTGTGGCCGGCAGGTCTGTGCATAATTGAACCGAGATATTGTAGTCTTGAGGGATTCCTGTTGTCCCGCGATTCGTATCCGTCACATTCTCGTATCTTGGCTTGACAACATTGTGGAGCTTCAATGACTTCTTGGGTAAATTTAGAAAGCCGATTGGGGGTAGCATCTTTAGGTTCGTGACAGGAGCCGCAAAATCTGCAATCTGTCTGTATCGTCCGCTTGAAATATCCCAAGAAAGAATCTTTCCGTCTTCGTGTCCAGAGAGAATGAAAGTTCCATCGTAGCTCACTGCCAAACACAGTGCTGAGGATTTATGGTCTCCTTTAGTCGTCCATACATCTGCTTCCAATAACTGTGTAGGCGTATATTGCTGACTACGGTCGTGAAGTGGATGGACAAGGGATGAGCCCTTGTAAAAGTCGATGATCTGTAGATTGCCATCTTCGTATCCAACGTACGCAGCTCTACCAACAGAGTCCAGGTCTACACACAGAGGCAGATTCGGCAGTAAGTAACTGTGTAGCATTGTTCCCTCATGGTAGTCCCACACAAAACACTTTTGGTCCCTTGCTAAAGAAACTGCAATGTCATTTCTACTGGCACTGTGCCCAAACACCAGGGAGGTGAGGGCGGCACGATGCTGAGAGAAAGTACGTGATGGAGAAAGAGATACATCACGATCAAAGTAGTCTGAAGGAAACGACAGCAATTTGGGGAGCGACCAGAGATGAACATTCTGATCATCTGACCCAGAGAGAATGAAATTGGAGGTTATATCAATGGCAAGGCAATTGACTTTTTGCAGATGTTGCTGGCCAGTAAAGACCTGTCTTCCTGAAGCAAGCTACTTACATTAGAGACATCGTCGGAAAGGGATCGTACATAGGACCGACCTCCCAAATGATGAGTCTCCCTTCGTGAGTCCCAATTATGAGGATACCTGCTCCCTTGCTGTGGCCAGCAAGTGCGATGCAGCTGATCTTCTCTGGAAATGGCACGACCGCTTCTAAAGTATTTCGCTCTCGATTGTAAACGTGGATGGTAGCCTTATCGGACTGAGCTGCAAAAACATGAGAATCACTGACGGCAAGACAATTTGGCTTGCTGAGGCTTTTTTGAACGTAGATTTCAAGCCGGGTTGAGGCTGGAAATCGTGGAAATGGATTCCAATAGCTGTTCGAGTATTTGGTTTTTCTGGATTCTCGGTCGCTGCTACGAATGATTCCCTTAGCATTTTGTTCGGTAAATGGACACATAAAGCGCTACGTGTGGTGTCTAGCCTGGGATGAGGAAAAGATAGATCTAAAGCCACGCTAAGGCCGGCTTCGATTACTAGCGTGCGGCTTCATCACCTTTGGATCTTAGAGCACGGACGAACTACCAACCTCGGCAGGTACAAGGCAATGGTGGCTTTGATCACGCCCGTAGAGTTACGACAGATCGCAAATATGGCAGGGTTGGTGGAATGCCATGATCGCAGAGTGCAGACGACTGCGTGTCTTACTCCCTGTATCCGCACCATGAATTGAAGTCTGGACAGAAGCTCCACAGGCCCTAGCGCTGATGCAAAGCTCTGTCTCTACCCAAATTCGCCCTCATACTCGAACGTTGGCCTTCTCCTAGCGGACAGATATGGCTATCGATCCCGGACAAAAGTATTCTGTCGTAGACACCATTCGCCAATCACCTCCTCTAGACCTCTCTACGCCTGTGGATGACGCTTGGGTGAAAGACAAGACTATACTCATCACAGGAGGGGCAAGTGGTTTTGGTGAAGGCTTTTTCAGGAGATGGGCGGCAGGAGGCGCAACCGTAGTCATTGGGGACATAACCGTGGAAAGGGGTGACAAATTGGTTAGAGACGTTGCTCGGGAGACTGGGAACAAGAACCTACATTTTCTCCATTGCGATGTCACAGATTGGCAGAGTCAGGTTGACTTCTTCAAAGCGGCTGTCAAAATTAGTCCTCATAAAGGCATTGATTGTGTCGTTGCAAACGCCGGCAAAATCGATACGAAAGGCACCTTCGAAAACCCACGGGATCTCGATTCATTGACTCCACCAACTCCGGCATTCGGTGTCTTAGACGTCAATTTGAAAGGCGCCATGTATACCACTCATCTTGCCCTTTTCTGGCTGCCTCGAAATCCAAGCTCAATAGCTGCAAGTCCCACGTCTGATCCCGTCAACACAAAGAGAGACCGTCACTTGCTCTTCATATCTTCTCTCGCAGGCATAGGCCCCATACCTGGCCAGACAGAGTACACCGCATCTAAGCATGCGCTCGTGGGTCTCTACAGGAGTCTCAGAGCTACAACATTCAGGCACGGTGTCCGCATCAACATGCTCTGTCCATCTCATATTGCTACTCCTCTACAAACGGCTCCGTTACGTATGTTGCTCGCTGGTGGATCCATGGGCGAATGCGATGATGTAGTCGAGGCTGCCACACGATTTGTGGCAAGCCCTCAGATTGTAGGCAGAGCATTATTAGTGGGCCCGAAGATGAGCGTTGAGAGCGACAGCGATGGTCACTGGAGCTGGAGTGATAAACAGACCGGTGAGGAGAGAGCAATGATGGAGATCTTTGCGCATGATTGGGAAGAAACAGAGACCTCACAGAGGCGGGTCATCCGAGCGCTCAACAAGGTGGTTGAAATCAAAGGCTGGACTGGCTGGTTTGTGGATGTTCTCAAGGCCATTCGGTATGGGTTGGGTTTTTGATCTTGTAAGTGAGCAAACGTGTGAACGCATAGCCTTGAGGCATTCCAGTTTGAAAAGGAAAGAAAATGTGACGAAGTTCGTTCCTTGCCTTTCCGAATATAAAGTTTGAAAGCATGACGTCCCATGCATCCCATCATGTTCAATATATGTCAGTGATAGTGGGGCATGGCGACCTGAGTGTTGTCGGTGATTGCTGAGTGCGGGAAAGGCGACCACAAATCTCTGGCCTACAGTATCACAGCATAGTAAGAATATGGCAACAATTCGAACACCATTTGGCTCACTGCCCTCTACGCCTTCTGAAAAGGCAAGTAATCAATCTTTTTGGACGCCCGCTCCAAAACAAATTCCATGGACTGCGAGCCCAGCTCGCAGAAGATCCTTTTGGAGCGTGACACCTCGAAAGGCTTTCTTGGCTTTCTGCATACTGTTCGGCGTGATACTTTTCAATAGCCTGTTGGTATGGCTGAATGGCTCTGCTGTGGGTGTGGTAAAATTCTTATTAGATTTTTAACTAATGTGCACGAAAGCCTCGTCGCCCTGCCTACCTTACACAGGAATCTTCCTATAATACCACCGTGCTTTCAAATGCAGCTTTTCAGCCACCAGAATCATTACCTTACCGCTATCCAGATACAATCGACACCTTCTCCACATACAAATACCGCAACACGTGCAACATCTCCTCGCTCGACCTTCACTCTCCGTTCGCCCCTCTCTGCAATGACCGTAGATCCCTACTCAACGCCATGTCTGGCGGCGGACGCATTGGCTTCGACGCCCCCTACATGCCTCGAGGCTGCGACATGCGATGGTTCTCCACCGAAGAGATCTGTGAAATTTTATCCCGGTTCGAGAACGTCATCATCATCGGTGACAGCATGATGAGACACGTCATAGGTAGCATCAACGTGTTGATCAGGAAGGATTTAGGATATGGGGCCGTGACTGATTGGAATTTTTCGCCGGAGGAAAGGTTTGCTCTTGCTGCAGGTATCAAATTACAAGGGTTGTGAGAGCTGATTTCCAAGATACATAGACGCGACTGTTTCTGCAATTACCAATTCAACGTCAAGGCTTGCTCGATCCAAGGTATCTTCAAGACTGCCGACGTCGTAAAGAACGACCCAGATAGCGTCGTCTGCCCGCCCAACACCATCGAGGTGATGATTGAGCAAATGATCAAATTCCCTATCCCGCCCGAGGAACTGTCCCGCTTGCATGACCTACTTCCTGCTACAAAGCCCAAGCGCCCTTACGCTTTCATCTTTGGCCACGGTCTCTGGAATGATCTGGACTTACAAGCCACGCTCTATTGGCTTGATTTAATTCTAGACAACATTAAGGAGAAAGCTCACTGGCTTGCTCCTAGCTCTGGTTCCCAGTCAGCCAAAGCAGGCGAGGGCAAAAGATATGAAAGAAAGCGTGATAAAACTTTCTTTCCGAAATTGTTCTTGACACCAAATGCGTCAGGGCGGGAAAAGCCGGATGAGTGGTTGGTGAGTCAAGGGAACAAGGCACTGATGATTTTTGAAGAGAGTGTGGGGATTGAAGTGGAGAGGAGAGGAGTGGAACATCTGGGAACCTGGAACATGAGTGCGCAGAGTAATAAGTTCGATGGAGTGTGAGTCGATATTCTGTCTACCTGATCGAGTTGAGGACAAGCATTACATTGGCTGACTCAAGAGTAGACACGTTGACCTCAGAGGCAATCTTATAAAGGCGATGATGGTGCTGAATTGGTTGAACATGTTGAAGGTGGAGGAATTTTGAGGTGCCTTGGGGGTGGAATATTTGACGCCCGCCCAAATCGCTAAACAGAACGATCGTGACTTATCACTGCCGGCATTGATGATCTGGACTTAATAGTATGGACGAGTCAATTCGTTCGCAGAAAAGTCATCTTCGTCGTCTTTCAGTTAGTTACAGCCGAAGGCGGCCTGCTTTCGAAATCTTTTAACAAGGGCTATTATTTAAGACTTATCATTACCTCTCCTCCTCCTCACCAACTCTTTCGTAACCTCTGGTACCCCTTTTCATTCGCTCGGCCAAGCCCATTTCACCAGCCTTCCTCTGCATACCCGTGACAAAATCTCCTTTCCCGCCCGCCTTCCCGCTCCTCGCTCTTAATCTGTCCTCTTCTTCCCGAGCCCTAGCTTCCTGTTCCTGAATATCCCTTAAGCGGCTAGCACGGCTGATGTCTAGTTCACGAGCGTCTGACTGCATTGCTGCGAGTCTAGCCGCTCGTTCCTCTGCTGAGACAGCTGCTCCGTTCTGCCGTCCATGCTGATATTGGCGATGCCGGGATGGTGGAGGAGAACGAGAACGAGAACGAGATGGAGAGGATGTGTTCCTTCTTTTCCTGCCGTAATCAATTGGGCTGTGTTTACGTGCTGGAAATGAGCGGCTGTGGTGCAGGCGGTTGCCATTAGTGTGTCCATTTTGGTATGAAGACCGTTGTGGTGGAGAGCGTGACCGGTCCGAGTAAGAGGGGGAGCGTCGGCGGTGGTGTGTTGATGGTGAGTGCCGTCTGGCATATGGAGATGGTGAGCGTGAGGAGGAAGTTTCGGAGTGTCTTCTATGGCGATGGTCATGACGGCTTCTCGCGTATCGATCAAAGTCATCATATGAATGCTGGCTTCGGTGGTGGTCTCTGGATTCATCCCGCCGTCTATGGTGACGGTGATGGTGCGTGTGTTTCTTTCGGTTTTTTTCTCTCGACCTTGGAAGCTCTTTCCCGGCTGCTTTAAGAAGTAGACGTCTCTTTACGGGGTCGTTCATGACCGCTTCATACTCCGCCTGCTCTTGTTTCTTAATGGCTAACAACGGATCATCCTGCACTTTCCGAGCTGTATCTCTGACATTGTTGGCATTCTGTTGCCCCATGAAACTCTCCTCCCCTGCATTCTTCTCCAATTGTTTATGCTCTGTTCCCTTGACCAAACCATCGATCCTTCTCTTTCCCAGCAGATACCCTTCCATCTCCTCGGTGGTGCCATTTTGCCCCGCTGATGGACCACTATACATCCAGTCGACCTTTACTTGCTTCCTTGGGCCGCCCGCTGCTTCCTGCATTTCTTGTAATTCTTGGATCTGCCGCTCCTCTTGTCGTTCCTTCATCACCTGTTCGATTCGTTTTCGCTCCTCGAGCGCCTTTTTTTCTTCCTCCCATACTCGCTTTTGATTGCTCATAAGCACCGGGTGCCATGATTTCTTGAGATTGAGATTTGCCCCCCATATTGCTGGTCTTTTGCTCACAGTTGTCCTGGGTGACTTCGAGCGTGTGGTCCTAGAGAGCTGACACGTTCCTTGGTGTAGCGAAAGGTTTCATAGGGAGTGGATGCGTTATCGCGGAGATAAGAGCGCCCGCGTCCTATCGCCGGGGAGCTTGAGCAAGAAAAGGTCTCTAAATGTTCACAACATCTTACGCATGTAACACGAGCTTACAACGACTAGCCATCAAGTTCGAAGCTGAAACCTCTCTTGAATCAGCGGAGGAATCATACAGCATGTCTGACGACGAAGATGATTTCATGCAAGACTCGGATCAGGAGCAGTAAGGGAAACTCTCTCGAAACGAAATCTCACTGACGCAGTCAAGATATGACTTTGAATATGAAGATGACGAAGAGGAGGAGACTGGCGATGTCGGTATCGAAAACAAATATTACAACGCCAAACAGATGAAAGCAGAGAATCCAGATGAAGCAGTGGAGGAATTCCTAGGTTTGCCTGATATGGAGGACGAGAAGGGAGACTGGTTTGCATCTACAATCCAACAACAAGTGACTTGAATGACAGGAAATGCAGGGGTTTCAAAGGATTAAAGCAAGCCACCAAGCTTGAGTTCAAGCTTGGTAAATACAACGATGTATGTCCGCCGTCCGGCGCAGATACTATACAATACTGAATTTCCGTTCATACAGGCAGTCAAACACTACACAGAGCTTCTGACATATGTGAAGTCCGCTGTGACTCGAAATTATGCCGAAAAGTCTATCAACAATATGCTCGATTTCATTGAGAAAGGCGCGGATGACGAAAAGGCCTACCAGTGTATGGAGAAATTCTATTCCAAAACCCTCGATTCATTTCACAGCACCAATAACGAGCGGTTATGGCTCAAGACTAACATAAAACTCTCAAGGCTGTGGCTAGACAGGAAGCAGTACGCTCAGCTGATTAAAAAAGTCCGCGAATTGCATTCAGCTTGTCAAAAAGAGGACGGAACGGTCGACCCTAGCAAAGGAACATACGCGCTCGAGATTTACGCTCTAGAAATCCAGATGTATGCGGACACAAAAAACAACAAGCGACTGAAAGCGCTCTATCAGAGAGCGCTAAAAGTTAAATCTGCCGTTCCGCATCCCAAAGTGATGGGTATCATCCGAGAATGTGGCGGCAAGATGCACATGAGTGAAGAAAATTGGAAAGAAGCTCAGATTGACTTTTTTGAGTCATTTCGCAATTATGACGAGGCCGGGTCGCTGCAGCGAATCCAGATTTTAAAGTACCTGGTACTAACGACCATGCTGATGAAATCTGATATCAACCCATTCGAGTCACAAGAGACTAAACCGTATAAAAATGATCCACGAATATCGGTTATGACAGATCTAGTCGATGCTTATCAACGAAATGAGATCCAGACCTACGAAGCTATTCTTCAGAAGAATAAAGATCTCCTCGAGGATCCATTCATAGCTGAGAATATTGATGAAGTCACGCGTAGTCTTCGTACGAATGGGGTACTTAGGCTAGTCGCGCCATATACTCGGTTCAGTCTTGATTTCATCGCGAAGCGACTTCAGATCTCAGTTGCAGAAGTTCAAGATATCGTTGGGTACTTGATCGTAGACAAGAAGCTAGATGGCAGAATCGACCAAGAAAAAGGCATTGTGGAGATCAACAACCAATCAGATGCTCAGCGCACGCAAGCTTTGGAAAATTGGACCAACGCGGTTGACAAGTTATGGAAAGCCGTCCTCCTCGAAGGTGACGGCTTCAGGGCTGACGAATCGCAATCTTGGGGAGGAGGCGGAGGGTCAGGCATGCCCGCCATGCTAAACACGAGTGGAAGGGGAGACGGAGGATTCGGTTACAGCAAGGCTAAGATGAGTGGGAAAAAGACTCAGGGTGTTGCTGGATCGAGGTTTCGCTTTGACACCAAAGCATGAGGGGATTTTGTTTCCTGGAACATTCTAGTTTGCTCTGACAGAACGGCCCTGTGAAGCCGGCACCGCTTGGCTGCAGGGGCTGGCTTGAGACACTTGCCACCTGATCTGGTTCAGTAAGGGTCGGCTTGTTCGACGGCATGACGGCCGTTGACCCTTGGAGGAAAGAGCCGTGCCTCCGGTCCAGCAACGCCATGGCATAGCGTTCGGGGAAAAGGCCGATGGACGGTCAAAAAGGGGTGTCTGGTCTGGACGAGCTGGTGGATACTTAGCCGATGGAGGGTAGTGAGGGAAGGATACTACCATCTAGAATCGCAAGCCACCCGCTCATACATAGAACCTAAATCTCGGACAGAAGACAGCACATTTAGCCTCCGCAAGCATCCTTTGACTGAGCCTAACATGCTGGTCACCCGTGATTGATCGTCTTCCCCATCCAAGCGTAGCCGTCTGCTAGAAGTGTAGGGCCCCTTTCCCTTGTAGATTGGTAGGTCCAGAGCAGTTCTAGAAACAGTGGCAAGTTGAAGCTAGTCATTGCGTGCATCGGATAAGGCTCAAAATGCGGGAGAGCATCCTGTACGATTTCATATGTCCGTACCGGTATTTGTTAGCTGGTTGAAAGGGCGCAGCTAAAGTCAGGGACGAGGTAAGCTAGCAGCAGAGGATCGGCACTTCTCAACGTTCGAAATTGAGGTGCTCAACTCTGGAATCTGATCTGTCAATTGTAGGAGTGAGTGAATCCTTGAAGTATCAATTACCACGTGAGGAAAGCGCGACCAACGGCTGTGGAAGCAGGAAAACGTCTCGAGGTCGAATTGTCTGACCGTCCCATCCAAGCCTGGACTTGTGATACCTGGGACAAAGCTTCGAATCTGCGCCAATTCATAACCGCAGACGTACTCTCGTGGCAGATCTTCGCTTTGCATCCTGCAGCCCTGACGAATCACATCGTCCAAGTCTGGGAAGCTGCAATATCTGAACCTTGCCACTTGCCCATTTCTCTCGTCTAGATTGATAGCCTTCGCTTAGGCAGTAGTTTCTCTGGAACGGTAAAGAAGATTTTCAAATTTCTGCTTCAGACCCTTCTGAACGGCTTCTTAATGATATCTGCTCAGTTCTCGGGGCATTGTTTTTCTTAGCCTTCAACCACCCTTTTGCTCCAGCCAGCTTCGGGAAAGCATGGCTACTCAGGAAGAGCTGGCCGAGATGGAGCGGCTATCCTCAGCTTTTGTCCCTGACCAGAAGGTTAGGCTGCACCGAAAGAGGCCTAGGTGTGTCTGACCAATACAGGGTGACCTGGTCGGCGTACGCATCTCGAGCCAGAGACTGACCGAAGAGTATGCCAAAGCAGACCCAGTGTATGCTAGTAAAACCAAGGTGCATCAAGTACCCGGCTCTGTTGGTCGAGTCTTTTCTCATCCTTATTAGAATCTACCAAATACCTACCCTGAATATCGTGTCATCAAAGGAGACGGGAATTGCGGTTTCCGTGGTGAGTAACAAATATGCTTTCAACAGTGCAAGTCAAAACTTCGGACTAATCTGAAAATACAAAAGCCATCGCGTTTGGCTACTGTGAGGCGCTCCTTCGAATCGGGGACGCAACCAAGATACGAGCGGAAATTGAGAGACTTAAGACTTTGAACAATCTTCTCGAAGCCACGGGGCAGCAGGAATTCATGTATGAGGATTGGGTCGAGGTGACACTTGAGCTACTCGGAAAAATGGCTGATAATATCTCTGCTTGGAGCAACGAAACAATGCTGCTTCAAGTTTTCAACGACTTGGAGTCCGCCAATGCTATCACACAGCATTTTCGAGTAGGTCCTTTATTTTCTCAAACCGCGGACCTAGAGAGCTGATCATCACCACAGATGATCACGTCTGCACACTTAAAGTTGAATCCCGATGAATACGCTCCCTTCGTGCCAGAAATGGACGTGGAGACCTATTGCAAAAACCACGTCGACCCTTTCTATGAGGAGATTGAACATGTTGGTGTCAAAGCTCTAGTCGACACAATCGTCAATCCAGCAGGCATAGCCATTAGCTATCTCTATCTTGATCGTAGCGAAGGAGAGCAAGCCACGCCTTACTCATTCCCTGTTCTGGATAAGACCGGCGATGAGGTGAAGGATGCGCCAACCATCCGTCTACTGTACCGACCGTGAGTCATACTCGATGGATCGTGCCTATGTTGGCTACTAATGGTTACAGCGGTCATTACGATATGCTCTATCAAAAGGAGGACCTAGTTGCTTTAGCGGGCCCCAACGTTCCTAAATCTCCACCAGTTACTTCGTCGCATGACGATGTGATCGTTCGGACTATCTACGATATCCCTCAGTCACAATTCCCGCAATTCGTCGAGTTCCATGGCCTGCCAGGTTTTGATCCTGATGCTCAATTCAATTTCAACCTTTCAGACACTATTGCGGAGCCTCAATTCGCGCCCCAACAATCTTCAAGTCTCTTGCTGGACGGAGACTCATACGAGAGCCTTGGCACAGCTTGCTTAGACATCCAACCTTCGTTCGAAGAAGGCTGGGCCTTTCCACCCAACTTGAATCAGATCGTCAAACAGGTTCCGCTGAATCCAGCCCCGACGGACTTCAACATTCAACACGTTGAGCAACCTTTGTTCACTTCGTCAGCACCAGATGAACAGCCTATCTTATCTTTAGCTGGATACGAACAGCAGGATACACTCCTCACCCCCACCCAACCATCCAACGATCCATCAGCACCACCAAACTGCCATTATTGGAATCTCAAGAAAGACATCCAATGCTCCGTTACAAACCCGAGCATTAGTAGCACATGCTGGTATTTTACAGCAGCATCAACCCCCAAACAAGGCTGAGACTCTTTATGCTAATCTTCCACTCTTTTCTTTCACCAACAGTCCCCCGCCAATCCCAGAATCATTTCAGCCCACACCGTTACCAAACTCCTTACCGAAAAGGAAATCCCCGAATACGCACGCGCTAGCAGATTTTAGGAAGGGGAGGGACTTCGAACCTATTGTTTGTACTGGTGAGCAGATGACGGGAAGGGGGAAGAAGACAGATAGCAAGCGATGAATGACACTAATGAAATTTAGCATTGAGAGAGGACGTGAAAGTGGAAAGAGGACAAGGAGTGGTAGGGATGAAGGACAGCTGGCTTCGAAATCTAAGCTGAGCGTGATTATCGAGTATTGTATAAGGGGAGAAAAGCAAACTCAATCGCACATATGCTTCACTGATTGAAGAGCAGATATCAAATATCATTATTGCTTTGTTGACTCTATACTTCGCCTCTACGTCCAGATTTCCTCACATCGGAAGCATTTGCCTTTTTTCACATGAAGCCCACAACAGATCATTCGTACTTCATTCCACCTCTCTCTTGTTTCCACCGTTGGCCCATCTGACCTTCCTGGTCGTGAGAGCTTCACCTTTCTGTTATTCATGAGAAAAGTAGTAGCACCTAGGCACCGTCGATAGCATGGAAGAAAGTCACTCCATCGTTCTCTCTCCGCTTCTCGCTTCATGCTTCCACGTCTTTTCGAACCAGTCTTGCACCTTACGTACTTTCCCATCGCGCTCCCTTCGTCCTATTTATCATCCATCTCTGCCCCCTGGTGCCCCTTCCACTCCCTTCGCTAAGCTAAGCTGAGCTGCCTCAGAGACACGATTGCTGTTCAGGAATATTAACACGAGCAAACGAACGAAGGAAAAATGCAAAACAATGAAAGAATTTGAAGAAGTGCGTTTATAAGTCATGTTATATACATATCTAGATCCCCCCCCAAGATGTTCGTGTCCTTCACCGTGTAGTGTATACATATTGATCGATCGATCGTTCCTAGAAATAAGCAATGCATTTCTTTCGCTTGCTTGCTGATGCATTCATGATGCCAACGCCTTCTCCCCTAGCCAGTGTTACAGATGAATGAAAGGACCGTCTGGTCGTATGTATGTACGTACGTGTACATGTATATGACCCACTCGAAAACGACAATTGCGAAAATTTGCAAAGAAGGGGTATCAAAGCTACCAAACGACCAATCAATCGACCAATTAAAGCCAAATCCGGTCCTGAAAATCATACAGTCCCCCCCTTTCCCCCAAAAAGTGTCCCATTTCCAAAACCCACCGTCAGCGCCCCAAGATCGACCGTGAGACCCTGACTCCCCAGACTCTGCTGCCCCGTCTCCACCGTACTGTTAGCAGGCGGATCGTCCCCGCCGAGCAAAACATTTATTTTCGTCATCGCGGTGGTGGCTTGGCCTAGATCCCCCGTCTCCTGCAAGACGAAGAGGACAGCCGTGCGAGCGAAGTCGAGGATCAGGGGCGTGATGGGTTTCGTGGACATCGATGGCGTGTTGTCGGTAGGGGAGGAGGCGAAGGTTGGGCTTGAAGAGGCGGGCGTCGTGCCTGTCTCGCCTGGGGCCGTGCCGGGGGCGAAGACGATGCCGTTGGAGGATTGGGCGGAGGCACGGGCGCGGAGGGTTTTAGATTTGGAGGGGTGGGATACGAGGGTGGGGCTGTCGTCGAGGGGGTCTTGGTCTTCTGAGTGAGGGTGGAAGAGGGACTGGAGGAGAGAGCGTTGCTTCCGCCGCCTCCGGGCTTTGGGTTTTATGGATTTGGAGTTGAAGGTTATGAGGGCGTTTTCGTTTGTGCAGGTTTGGTTATTGTAGTTGAAGAGGGCGGCTATGCGCCAGCCGGAAAGAGTGATGGAAAAGTTGGCTTGTGCGGCTTCGAGAATGCGGGGGATGCTGAGACCAAGAGTTGCGTCGGGGTAATTGAACACTGGGGATGTGGTAGAGTTTTGGACTTGGATACTGGTTGTTGTGCAATCGGTATCAGGATCTTGGTTGCAGGTGGCGCCTGTATGTCGGCCGGAGCAGATGCAATGGCATTGTTTGTTCAAAACAACGGAAACTCCGCCGTTCAGGCATGCATTACTTGTCTTGCAGCTTTCGGCTGTTGGGTTGGAGGCTTTGTTTTGTTTGGGTATAACGACGAGTGTGACAGGGATGACGACGGCGGCAGCGATGAGCAGTAGGAGAATGATGAGTAGGAGTATGAAGGCCCAGATTGGCATTCCGCAGCACCGACGTCCCCGACGATGAGTCTGCCGAGATCTCGAGGAGCCATAGGTTACAGTCTGAGCCCTTGACAAATTCGATTTGCCATGCGGAGAAGCAGCGCCCCAGCCTACTGGCTTGCTAAATCCAGGTGATGCTGTAGGAGTTGGCGATGGAAAAGCAGCCAGCATATCTGAGATTGACCCGTCCCGTGAGCCTTTCTCATCCCTGTCCCTTCTTTCCATATCTTTCTTGTTCAGCATATCAAGCACGCCGACTCTGCTGGTTGTCTTGCCCCGATCAAGCTGTGTAGCTAGTCGGGTTGCTCTTCTGATGAGCTCTGGCAGGCTCGACTGACTTGATCGACCGGGGGTTTTGTTTCCAGGCTGAGGCTCTAGGTTCAATGGAGGGGGACGCCTACTGCTTCTGTCGTCGACCGAAGGGGCCCTTGATAGCCCTGGTGATGTCCCTCTACTCGACCCTATTGCCCCGCCTTTCTCGAGGTTGCTCATGATTGCACCAATACGTGGGTCGACAGGAGAGCCTTTGGAGGAGCCCGTGTTCAGCGGGAGGGGTTTTGGTACTGGCGGAGAGCCAGATCGAGGCGAGTCGAGGAATGTGGCGTCGCTAGCATAACCTGAGTACGGATGCTGCAAATTTCCCCCACCACGAAAATTGTGCCGTCCAATAGGATCGATGACTCCAGGACCTTGTCGGAATCTCTCATCTTGCCTAGCTTGCCAGTCGAGCTCCCTCCTGCCCCTGCGCCCACTCGAGCTTTGAGATGCTGACTCATCACCGCTTTCTATCGTCTCCATGAACGGCTGTAGGGGTTTTGTCCGAGGAGGTCCTTTCACTAGGTTAGTTGTTTCCCCGTAGTCGCTGTTTTTGGACTGCCGACCACTGCTGTCTTCTGATGGACGCATGCTCCGATCATCAGCTTCCTCTTCGTCCTCCTCTTCTATACCCGTGCCCATGTAGTATTCGGGAGGTCCGTCGCCCCAGCTTTCCGGCACGACACCGCTGGAGGCGTACGAGCTGTGCGGGTCCGACATCTCTTCAGGTATAGGAGGGACGAACGATGTTTGCGAATAATATGACGAAGCGCCTCTTCTTGCAGACGGAGGTGGACCGAGGTTACGACGTAGGGGGGTTTGGAAGCTTGGAGGAGGCATTGAGGGCATGCTTGGAATAGGCGGGAAGTCCGGTATACTGGCGGTTGAAATGCTTGATGTAGTGGTTGGGCGAGATGAGCTGGAATAACCGGAGAGGGTGGCATGACTGTCCTCCCAGTAATTCGTCGAAGGTTGACTTGTTGGGTTCTGGAGCATTGGAGGTACAAAGTTTGGCCGTGGCGGTCTTTGAGGTGGCTGTCGCTGAGGCTCCGTTGGTGAGACTGGAGACGATGATTTTGGGGGAGTTTTCTGGGGAGATCTTCGCGGAGAAGGTCTGAGAGGGCTGATGGAGCCTTGTTGACTCATTGTTGGTAGAGGAGGAGGATCTTCCAAGCCTAAGCCAGCGGCAGCTCGCTCTCTTGCTCGCTTCACCGACCCGCCTGGACTTCTTTCAATATTCGTCCTTTGTCCGTCATCGTACTGCCATCTGCCTTCCCGTTCCTCAGACTCCATCTCCTCCCACTTCTCTCAGGTACAGGGTGGTCACACTCTGTGGACTACCTCATGATGTGGCTTTCTGTATCGCTGCTTTCACCTTCGCCCTTCGAATTGATTTGTGCACCGATGATGATCTTGCAAGGTTGTCGGACTCTCCTCGCGGAAAAGGATAAAGATGGCTATGTACAGCAAAAGGTTCGGACAAAGAAGGTTGAACAACCAATGCACGTTGCGGCGTCTAGGCCGGCCCAAAATACGTATAATCTTCAGGCTGGATTATATATCAAAATTAGCTGTGACTGTGCCGGCCATGAGTCTTTATTGGTCTCAATTGGTAAGCGGTTGGCGACGAGGGTCAGTCAACGTCAGACGTATGGTGAGATGCCAGCAGCCGAAAGACGACAGATGGGATGGGTCAGCTAGATCGAGTCGAAGGTGTATTGTTGGACATGCGGGCCAAAGACGCGGCAGAACAAGGGGGGCCGTAATGTTGTCGAAAAATGGGTGGAGGCAGAATGCAAACAGAAAGATCAATTGAAGTCAGATTATGCTATCAAAAGGGCAACAGGGTGTATGCACAAAGCAGAAGCGAATATGTACAAAGTACAGTGAGCATTAAGAAGGAATATTGTCACAAGAAAGTATGGCGATGAATGGGAAAGGCACAGCAGTCTCAGAGTCGCATTCTGGGCCAGCTCTCTGGAAGCTAGTTCTAGCGATGGGTATTTCGGATGTGCAGCTCATTTAGGCGCTTCACACTAGCAGTATTAGCAGTATTAGCAGTATTAGCACTCAATTAGCCTTGAGGATTTCATATTTAGCCCGCACTGGTGAGATTGGCAGTCGTTCCATCTTGCCCTTCAGATAAATGCAGATTGCATATGCAACGTGTGATTGGAAGGTTCATCAGCACTCCACAAGCCGGCGCGGCAGGGTTACCACCGTTTCTCGGCCTTTAACGTGTTTGGGCGAGGGGCTGCAGTCGCCGTCTGCCTTGAGCTCTGAACGTTGAACTCTGAGTCGGAGGGTGTGGCGTGTGGCACCGTGATGATTGATCGTTGATTATTCTCGTGCTTGGTAAAGCTCCAACTTCGTGACACGTGCCATGCCATGCCTCTGCCTTGCTCCGGGCTTTTCTCGTATGGGAAAGTCGTCGTATAGACCTGCCGAGAGGTTCGTTGAAGGAGACCTATTGAGCCTCTGGCGGCTACTCATGTCCGCCATCAGTCAGAGGGAGTTCCATCTTGAAACAGAGATCTGACAAGTCATTCGTTTCAATCCTTCCCTCCTGCAGCCACCTCGCCATCCACGCCATTTACGCCTTCCACCCACCCTTCCATCCGACGGCCAGCATTATTTGGCTTCCGTTCGGAATCTCGGCTCGCGAAGAAATTGATGTTGCCAGAAGAATCGTCTGAGTAATCGGGTTATTCACCTCGTACTCTAGGACAAAAGGTAGATTGTACGACCGGGTTGGACTGCCGCGCGACCTACCTTGATACCCTGTGTCTCCAGCTCAAGCGACTCATGAAGCACATTCCGTTACTTGTGACACCAACGATCCTTCTTGCGCTCTTCGTTTCAAGATTGACCCCGCCCTTCCTTGCCGGCATTCTGGACCGCAAAGTGCCTGGCCAGTTTGGGTGATTCAACTACATCCGAACTCGCTCACTATTCGTCGAACCATTCTCTCCATCCACCTCCCCGCTACCGCTGGGTGCATCGAGAATAGCGTACCTCTTCCTTCCGTCGTGTCAGCGTGGCACAGGTAAACGACCGTGTTGAGATGTCGTTGGTGACTGTAAGCATGAGAGGCGTGCACCTGCACAGCCACTGCCCTGCTTCCCAAAGCGTCCTTCAGCGCCAGATTTCTCTTATTCCGGAATCGCAAAGGGTGCGAGTACTATTCATGTGCAAAGACATTATTATGTTATGATCCTTCCAAAGGCCAACCCAGGGTGGGAGAAGCCGATCGAGCTCCATAGGTCTGCCGAGGGTGTTTTGCAAAAGACGTACTAATTACAAGGCTGTTCGCTGAATGCAATACTTGAATGCTTGCCTACTTGCAACCTCATGCATATTGAGGAGAGCATCGAGGCATCGTCCGAGGGAGTCAGTCGCTTATGCCGCACAGAGCAATCGGCGTCTGGGCAGACCAACATCTTCATCGCGTCCACGAGCTCCCTGAGATGCATGGCTCTCTGGCACAACGAGGTAAGCGAAAGCACTTGAGAGATGCGAGAGATGCGTTCTCCCCCTGCTGCTGAATGGTTGCGCCTTCCTTGCACCCCTTTTCACTGCAGCAACAGAAGATATCTTGTTATGCATGTAAGCTATGTCCAACATTTCGCTTGCTACAAGATTTCCAAAGCTTTCATTCTTGGACAGCGTTACATTCTGCATTATCTGCTCGCAACAATCTACACAGACGACTCCGCATTTCCCTTCCAAACCGAAGACCCCGCCTTGGGCCACCGACGAAGGCCTTTTCGACCTGAAACACCGTTGGATGCAAGGAGGCACAGCATCACAAGCCTTTCGCCACGATGTCGATCCCATCACGGGCATCTGGCAACGGCCGGATCAATGACGCCAGAGACGAGCCTCCACAGGCTGCAAGTAGGTGATCGAAAGCCATGTGTCGACTTCACGCCGTAGCGGCTGATTGTCAGATCCAGAATATCAAATCGAAGGAGGAAGTGGTCTACCAAGCCCCAACCTTAGTATTCTAGATACACTAAATGGGTCACTCGCAAACAGTGCGAGGAAACAAAGGCATCACCCTGATCTCAACAGGCCTGTAGCTAGCCCAAGTCAAAGCGATAGGATTTGGAAGTTATATCAGGATGCGGCGATGGAATTGCATCGCAGGCCTCCATTACGCACGCAAGCCTCGCCTAATTCGAAAAGATCTCGCTTACCCCTAATGCAAGCTCGCAATACAAGGTTTGGTCAGCTAGGTACAAGTGTCAGAAGCCCTTACAGTTACCGGAGTCCACCAAAGTACCCTCAATACGCGTCACCAGGCGAGAACCATGATATTGAAGGCCCTGTGGAGCCATTCAGTAGTGGCTATGCTGCACGCATGACCAGGCCAGATGCCTGGAACCTAGCGGACGACTGCAGTGCTGACCAGGTTTACTCAAGTTCGCCACCAGAACAACAGAAGGCTGACACCAGCTCCGAAGACGGAGAAGGAGGAATACCATTGCCACTATTCAGAGCTGACGCTGACCATGGAGAAACCAACCACGCTGACATTGACGCTTGGCTCACTGGCTTGGAAGGGGCACAGGATCCAAAAACATCTCTACTCAGGGTTGCAGGCTTAGATTCAAGCGTCCCATTCTCAAAGCCTACCGCCACGAGAACGTCCAGCTCCAAAGAGAACATCTCACCGACCTATCGCTTATCCCCACCGCACCCACCAGTAACTTACAGCGCTATCTCCACACCCTCTCGTTTTCGCATCCCCAGCAGACACCGCATAATTTCTCAAACACCCAAGACACCCACTCGCTTCGCCCACCCCAGCACGCCTCACGGCCACCTTTCCCTCCCTCCAAAACGCCGACAACGTCTGCCGACCGCTCCACCTTCCACACCTGTCCCTGTCTATCACTCAGCGTCCAGCAGCGACAACTCCGACCCCCACAAAAAGGGTATCATTGTTTACCCATCGCTCAAACCTGATCCACCACCCTTCGCTATCCACGAAGACGCCGATTGTCGCCTTTCGCCGCCACCACAGCCACCACCAGCAATTCCCAACAACGTCAACGTCAGAGATGTCGCGAGCACCTCGCCAGCTCCCGCACCCAAAAATTTCACTGTCTCCTCCTCGCACATCCCCGCCGCTCTACTAACACTCAGCCCTGCAGTCTCAATCCGCCGTAGACGTAGGCGGGCTCGCTGGGATACTGACACCGTCCCTAAACCTACGGAGAATTGCACGTTGGATGTGCCGGAGGTCCAGGGGTCAGACGATAGAGACACTGATATTGACCTATTTCCTGAAGGTAAGACGAAGCGTATCAAGAAAAAGAAGAGCGGGAGAATGGACGGGGGTGGTAAGGGCGGTAAAGGTGGCGCGAAGGAGAGAAAGGTCCTCGCTGAGCTAGAGGTGGCGAAGGAGAAGGCGTTCATGGATGAGGCGGAGGACTGGGATTTTGAGTTCTCTGCTTTGCTTGACGAGTAGCCACCACGCATGTCACTCAAGGGTTGAGGGTTGAGGTATGGAAGAAGAAGAAAGGGGGGAACAGAACGGAGGCCTGGGATTGAGTGCAGCTGTATAAAAGTAGAAGTACAAATGAAGAGATTGCAGGACTCGCGAAACTTGATTCGACGTAGTGAATAAGATATGCCATTTCGCGACTATGTGTATTTACGTCCCTAGAGGAAAAATTAAGAACGCCTTCAATGTGGATTTCCCATGCTCGCCTGAGCGGTCCTGTCCGTGCCGTGCTATGCTGTACGTAATGCGATGAGGATGATATGAGGAGCGGATGAGTATGAGAGTTGTGTAAGGAACGGTGGTTTCGAAGAAGGTTAACAAGGGGTTTAAGATACCCCAAAGCCAAGCCAGGATTTTGTGGACTTTTCCTGTGTCCCTCGGTAACGATACCATGAACATTCTGTGCTAATGCACGTAGATCGCTTCTGTAGCTAAGTTCTAGTACTTTGCAAAGGGGACAGAAGGTTCCGGGCGGAGGTGAGGCGAGAGAATATCTTCTGCTCGCCGAGATAGCGATCCCTCCTGTTTCCCGGCAATTGCCTTTCTACAAGCTTGGTCGGTCGTTCCGATGATTGTAGAGCTGCGTGGGAAATCGAGCTCTATTCAATAATCTTTCCGCCTCCACCCCCTCCACCGCCACCACCAGACTGCCACCCGTTCAACCACGTCATGATGCCCACGCCTATGAGTACCACTCCGACCATGGAAACATAAGGCGCGCTTTGCACCCATTTGCCATCGCCAGGACCGTGTGGCTGCCGCTGTTGTTGCTGCTCCAGAACTCGTGATAGAGAAGCCTCAAGCTCTGGCGGTATCCTCGTGCCAGGCGGTAGGACATTTCCGTTTGGAAGGTCTTGCTGATGCTGCTTACCAGGTGGACTCCAGAGGCCGCGAGTGGGGCCGTTTTGGGTAATAGTTGGACTCATTGAGAGAGCGTCATCGGCGTGGTCGCTGCCGATGAGGGTTGTGTCTGTGCTTGTGAGAGCGGGTGGGGAGGTCGCCTTATGGTGGTCGTTGTTGCCAGCTCGTATGTTCTCGACGAGCTCGGCGAAGCGTCGCTGGGACTGTTCTGCATCTTCTGCTCGGCGCTTATAAGACTCCATCATTGTTTTTGCTTGGTCAAATTCTTGCTTAAGAAGTTCGTAGCGGTCTTGGAGGTTTGTGGCTTCGTTATTGGGAGTTTCGGGTTCGTAGGAATCAGCATCTTTGAGAGTTTCCATCGACGGGCTCGTGAGTAGTCTCTTGGGCGCATGGTTCTCTTCGTCCACATGACCATTGGGTAGGTCTTGTTCCATGAGCTCAACCGAGTCGAGAGGCGGTTCGAAAGCTTCTTCGTCAACTTTGCCATCACCATCGTGTCTCAGATCTATCATTTGGTCGCCTGATAAAGCTTGTGCTCTTCTCTCTGCTTTTTCCCTAGCGTTTCGCTCTCGTTTCAACGCATTTTCCAAATATTTCATTCTTTCACTTTGCGAGCTAAGCTCCTGCTTTGTGGATTTCAACGTTTCCAATAACGATAGAATCTGGCTATTTTGAGGTTCCGATCGCGTCGGTGAGCCGGATCCTATCGCCGGTTTCTCTGTTTCTACCCTCTTGATGCCGGATTGCATGATGGCGTCTGTCAGACCGGCATGGGTACTGTCAGGCTTTTCAGGAAGTGGCTGGGACGGAGGTGGGGCTGGAGGTTGTGAGAAAGGTATTGGAGCTTCACATGGCGCAGATTGTGATATTGCCTGCGATTGCCGCTGTTCTTCGGACTCTTTTCTTGGTGATTTGGGTGGCTCTTGTCCAGGTTCTAGATTTAGTAAAGTTGTGAAGAAATCACCCGTCCGATGGAGTTCATGTGACTGTTGCTTCGCTTGTCGAAGTTCGGCCTATTATCAAGTCAGATGAAGCCTCCAGTGTTTCTTACCTGACTTACTGTTAATCTCTTGACAACCTTCTCGACAGTTATTGGCTCCATCCACATATTCATCTGTTTATGTGCACCAAGCACATTCGGGTTGCCCATCATATTGCTTTGCCCTGATATATGGCTATTATTTCCGATCGAACCTTGACTTCCACCTCGTACTCTCAGCTGCGATAACTGTCCACTTGTCGCGTCACTTAATATGGGTTGGCCAGTATTTGGATCCATTGGCATCATGTCTAATATGTTCAGGGAGTTGGTGTACAGTCCAGCACGTTCCACTTTTGCCGAGACTTTGTGATGTACGATACTCTTTTGGTCTTCGCTCACGATGTCAATACCTAATTCCAGCATATCACCTTCTCGAAGTTCATGAGGCTCTGACTCCTTGTTTTCTTGAGAGAGTCGAGTTCCATTGACAAATGTTCCGTTGGAGGACTTGACATCTCTTATCAAAACTTTGCCACTTTTCTCCGCCCACACCTCCGCGTGTTGTCGAGACAACACTTTGGAATCGAAGTATCCATTATTGGACGCTGGCTGTGTTTTAGCGTTAGTCTGCCGACCTATCTTTTGCACGTCTGGGAAATATGGTATCTGTATTCTCTTCCGTTCAAAGGTCCCTGTCAGAGGGTGTAGTTCGAGTATGACAGCTGGATCATTTCGCTGCGCTGACGAGTAGTCTGATCTGGCTCCATTTGGTTGCATGTGAGCTTGTATGGGAGATGGCAGTGGTGATTGCTGGTGAAGTGAGTTTGTGGTTGAAGCGGCTGCTTGACCCGAAGAAGGAGTGGTTATCACTTGGTTTGCTGCCGTAGGCATTCTGGGCCCCACTTCCGGCTTTGACGTGGGCCAGAATTTGGCTGCTTTTTTTCTCGGCCCCCAGCCACCTTGCTCATTGGATGTAACAGAGTCGATTTGAGGGAAATCATCAATTGGCGTCCCAAGGATGGGAGTCCCGTTTGTATATCCCGAATCGGACCGACTCTGTTCCTTCTTTGGTGCTATGAGCAAACGATGAACCTCTTCTGCAGTCATAGAATCAAGAGTATCTCCTCCATTGTTCTCGGAATGCCAGCGCGGTAGAGGATGTTGACTAGGAGGAGACGCCACGGCCGTCATCAGGCCTGATTCCAAGAAGAGCGATTTCTTCTATCGATAAAGACGCCAGATTGTGAATGCGACGTGAATGGTAGCCTTTTCATAGACCCGTCCTCCTCCGGCACCTCTCCCACGCGTGGTATGTCTCTTTACTCGGCTTGGTGGATTGAGTTTTAAGCAGTCGTTCACGCGATCATCCAGGTAGATCTCGCATTAACTTCAACCCTCACAGACGGTCCATCACATTCTTCTCCTAAATTCGATGCGTCGAGTGACTGATATGGCAACGTTCGTTTGACAAGATATCTGGCTATGGGGTGTCCTCTTGAGGGGTAGCCATTAGGAGGGATCCTGAATTTTTGCCAAGCCCCGGCACCGAGCCTTCAGATTGAGACAAAGAAGCCGGATTTTCAACCACAACAGGACTCGAGTCTTCCTAGAATTCTATGCTAATCACCTCGAGGCGGGAGATGTTCTATATCAATGGGTACCAAAGCGCTTCGGTGAGGCACGGTCTATGTTGGAAGTAGCAACCGGCTGGACCGCACGGCACGTGACTGCTTCGGATAAATCCCGGAAATAAGGCCTGTCGTCCTAGACTTGGAAGCTTTGAGTGAGTAGCATCAGTACTTGCACAACCTTGCAAAGACATAGACAATATCCCTTTGCAATCCATGCCTATTGCTATGCCATCCCCCGGGCAGGGTGGAGGCCAACGGCGGGCACCATCTACGTTTGACAAGTGTAAGGAAATCACCAGCGCCCCTCATCTCATCGCTAATGCGTCGAACAGTGAAAATGGGCGGAATGATGGGAGGCTGTATGTCGCTATGGGAGTCTGAGCTTAATAACAGGATTGACGAGACTATAGCTGTGGGTCTTATCATGGGATTTCTATGGGGTGCGAAACTCAGGTCGAATTGGGAAAATCAAGTGGCTAAAACAGCACGCAGGCGGTTTTACAATCATGAGATATGGTGGCGGGACGCAAGGACCAATGCGGCTTTTGTCGCAGTATATGTTAGGATCAGGAGCTACGTTCGGGTATGCGCGACCCCAGACCATCACTTCAAGGGTGAATATAGCTAATGGCGGCTTTCATCTTTCAGATTCTTCATGTCCATAGGCGCTGTCATACGGACAGAAGGAGTCTCGAGGGAAGTGACGGAAGCATATGAAAGAGCTAGGAGGAAACCTATCGTGCTACCAAGAAGATTTCCAGTACCAAATGAAGGAAGGAGAAGGGCTCAATAGCAGCCGAAGGATTGAAAAGATCATGAGCGAGAAAGATACCCCAACTTACTACAGAATTATGCATCATCAATTGAACATATTTCTTCTTTGATTACATTGGCCCGTTTAAAACCACTGGTCTATGTGCAACACTCAAAGAGAAGACAAGTAGTTGGGCGACGTGGCGGGAGGAACCAATCCTATCACTGGAAATGCAGTTTAGACACGGAACAGTTGGTGTAACGACCTCCGTCTTTCCACAGCCTCGACAGTCTACGGCATGATCACGCAAGATGACAGTCATCATTAGGTCGAAGGGCGTCCAAGATATACTTGCATCCAGTGACGCCGAGTTCTTCAACTTTCTAGCATCAGGCTCAGCATTTTCTGCCATGTACAAGAGGAGTTTGCTGCGCAATTTTGTCAACGGGAAACTTGACACTGCCTTCTTGAAAAGCTCGGAAACCGTCTCTGGGATATGTCTTATTGGCTGCTGGGCGAGCAATAGCGGTACTTGCAAAATGATTGATGCTCGCAAGTCCATCCGGATCTCGATTAACTTCCCATCCTCTCATGATGTAAAGCTTTGCCTTTTGAAGACTATGGCGGACACATTCTGAGATGCATTTCACTGATGGTAGCGAAACTGTTTCGTCGGGGTTACTGTACATTCCTATTATTCTCGAAACATGAGATGGCTTGTTCCACGTTCGACCATCTATCATAACGCCTAAGATGTACATTCTTCCTCCGTGTATGTATGGGAAGCAAGCTGGTACTAAAAGAGGCAACGCAATCGTAACGCTTTCCAAAAAAGGCTAACCAGGCACTGCGGATCATTTTGACAGGGCTAAGGCCCAGTTGAGTCCACCTCCGCAACCGCCAATTAACAACCATTGCAGTCGCATATCCTCATTCATGTCGCTCATTACAACATACACATATTGCTAGCTCCACACAGCTCCCTAATCACCTGCATTTGCATCCACAATGCCTCTCTGTGGCGGAAACAAGACCGTCCAGAGGAAACTCGTTCTGCTGTACGCTACCTCCAGATAGCTCCCTGCGGCGCATCTTGCTGATATATTCAATCCTTAGGGGCGATGGTGCATGTGGAAAAACATCATTATTGAACGTTTTCACGCGAGGGTAAGTAAATACGCTGCCAATGGCCACAAGATCTGGCAGCTAAAGCGCCTTCACGCAGGTACTTTCCCACAGTCTACGAGCCCACAGTCTTTGAGAACTATGTCCACGGTACACCCTTCCCCTTTTCTATCTACCACCAGCTTCTAAGTCTTTCACCTAGACATCTTCGTCGACGGCAACCACATCGAGCTCTCCCTCTGGGACACCGCCGGCCAAGAAGAGTTCGACCGCCTGCGCTCTCTCTCCTACGACGACACTCACACCATCATGCTCTGCTTCAGCGTCGACAGCAAAGACTCTCTCGAAAACGTAGAATCAAAATGGGTGGGCGAAATAGCGGAGAATTGCGCGGGCGTGAAACTCGTGCTCGTGGCGCTAAAGTGCGATTTGAGAGAGTCGCATGCGGATGAGGAGGAAGAAGAGGGAGCGGGAATGGCACGGCCGAAAGAGACGATTGATTATAAACGGGGGTTGGATGTCGCGAAGAGCATACAGGCGTTGAGATATTTGGAGTGCTCGGCGAAGAGGAATAGAGGGGTCAATGAGGCGTTTACGGAGGCCGCGAGAGTGGCGTTGAGTGTGAAAGGAAAGGGAAAGGGGAGTGACAAGGGTGGTAGAGGGTGTGAGATCATGTGAAAAGGGAGGTCTAAAGGCGTGCATTATTTTGGGTGAGGCAATGGGTCTGGGTATTGTTGGGCGTTGCGAAGCAATTGTTTGCTTGCGCTTCGTAAGAATGGGAGGTATGATATATGACTTGATAGCAAAGGTGTTCATAAGGCTGCTTCTGAAGCAGCTTGCTTTGATCAAGCTAATGATCTTGCAGATAGTTGAATTTATCAGGAACATACCATATTCATTTCGTTGGATCCTATGTCGAACAGCACTGATAGTCATGACTCAGGATTGTCATATCCTGAAAGAAGAGACTGATGGGCAAAGATCCCTATCGACTTCCAAACAGATATAATAAGTCCGCCAGGCTGCCTCCATTTAGACGCATCGGTGCTTTCTCCTGGACTGAGCTTTTGGCATTGTATGCCACACCGATACCAGCAGCATGCAGCATGAGTAGATCGTTGGAGCCGTCACCGACCGCAAGCGTCTCTGACAAAGCCACCTCATGTTGCGTGGCCAAACGAACAAGTGTCTCCTTCTTCAACTCCGGAGTAATGATCGGATGATCTGGAGAAAGAGTTCCGGTAAGGTGAGGGTATGGATGTGACGAAGTAGAAGGGCATGTAAGAAGCTGATGGTGCAATTCAGCCACATCTTTCTCTTACAGTCTCTCCTAGAGGACTGAGGTTCTGGATCGTAGAAAAGAAACGAGGGTGACTTGCATCAAACGGAAATAGAGAGTGGATACTTGACTTACATGATTTGCAAAAGCATAATCCAAACCCAGCTCTTCCTTCAACCATTCAGCCATGGGGGCAAAACCGCCGCTTATGACTCCGGTGATGACACCCTTGTCCTTCAACCCTTGAATAAGCTCCCTCGCTCCGCTGGCTATCGTCACAACCTGCTTCAGCCCATCCCATACATCGGCTCTCACGCCTTCCAGCATGGTAACACGCTCTCGCAATGAAGTAGCGAAATCGATTTCGCCATTCATTGCCCTGGCTGTAATGGCACTGACAACATCTGTCTTACCAATCGTACGAGCAAGCTCGTCTATGACTTCCTCATTGATCAAAGTCGAGTCCATGTCAAATAGCGCAAGCCGGATCGGGCGATGGTCAAGCAGAGCTGCTGGGTATGGTACAGCATCGAAAATTACTTCACATTCATGGATTGATTCGTGGATTCTGAAGTTTTTGCTCTGCCGAACTTGCGAGAGATTTGGTAAAGGCGGCTGGATATTGTATTTATATTGCCAGACATGTGGGCTGAGACGCCGTACATCCGGCCGTTGACGTTGGATACTTGAGCATACAGCCTTGTAATCATTTGAAGTGGCTTTACTCAAGATTTCCGTCACGATGGGCGCTTTTAGCCTTTCAAAAGGGTCTCCCCCCCGATCTGGTGAAGGTCAAAGGGATCGCGCTCTGGAGTCACTTGGGAATCTATTACTGCAGTGCTCGGCCTTGATTTCGAAAAAAATGTTAGGATGAGCTTGGCTGGTTCTTGATCTTCTTCTGATGTCCAGGACATGATCTCATGTACGTCCAAAAAAATGCGTCGTTGCTCCAATAATACTCCGTTCCAAGATTGAAGGAGTCACTTGAGACGATCGAAGAGAGATTTATTTTAGAACTTCAAGATACATTTCATTGAATGTTTCAAGCACCCCTACCCAAGCAATATAATACAATTAACAGGAAGACCTACGATTAAACCTGCAAAAATCAAAAGCCACCGAACAAATGCTATTTCATGCGGTTTCAGCTGCCAAGCTAAAGCGGACCGTGTACCTTAGGTACTCCCGTCCTGTCCGATGTTTGGCGCCAAGCCCCTACCCGCATCGGACAGAAGATTTGAACACGGCCCTCGTGCGCATGTATGAGAAGATCTGATGTGGAGTTTGATCCGTCTCTTCTATCTGAAACCCTATTGAGTTAGAAGAGATGCCCTGGTGACCGGATAAAATTAGCGGCTAGATAATTTCAAATTTTTATATAAAGTATAGAAGCTATACCTATATTCTATTATATAGCTTTTATCCTATCTAGTAAGTAATATACTCTTATTACTATAATCTTATCTTTTATAATATAATATTACTATTTTTTAAAAACTTTTCTCTAATAAATACTTAGTTTTAAGAAATAAATTTTCTATTTTAATATTCTATTATAAAGATATTTAATCTTTTAAGTCTTTTTTTTCTATTTCTATTCTTAATACTTTACTATATAAGGTTTATAATACTATATTTCTTATTATTTAAAAATTTAAAAATAAGAAATATAACTTTTTTTAAAATAAGTATATATAACTAGTATTTTAATACTTTACTATACTAAGATAATATTTTTTACTAAGTTTTTTTTATATATATTATATAGTTACTTTTGTTTTAAAACATTTTAACATTAAAGTTATTATTAAATTTTAGTGAAGGTAGTGATCTTCTCTACGATTTCCCCAAGGCTAAGCTCAAATCAGTATGGTGCTTCACCAAAAATCTCAGCCTTGTGCAAGTCCCTCCCAAAGATTGTCAACGTTGGCCTTTAGCATCCTATTCTTCACTCCACGGTATGCCAACAACCACTTGTGCACTTGCTGCCATCGATTCTGAAATCGCAACCTCTCATTGTTTTACATCCGGGGCTGATCGACGTTTCTCAAGCCACGGATAAGATTGTGCCAATCTTTCTAAGTATGACGCATACATCGGTGCCTTACCGAGCCGAAGGAAGACCTTGACATTTTTGTTGCTCTAGAAGCTCAGAGAGCTCTTATACACGTTCTACGATGTTCCTGCGGCGGTGGGCAGAAAACCTTTGTAGAAGATCGATTCAGGATGATTCGAACAGTCAAGTGGGACTATCTGTCCAACATGATACTGAATTTCCAGATGTAGAGTAAGCAAAATCGGCACAACATTTCTTTTTAGATCAAGTAGTCCTTTTGGACAACAGCAAACAAGATCTGTGAAGGCTCAAAAGAATGACTTGACACAGTATCGTAGTGGTCTACGGACTTCCGAAATACCGTTGCCGATCATCAACAGCAGATGATGGGACAAAGTGGGCTCGAGATTTACTCCCAGCGGACGTACCGAATGCACGAATTATGACTTACGGTAAAAGACTGAAGACCAGGGATGCGAAACATCTGTGTGAGTTGTCTCTGTATTATCAGTCAGATGACCTAGTATCGACCTTATCTGAAAAACGCCGTCAGACTGGGGGATCTGATCGTCCGATTATTTTCGTTGCACATAGCCTAGGTGGCGTAGTAGTCAAAAGTGCTCTAGTCCGCTTGAACATGTCCAGTCATAGAGGGGACGAGGAAGGTTCTCAGATTGAGCGCTCAACGCGTGGAATACTATTCCTAGGAACTCCGCAGAGAAGTCATGGATCCGTCACACTTGCTGTGCTAATTGAGCGCATCATTTCTCAAGAACCTGATAAGATCAAAGCTCCTGAAATAATGAAGAGCGAGGCTGACAGGCTCGAATCTCGTCTGGAATTATTCAAAAGCCTTGCAGATTGTTTCTTAGTGTACTACTGTACTGAATCATTATCCAAAAATCTTCAAGGGGACTCTTCGATAATGGTGCCAGCATTCTCCGCAGTTCTAAGCGGGTCTAGATCAGACGGCCATCGAATTGTCCTTGATAGAGGTCATTCCGATATATGCAACTTCAATGACAATGGAAATGATGACTACCGTAAACTCACGGGTGCGATTATGCACGCTGTCAAATCTTGCAGCACTGTACTAGATACTGGGACGCCTGTGTCCGGGAGAAATTTGTCATGTTTGACGGCGCACGATATCAGAATTCCTCTCCGATTGAGTCAAGTCCGCTGTCGACATTATGCTAGTCGTGATTTCGAGTTGGAGCAGATGAAAAGCTTTTGCAGCCGAGTTGACGAATTACAAGACCAGCCTCCTAGCATCGTGCTACATGGAGATGGAGGAGTCGGAAAGACGGAAATAGCTTTGCAGTTTGCTAGAGCTCAGCAAAACCAATTCGATTTTGTCTTTTGGTTCAACTGCGGTAGCAAAAGAGCCACCGAATCGAGCTACATCGGTATCTTTCAAAGCCTTCTTAAACATTCAACCGACCTTCCCAGGGAATCTGGCGAGCTTTGCGTTGATGATCGAAGCTCGGAACCATTCTCAATTATATCACGTCACTCAAACACAGTGGTTGCAAGTGCCATTACCGCTGTTAAGCAGTGGTTGGAGTGCCCTGGTAATACTCGGTGGCTGCTGATCTTTGACGATGTGCATGACCTAGATATTATTCGGGATTCCTTGCCCAGGACAAGATATGGCACAATCATTATCACTACTCGGATCGCCCCTGCCATGGGAACCTTTGGACATAAGTTGAGGCTAGATCAATCAAATCACTTATGTTGTGAAGAGCCGTTCGAAGTGCAAGCATGTTACGAATCGGAGGGGGGCAAGGTACATGTGATATTTCTTGGCGTGGTGATGAATTGCACCGTCAAATAGCCATCATTGATGTGACCATCGCTTCGTCTGGAGACTCTGTGGAATATAACAAGTTTTTTTTGTCGAAGCCAGGCTTATCTGATGCTCTGGAGCTCGCTTACATTTCGCTCGAGATGAGGCAGTCAGCTCTGCTTGGTACATGTTGCTTCTTTGAGTCCGATGATATACTCATAGACCTGCTTAAGAAAGGCTACCCCACCATGGATGACGAAAGTAAGTTAAATCATGATTTCCTCGAACAAATCCCATCGGGATGGTCAAAGCAAGAAACCTAACATCAGCATTGTAGCTGTCGAAACGACACTTTCAGCTTTGGGTTCTGCTGGCCTGGCATGTCTAGATCCGCAAGCCAGTAGCTTCAAGATCCATCAAACGGTTCGTAAATGGATACAAACCCGTCAATGTCAGTCCTCCATACGATCTCTCGTGCAGAGAGCTCTTCAAGTTCTCATTAAAGCCCTTGAGACAATTGATCAGGTTTCCTTGCAAAGGATTGCATACGAAGACCTAATTATACCACATATGACTTCATGCCTTTCTTGGGCTGAGCGTGTAATACCTCAAGATCGCCCTCTCTTAGATCCAAAGTACTGGATGCTTTTTGGTCGTGCATACTGGCGCCAAGGGGTGCTTCAATCCGCTGAACGCGCTTTTCGTGAGGCTTGCAAGCTTTGTGAGGTCTCAGAAGATGATGGGTGTGACAAGCAGACTGTCTTGTTGCAATTAGCAGGAGTCTTGCTCGATAGAGGCCAATTCAAACAGACTCAAGCCATCTGCGAAGCAGAACTTAGACAGGGGAATTCGGACCTCCAAAAATCCGGCTTGAGGTTTGAATTCTTAGAGTGCTTAGGCCAGGCCTTGATTGAACAAGAAAATGTGAAAAAAGCAGAGGCAGTCCTCAAAGAGGCTTTGCTAAGCTCTGAAGATGTCTTTGGTTGCAATTGTCAGGAGACAATGAGAGCCGTCGAGGCTCTCACAAGCTTCTATCAACAGAATGAAGGCTACGAAAAAGCAGAAATGCTACAGCGAAGACGGATCATATACCTCGAGCATCGATATGGCTCTGCAGACATGGAATACATCAATGCAATGAGGAATTTGGCAGTCCTTTGCCGGAAACAAGGAAAGTACAGTGACACGTTCTGGACGCTGAAAACGCTACTTCAGCTTTGCGATGACGAGCTTGGCGAAGACCATCCCGATTCCATTGAGCTCTGCGCAGAAATCGCCGAGGTATGCACCATCCAGGGACACTCTTCCCAAGCGAGTCAAATGTTCAAAAGGGCCATTACAAGCGTCGAACGAGTCCTCGGACCCAATCACGATCTATCTCTAAGAGTGCTCCAGAAATATGCTTATGCACTGTACTCCCAGAAACGCTACTGTGAAGCTGAAATTCTATGTCAGAAGATCATGTCTCGTAGAAAAAGGTCTAAATTTGCTAAGGAAGATGATACAAGGATTCTAGAAATACTGGAGAAGATTCAGCGACGCCTGGATGGGAATGACAAGTTTCCGGCCAGGCGAGAAAATTGTACTCGGCAACAAAAGGTCGTACAGGTAAGCTATGAAGACACTCAGTCTCTGAGCGAGCGCGGGGACGCAGCGCTTGAGAAGTCTTGAGGGAGCTCTCTCCCATGGCGAGGCAAAGGCTGTGACTTTTTTGCTGCTGAGGCCTCAGCCGAGAGCGGCATCTCTACTACAACCAATAAGATTCAGGTAACCACAGAGTCTTTTCAGGGTCCTTTCACCCGCGCTCCAGGCTGGCTATAAGCGTTAACTCATACAATTGCCTAATCAAGGGACATCACGAAGCGTCAAGGGGGATAAATGGTATAAGACAAATTGTCCGTTGGTCTCATTAGGTACTGAGGTCGGACAAGGACCGCAATCTGACTTTGACACATGCAATAGATTGTTTTTACCGGATATTACAAGAGGGCAAGACTATAGTGAACGCGTTCTTTACTATACCTATAAACATACGAAAGGGAGGAACGGGCGAGAGGGGGACATATAAGCCCCCACGATTCAAGCAATAAAACAGTCAAAGACGACCACGGATCGATATACACGAATAAGTATTTACATGTCCCAAGTGGCATGTATTATTCTGTACGCATAGTAGTGAAGAATTTACGGTATAATTGGCCTGCTGTACATGACCGACGGAGATGTGCCTGATGTACTAAGGCCTTTTGTAACCCTTCCTTCCTTTCGCCTTGCTAAAAACATACTTCATGGAGACGAGACCATTTGGTGTTGATACGCGGAGCCCATCAAATGCTAACGCCGTCGATACGCCAAGAATTTGATGCGAAATGATAGCTTGTAGTCGTAGCTCTACCCTGGAGACTCGTATCGCGGTCTCCGAATCTTTCGAACACGTCATCGCCACCTTCTCGGTCCTCCCAGATTATCATGTACACATACCTCGTACACGATCATTATCATCCCGAACAGATCCAGATCATTCAGAAGTTCGAACATTGTGTGAAAGCGTTCTTCCTCTCCTTCATTCGTCATGTCATACTATACTGAGTACACAGAGTTTGTATGGCCGTGACACAATCCCAGCTTTTGAAACAAAATGTCATCATCTCCGCTTCCCTCCCATAGCCTAATTTTCATACATAGCTCGTATATGAAGATAACACAGCCTACCGAACCGAAATCTCAAGAAGTCTACCTCTAAATATATGCATTCCTCCTATGTTCCAGTCAAGATGTCTCCGGACTGTCAATTTGGAGACCAGATAGGTTCGTTGGATCGAAGAACTCTGGTCTTGCCGATAAGGTGAAAGGATGACTAGCAAAGTTTCTAAGACTCGGTATACTCTTTTGAATTATTCGCCGCAGTTCTTCATGGGAGTCTTGCCCTGAGAAAATGACTCTGAAGCGCCCTCGGCCAGCTCTTCCGTGAGCGATGTGCTTGTCGAGGTACGAGAGGAAGTTCTTCTGAGCATGAGCTCGAACGTCAGGATTCATCAGTACAGGATTCTCGCTGTTTTCGTCATACAGGTCCAAGATGTCGAGTATCAGGATGCATTCATATTCCTGTGGAGGGCTGCTCTCGTCTATTACATCGCTCTCTCCACTGTCACTTCCTCCGTCCGAGTACTCATCTGACGAGCAAAGTGTGGACCCCCAATGCCTGAAGAGGCTCAGCCAAGTTTCATATGTCGAGGTAGCCCGTGAACCAGTAGAAACAAAATCCTTCGCTGTCTTGTATTCAACCTTGGAAGCAGAGTTAGTGGCAAGTAATTGTTCGGTGAGCCCCTCCATAAAATTTGCTCGGTCATCCGCTTCGCCGTCATGAATGTAGAGAATTCTTCCGACTCCTAGATCTCTAATGGCACGCAGGTGGTCGCTGCCGAGGTCCATGACCATGGGCTCGAGGTGTGTCTCTTCGATGATTCCTTCTTCAAGCTGAGAAAGGCTCTGGTAAGCGGTGACTTCTTCGTTGAAGGTAGGAAATCGTTGGTGCCTCCTAAATATTGAGCGCAGACATATTAAGAGGAAGAGAATGTCGAGAACGCAGCCGAGAGGATTGTGTAGAGGATTGGAGGCTCGAAGTGGAGATAGGGGTGGGCGACTTTTCGAGGGATCTCCATTGACTTCCACCGTGATCTGGAAGTCCTTACCATCACTCCAAAGCACTGGAACAATCCAGTCTGCTATCTCAAATTTCTGTCCACTCTTACCGACTCGTTCACGATTTTCCTGAAGGGCTGCACGAGCAAGAGCGACTGAGTGTGAGAACTCGCGACCCTCCACTAAGAGGTGATAGTAGAATTTGCCGAGGAAGATTTTAGCCGCATCTACCGAAATGCTATGGGACATTCCCAGCACGGTAGAGATTCCAAACTCGTTGAAGATTTGACAGAGATTCGCATCCCGACCCTGGATCGCGGTGCCAGATTCGCAAGCATTGAGCACAGCGCACTTAATGCCATATTCTGCAAGAAGCTTCCCGATGCGATCGGCACGCACATTCTCGAGCTTCTCCTGATTCCAATCTTCTCTTGTCAATTGTATGTATGTTGTGCCATCCATGACTTTTCCATGGCAGTCAAAATGTACCGCGTGGTAATAATCGGTGCCTTTCTCGTGCAGGTGCGCTTGTAGTCCCTTTATACTTTTTCCACAAATGAGGTCAATATTCACCTGGTGTTTAGCTCTGTTTTCTTTGGCTAAAGTTTGAGCTTGTCGTAAAGCTCTGTAAGCTGTACCGGAGTCAGAGTCCTTGTACATCTCCTCGCCGTTCAGTGGCACCTTCCGGTTCACAACCAGTAGGACATTTATGCACCGTTTTCGTGATTTGTTTTCAATGGGCTTGGTGTCAACCCTCTGGATCGTGGGCGTGGGTGGCTCTTCAGAACAGCCACCAATCCGTATAATAGCGATATCCTTTGTTTCCCCGAGCCCTTCCCAGGGAATGCGTTGTATGTTGATGGGCTGAGCCTCAAATGCATGTATGCGGATATTGACACGACCTGGTCGAAGGATATTGTCGGTAGGTAGTTGAGCATGCAAGCTTTTACGGCAATTGTCGATTTCTTCGTTTGCAAGACGAACGCTCCCCTGCGGACTTTCACAGCTTCCCCGTCGAAACCCCAAGCGTTGGCGTAGAAGCTCGTTGGCCTCTTCAGAGGAAGGTGCTTCGATCGTTCTGTGTGAATAGATCACGATCCCATTCTCTTCTATATCAACCAGGAAGTTGAACTTGCCGGTTGAGGAGAGGGAGCATGGTCCTAACTCCCGAATGATGAGTTCACGAGGTGCCATGGTTGCGGTGCGAGCTCATCATCAGTAATTGTAACATGTCAAGGATCTTCAGGAAACGTAGATTCTAGCTAGGGCCTAACGTTGAAAGATGTGAATCTTGGTGTGCAATGACAAAATACCAGTAGGTGAAAGAGGTCAAAGGATGTCCAAAAGAAAGATATGTGGGCAAATACCGACGGATAGCTGAAGGATATCAAGGAGTAAATTTTGTTGTATCTATAACGGTTGTTGTATCTATAACGGAGGTCTAAATCATGAGTAGTATTGCAGGTATTTCCTCTTTTGGGCATCGCGGGACTATTCGTTTTGTCCTTGGCATGTGAGTGTGACGTAAAATTAGATGCATCAATTAAGGAGGCTAGCCCAGCATGGGCTTAGGAGCCAATGCGCTACGTTGACAAGGCTGTGAAATGCCCCTCTCAAGAAGATGTCACAGACAACGACCGCTGTTGCAACCCGCCAGACCTGGAGAGCTTTCTGTTTTCCCACATAAGCTCATAAGATGCCTGGATCGAAGTCAAAATCCCGCTATATTTTGCTTGGCGAGGCTTTGGGAACCAACCATACGCGCAATATGCTCGGTCGTGTGGTTCGCGACAAGAAATGGCCGCTTCATCATTTTGTGCCGGCGGATCCTGATGCCGAAGACGGCGAAGGTGGCATCAACCCTTGTCAAATCCTCAAGAAAATCTCAGAGGGGTCTGTGAAGAGTAGTCTTAAGAACACTATGAACAGTTATGAGGGAAGCGAGGCCAAAGCAGAGATGACGAGGTTGTTGAACTTGCATGCCAGTAATACGACCCATCGAAATGCTCAAGTCACTTCTGGGACAATCACTAAATACACCATGACGAATGTAAATCGAAAATTGAAAAAGCTGATGGAAAACGATCTATACTGCCAGGCAATAATGGAAGAGCTCAATGCAAGACCAAGACCACAAGAACCATTGCTGGTGGTTGGAATGCTCACTTGTGAAGATACGAAGGTAGAATTGGGCGCAGGGCGTAATCAGGCCTTTGGTGGTGGAGGTGGTGTATCTGGAGACCAGACTGGTATCCCCGGGGCCAGTGCTCACGTTGCGTATCAGAATGCTGGAGGTGGCTCAGGAACGACAACGCAGACGCTCCAAGAGGAGGTCATCTTAGCATTGGCTTATGATACTGTAAAGTTGAAGAGATGTGCGAAATGGCTATGCCTTTCCCACGATGCGGAAGAGGACAAAGTCACCACAGGCCGTAAAGTATTTGGCGATGGACCTGAGCTTCTTGGTCCAGCGGACGACGAGGAAAGCTCCGGAGATGACGACGTTTCGAGCGGCGATTTTCTTATTTGCGTCCGTTGATGCTGTCTCACCATGAGGGAACATCCGCGCAATCAGACTTCAAGCGCATTTAAGGAGGAACTTAGAGTTGTGCGCCAACAACCGTCGTGAGAAGCCGCTAACGTCAGCGAAGGTTTGACGGACTGCGGAGCCGGAGATTTTATCAATCAATGGCCTGGAGGATATTGCCTAGGTCATGGGGGGAAAAGTTTTGATGATACCCACGATTGCCTGTTTTTCTCATGTTGACTGCGACAGCGGTGCATATCCCGAGTTTAAATCTTTGAGCTGGATTCAGAAGACTTTGATGCCGGAGGGGGGCTGGCAGTCCTTCGACGAGAAATGATATCAACGACGATACGAGAAAAAGGATGGTATGGTCTTATAGAGTCATCGAATTGGAAACGGATACCTGCGTGTGCTCTTTGCCTAATCGGGTCGCACGACAACGAGTCATATCCGTTAACTTGTTTCTTATCACCTTTTTTCACTGATTCTCCAACCCACTAATGCTTCCTTGGGTATTTGCGAGGTTCTTGGGAATGGGAAAGTCTTCTCGGCATTATTTTCAGGCTGACATCTGGTATAAGCTTTCTTGTCGCGGACGTGACTCTCGGCGTTCCATCTCTCTCAATTGTCTTCGCTTTCCGTTCTTCCCATGAGGACCCACTTTCTGCTAAACGTTTTGCGGAATTAGCACTATTTGTCGGGAGCGTGAAGAGATCTTCTAGGCCACTTTTCACCTATTCATTGCCTTATTGATGCCAGCTTAATCCCCTGGCAGGAATGCTTAGTAGAAGCATTAAACACAGTGAACTATGACCATAGGCTCGAACCACGCTGTCTACGAGATATGCCTGCCGTTGCTCACCTGTACCCATGCCCATCGAACAAGTGCATCCCGGACATTTTGGAACGAGGTTACAAAAGGCAGGCTCCATGCGTTGTCGAAGGCGGGCATTATGACTTCAGCAAGCGACTGCAATAGGCATGGACCTCGAATTGGGCTACCTTAGGGCTGCACTGCATGCTGAAAAGGCTTGACTTGGAGGTGTGATTCTGATTTCTCTACCCCTTGGTAGGTGAAGAGCGGACCTCTCTGTGAGCATTCGCGACTCAGACATTACGCATTGCAGCAAAATGGTATTTTGGAAGAAATGATTGATTCACACAAGACCGAAATAGACATGTCGCATTTCCGCCACGTGCGCGCTCCTCTTACAGTGGGGCGGAGTGACGCTGTCACTTGCATTTCCCGTGAAATGTGATACATATAGGCCTCCAATCCCATGCTATTTCTGTAACTCTTTCCATCTTCGCATCCGGCATTTGTGGACTGGACCAATCGTATCAACTGATTCAATTCATGAGGAAGTGAATATCTATAGGGGTTGCGCGCGTTGGGGAGGGCAGCTCAGTCATCGTCGAGAGGTTTGATACGTCATCCTTTCAAGTATTGCAAGTCAAGAGGGGACACGTCGTTGCGGCGTGTGTTGTCGATCCGTCACTCAAACCTACGAATCAAGAAGGGAAAGGAGACTCGTGAGCTCGCTTGGCTTGGCCAGTGGAAAGCTTTCAAACCGTCGCCCTGGAGCAAACGATTTTGAAATACGAAAGGGATAGATAGACACCCCTAAAAAGGATTTACGGTGTGCAAATGATCTTGTGGGGCTTGGCATTTTTGGAAGTTTCCACCCCTCCGTTTTTTTTCGTTTTCTTAAGAAAAGATTCCTCAATATATCAACGAATATAAGTCCAAAGAACTTTAAATTAAGAATATAAAGAGAGTTTATATATATTTCTTTAATATAAACTTTTTTAAATAATAAAAAAGTCTTAAAACTTATATATTTAGATTATAACTTTTAAAAAAATATTAAAAAACTAAAAACTAAAATAACTCTTTTATTTCAACTTTAAAAAATACTTAGTAGACTATTTATATATAAAACTTTAATAGAAGAATTTATTTATAAAATAAAATTTTTTAAAATTCTAATTTTTTATTTTTAAATTTTTAAATTTTTAAATTTTAAAAATCTTAAAAATTAAAATATTATACTTAAAAAAGCTTTAAATTATTTAAAAATTTAATATCTTATTTAGAAGCGTATTTCTAGTCTTTATAAAAAATTTTAAGTTATTCTATATACTATTTATAAAGATATTAAAGAATTTTTTTTTAAGAAATCGGAGGTGTGGAAAGTTCCAAAAATGCCAAGCCCCACAAGATCATTTGCACACCGTAAATACATCGACACCCCTGCCCAGAAATTGTCTTGAGGCTTCGCAAGGGAGCCAACCTTAAATGACTTTGAATGAAAAGTGTCCCATCCGTGCGCCGAGATCGTTCGTAAGTTCTCATCACTATTTTATTCATAGAAAAAGTGCCAATCATAGGCAAAGCTGAATCAAGATATGACTGATTGCAGAGAAGCCCCTTGCAGCATGGTCTGGCATGTCATCGCAAGAGAATAATTGTTTGATTTCAAGTCTGTGCTCTCTCAGTCAGGGCCGCTGCTATCTGAATGCCACGGTCTGATCGACGGCGAAACATTCAAAATGTCGTCGTCACTCCAGAAGTCAACCATACAGCATGGAGAGTACATGCAGTCGGTGATATCTTATCGTCTACCATCAGTCGTGTAAATCCACGCCTCGTCTTCTGCTTCACTAAACCCATTATCCACTTCCATAGGTACCGGAATTTCGTTTACCTCAGGTCCAGAGGTCTCTGTCGGTGTCGTTGGGTCCGCCATCTCTGTATCACCCAGCCACTGGATAGCGGATGGGTCGATAAAATACTCGCTTTCTGGCGATGAAGGTGGATGGTCCACATGCTCTTCAAAAGCAGGATCATTCAATTCTGAAGCAGAGTTGTCAGACTCCCAAGCAGAGTCTTCCGATTCAGAGAGATCATCGAGGCCTGTCCATTCGGCATTTTCACCATATTCTCCAACCATGTAATCACCATCTGCTCCGACCATATAGCCTAGCTCAGGGTTGTAATATTCCATCGGTCCCCTATATTGATAATCTTGATCATACTCGTGTTTGGCATCTGTCAATACCTGGCTGATCCAGTCGATGCGTGTCCTCATCTCCTGCCATTTCTGCTCGTCTTCGAAAGTCTCAGCACTCGTTGGGATATTATCGCTGCTTTCAATCAATGCCTTGCTGATGCGGTACTTAACTATTTTGTAGCGTTCACTGCGCGTTAAAGCATGTTCCTTGGGGCTCAGCTCGGCGCCGCCATGAAAGTCAGCCCATACTACTTCGTCCAGTCTGTATTCCAAATTCATGCCGTGCTCTGAATGCAATGGCGAAGTTAGGTCCTTATGATTGAGGAAGGTGTTTGCTCTGCACATTGGGCAATTTACGCCTTCTCCGAACGGCCAAAGCCAGTTTTGGAGGCAGACGCTTCCGAAAATGTGGTTGCACGGAAGCCGCACAGGCGTCTCTCTGTCTTCAAAGGGCTCCACTATAAGAGTTTGCGTAAGTTTTCTGCTTCGAAATGATAGGAGAAATTGTAGACGAGCTACTTACGACAGATATGGCATTGATTTTCGAGGCTACCATCGCGTGGAACGATCGGCAGCTGGTTGATGTCACGAATCAGCTTTGGCACAGGGGGTAGGTGATTCATCTTCCTGTATCTATCCAGGTCAATCATTAGGAGCAGAGGCGGAGCCGTAGGAATCTTATTGCAGCGCAGTCTTTCAAGCTGCCACCTATCAAACGAATCCTGGAGTCTGTGAAAGGCATCGTATGACAAGTGTATCTGTCGTCGTCCGTTGTCCATGATCGCAGCGGGATGCAGATGCCAGGTTCATTACTTGTAGCTTCGACAGATGGTGAGGTGGTATAGTTGAGATGAAGTGGTACAGTATCGAAAAAGCCAAGCAACAAATCAGGCAGGCAGGATGAGAGAAAGCATAAATGCTCTTCATTCAATTTTCACCAACAATGCAATGTTCAAACAAGAGCGTGTCGAGAGATTCATTGTGCGCTAGTCTAACAACACCACACGTGTTTATGATTGATTTTAAGAATGAAATGATATCAGCGAAGAATGAGGAAGAAAGCGTCATAGCACATGCCAGTCCACACTGGCCGCTTGAGAAACCCTACACTCAGTGTGTCAATAATGGGCAACAAAGCCTCCACCTCATGGAGCGATGCTTCAGCTTTGCCTGCGTTCGACACCTCCACTTACAACGAAACGACACTGTTCACATACATGCAATGCAATGTAAACGCTCTAGCACTCGCTCTCGCGCTAGGTTTCTTGGGAGTTTCGGCTCTTTGATGCTACTACACGTTTTGAACATTGGCGATGAACATTGAACATCGATCTTGGCAAAGGAATTAACGTCCATGGTTGGAATGATTGCTCGACTAGGCCACTCATTTCCATGCAGCTTGATGGCTTCGGTGAGAGCCAGTGCTGGAGTGCGCGAGATAGTGCCATCACTAGAGACTCGTTCTAACTAGACAGACCTGATTCGGAGCGCGGGCCGATGTGCCTCCCCTTAGTTTAAGGCAGCGGCTTGATCAATGAAACACAAGTAAGGTAGTACGAGAACGCATTATTGGGCTGACCATTATTTCAAACCTAAATAATATGAATGCTGAGCGGCCAGCTTTCCAGGCATTGACGAGCCTAGAGTCCTCTATTAGTAGTCGTCTTCAGACTTGCCACGCCGAAACCCTGGCGTGCGTGTTGTATTGTTGGCTGGCCCAATGATGGCTCCACTATCTCGGGCTTGTACGGCTGTAGCAATCATAGGCTTAGCAGCACTGTGCTAAAAGGAAGTGGGGAAATGAGCATTTGAAGTATTTCGGGTTAGGTCATTCAGGCTATTTGTGGCTAGCGGTCGGGGCGTCGTTCCGAAAGGGGCCCCAATGGAAGGTAGGATTTAGTCCATTTTTGGCTTGGCACCATGAGTTTTGTCAGGAGCGATGTACTCGCTCGTTCGTTCTCCTAGCCACTTAGTTATGTATTGTATATGCCATCGTTTCCAACAATCCCGAATTATGAGCAAGAGAATGTACACAAAAACTCGAGTGCATTTGGCCCGATACGCCTTGCATGCACTGGAAATCAGTCCCACCGCTCAATGCTAAAAACCTCAACGCCAAATAATCGCATCACAATCCGTCGTCAGACTCCAATCACAGCCTCCAACACTTCGCGATAGACCAGCCAGATATGGCTCCTTCGAGCGTTGGGTCACCGCATCATGCGAACGTACTTTCAATTGAAAGCTCGTTCTTCACCAGGACGAGTCAGATAATATACATTGTCGTTCTCTTTGAAGAAACCAATCTCTTTGATGGTGTCCTCGCCTAAAAGTGTATCAAAAGATTCGGTCACTTTTGCTGGGAGTACGACGAATGTTGTACAATAAATAACGGGCATCTCAAAAACTTTCCACTCAAAAGTCACTTGACCAAGAGGTCGAATTTTCTCCACGCCTATCGGCTTGCAATCAGGACCATTGTAAGGCTCTGTTCGAAGATTTACCGACTCCACCACCCTTTGAGAGATGACATTGAACTTAGATCCAGTGTCAAGCTTGCAACCTCTGACTGGGTTTGAATTGTCCAGTTGAAGGACCATCTTGAAGCTGGTCCTCAGATTTTGTGTCCTCAGGTTTTGTGTCAAATCCGATCCAATCGGCTGTTGGCTTGCACTGGCGCCTATTGGTGCTAGCAGGTGAGCATCCGTGATGGTGGTTTGGTTTGAAGGAGATGAGGATTCCGAGCTGACGAATATCTCTCTGTCCGCGGGTGCTAGCCCTCTTCCGGCATTCAGTTGCTCCTGAGTCGTCATTGCATCATCTGATTGTAGAGGTGCTTGTACGAGTGCCGGCCCAACTCCTGTGGATGGCCGACCGTGAGGATTCTCAGGTGGCTCTTTGTGTTGTGGTATAATTCTATCACCAATACCGTTGGGAGGAGATGTCTCTGATATGGCATCGGACTCCAGAGAAGACCCCTTTCGCACTGTGTCGTTTGGCTTGGGGGAAGTATCCGCTTTCCTGCGCTTCCATAACCGTAAGCCAGTCGTCAAGGATGCATCAATATCCGTTTTCTTACCTTAGCGCAGCAAAAGGTGTAGGTAGACAAGCAGGACAAAACTTGTCCCATCGCTCTCTGACTCGCCCCTGTGATGTGTCCCCTTCTTTGCCCTTCGAATTTGTTCGGTAATTCTTTGGTCTCGACGTCTGGTCAAACCAGGCAAGTCCTGAGCGAGGGTGAGAGTCGATGGTTCGTCGTTCACGAAATCATGCCCAACGTCGTGTCTTGGCAGCTGGCTTAGACTTGGGCTAACCCTCACCGAAGGCCCTGGTTCTTGCTTATTGAATCAAGAAAGCTTTATCTTGCTCTCGATTCATCTGAATCGTCTGAATCAAGATACTTCACTGCACGAGACAATAGGTGAGTGACGGGAAAAGGGACATTAGGCGGGTCCGGCCGGCAACTAAACGTTGTTATGAGTTGCATCGTCTCGAAAAGGTCGCAATACGAAAAGGTCGCAATACGAAAAGGCCGCAATAAGAAAGGCGAGGAACCTCTCATCTTGCTGGTCAATTCAATGATCCTTTGAATTGTAACGGAATACAAACGCAGAATTTTGAGCAGACCTTAGCTCTTCCGATGGTGCATGAGTGACATTGAGGAGCCTACGCACGAGATTGAGGCTGTTCCAAGTCTCTGCATCGTGTCCTTAGAATGAAGCATATGTAAGGCTGAACAAGAAGTCTCCAACACCATCGCGATGGGGCCCAGATACTGCAGGTGTCTGGGACAACAACTGGCATCGATCATATTTTCGGACAGTTACTCCTTACATCTTATGCTTGGATTAAGGGTCTGACACTGTGGATCCAAGCAATGGCTGACTACAATAAATTGGCTACACTAATGGCGACACACCAAGACATGGCCATTTTCCGAGCATTTTCGTCGTTAAATGTTCAAAATATATTATGCTTACAGGCCGAATTGACCCATCTCGAAGCTGAGTTAGCAGATATAGCTATCGCGAACAAGACCTCAGGAGACAGGGAAAAGATGGCTTTCCAGTATTCATTCTTTGACTTGAAGGGCTCTGGTAACACAAATAACGACCTGCAATGGCGGAAAGTTGTCGAAATCCGCGGCGTTCTGGAAGCATATAGTATGGGCTTTATCCAGCAATGTAGCAAAAGAGCTGAATTCATCAGGTTACCTTTTTCCCGAAGACACAGCGCTTCTTCAATTTGCTCAATTGCAACAGCTGTCGAAGCCGACCACAAGTAATCTGAGTGTATTAAAAGAGTGGTTGGAGCGACCTGAAGGTGGCGATTTCTTCTTGCGAGGTAGAGAAGCTGAGATGTGGGACAACGGCCGAGACACCATCACGACATCAAGTTTGCGTGCCGAGCACGACAGCCTCACAAAGCTCATTATTAATAGAGTAATACCTTGGTATCATTGTCGCTGGGGCTATCGAGTCAAGGTAACATTTGACCAAATTTCCAATCGTTCTGCTAATTCTGCAGCATCAGCCCAAGATGCGCAACGGCGAAGAGTGGAATGGGCTTTGGTATTATGACGATGCCGTGATCGTCACGATAGCCAACATCACAAGTATCGCACTCTCATCGATACTACCAGCACTCTCCGTACTAGCTCTTTACGTGGTAAAGGCACCGTTTGCGAGATTAGCGGTCGGGGTGAGCTTTACAGTCCTATTCTCCGTGACTCTCGCCACGATAGCACGACCCCGAAGGGTTGATGTTTTCGCTGCAACAACTGCGTAAGCTCCAAGATGAATACCGAAAGCATTCATAATGCTTATCAAATTATCTATCCAGTTTTGCTGCAGTTCAAGCTGTATTTGTAGGCGGTACCAGCTTTCGTATCAACTGAAGGAGTGAGCATCTTCAGCACACTAGCTGTTATGCCATCCATGCAACCAAGTCTTCGGATCCCTAGCAGCTGCTGTCCTTGCAAGCTACTAATTTTGTCTTGCCTAAGTAGAGCTATCGAATTGACACGTGAATTCGCACCGTCAGATGACTATCGCGCTGCGACGCAGAAAGCGATTCTTCCTTGAAGGGTTTGCGCCCAAGAATTCCAATCCACAGAGAGCCCAATCATCTGCGCAGCTAGAAGCAATCAGCACGTGGATACCTGATTTTGCCTGGGCTCTTACCGCAACCCGACAGCTGCTATGGTTGCGCAAGGCAGCCAGCTCGTTGCAACCTAGAGTAATGTCGTTTGGTATTGTCTCCCTCTTTTATCAATTCGAGGGCATAGCCTGACAGCTGTAGGCAAATACGGCGTCGATGAATGACAACAACTCGCGTCGCTTGCTTACAGAGTAGAGGATTAATGTGATCTGTGAACGTAAGTGCCTCCTAGCTTCGAGAGAGACGATGCGCTCATCTCAGGCGTAATTGCGTTCGAAAAAGTCTTAGAGTGACGAATTATATTGCTGAGAAATATCGCAAATAAATCAAAATCTATGGTTAGGATTGAGAAGAGCGGGGTTCGCTCCAAAGGGTCTAATAGCATTTCGCAGGAATTGGTGCTGCAATGCAGCCCAGATTTGAACTAGCTGTTTAGGCGCCGCTTTCTGCCTGCTTGCTTCTAGGTTATCGCACACAGTGTACACTCCCGATCGGCGCATTCTAAGCCAGCTATGTGCTTGTATTCTGTCGACAAGGCTGGTCCCATAAAGCGCTCGAAAAGAAATGATTGTAGTTCTGTTATTTGCAATTCTGCAAATACCAGCTGCAACATCTACAGTCGACAATCTGGATCTTCTGCGCGTCTCTTACTGGTCCAGGCTTTTTTGGCTGCGTCGAGACGACCCCGTCGATAACCCAGAAGTGAATTTCATGGTGCGTAGTAGCCTTGTCGGTTGCACCAACATGTCTAACATTTGGTCCAGGCAGGGTCACGCGCGGAGCTAGACATTACGATATGCTGTGGCAGTCAAGAGTCTGCGAAGACAACTCCAGCGATCGCGGACAAGTCGCTATCTGTCAGCATGATCTCTAAGAGTCTTGTTCAATACCTGCGGTGTAAGGTCAAGAATTGTCAAAAAAGAGAGGAGCGCGACCACAAGGGAAACCCACGCGTTCTGGAGCAGTATGTCGAGCTGAGCTGGCATAAAGCGGGGGAAGCAGCAATGGTATTTCCAGAAAAATTCTACATTCTGGACTATTGCCAACCGCTCGTAATCCTTGGGAAGACTGCCCACAGTGGCAACTCTTCAGGTTCGGAGATCGGTGTGATCGCTATGAAACCTCAAGCCGACGGTATGTAAAGGCAAATCTGCCACTCACCTCAGAAAGATAGTCGCATACTTCAAGTTTGCGACTGAAAGACATGACCAGGAGGCTGCAATAGTCTTGTCATGATTCAAGTAGCTCAAGATGAGGCGCAATCCCCGTTGACATGTCATCACGTTGAAGCGCGTTGTAGCTAACACATAGCATGAGATGAAGACGAGAAACAAGAGCAAGACCGTAAACGTAAGGAAGCCCAAGAACGCAACGCCAAAGAGAAGGAGATACAGAAAAGCAAAGAGAAGGAGAAGCAACAGCAAAGCAAGAAGGGCTAGTTCAGCCAGTTGGCAATCTCACGGGAGCCAATGCGAGTACAAGTGTTTGCTTTTGTTCTTGTTTCTAAGCAGTATCCTTCAGGCAGCAGGTATGAGTGGGTTTGAGGCCTGTGATGAAAGCCAGTTCATACGTTGTGCTACCATTGGATTATGAGGTGGGTATCTTGAATATGGCATTGGTGTCCTCAGTAGCTCATGTACTCGTGTTACAAGCTTTGCTAGTGGCAGTCGTACTCTTCGTCAATCACGACTAGAACAGTGAAGGCTTGGCTTTTTTGCTGACACGCGAATCAGGATATTGAAAATCGCTTGCCTTGAAACGTTATGGAATACCACTCAAAGAAACCGCGATTTGGGTTTCTGCTCCATATGAAAAGCGTCTGCATACCCACATGATAACTGCAATGGGTCATGCCATGAGTTGCCAAACTCTCGCCAACGCCCTCAGCATTTCGTAGTCACCCAATGGGTTCGAAAGACAGCTGTAAAGTGCCAAATAGGCTTTTAAAAACACCATGATAACTTGATTTGCGACTTTTGTGCATTTCAAGGTGAAGACATGCGGTCGAGTGCCCCGCAAAAGTCTTGCAATCGGTCCTTGAGCTCTTCTTCAAAAGATGGTTCGCCTTGAGCAGGATCAGGCTTGGACGGACGCGATCAGGTGGTCCACTTGACAAGAATGAATCACCCTCTCGCCCTCGTCTCACGATGATATGGAGTCAAGCTAAGGGTAGATCGTACCGCCCGAGGGGCCCGTAACCCTAAGATTTGACAGCAACATCGTTTAAGGCATCAGATTGCGCCACGGCCGTCAACCTAAGCCCGTGTATTACCAGTTGTAGTAATAAGATAGCGACTTTGGCAACTTATATCCTTTACTTCTTTTGGAGGGCCAAGAACAGCCATGAGCCATCTCAAAATTACACGAGGCTTGGTGTGGATCTCGGGGCCGTACTCAACGTCAGCACCAGGGCTGGCAGACACGGGGGAGTGCGTACTTTCAATCATGTATGGGTAGTATTGAAACTGGTGCATAGGACGCTTTGATCCGCTGTAAAGCCACATGACAGACGAACCCTTGGAACAGCAGGCTGTGCAATGATCATTGAGCAATCAGAATGATGGACGGACAGCTTCGTATACCAAAGCAGAGAGCTCTGTGCATGCTCACTGCCACAGCTGGCCCTGACTCATCTGACGATGACGACGTCCCGCGCAGTTTACATGCCAAAACGGAATAGCATGTCACGAAGTACCTTGAAGCGCATCTGGTCTTTGCTGTTTTGGTCTCTAGCTATTACTTTCCCACTAGAGCTTCAGCCTGATCATCAGCCTGAGTGACTCCGCGTTCTTGCAATGGCGTCTCTCGCACCCTCATTCCTTCTCAATGTCTTCGTCCTCTCTCAAGTAATAGAGCGACGCTTCATCCCTTTGATTTCACTTTACGCATTGAGCATCTACTTGACCCACAAAGATATATCCAGCAAGAATTACACCGATGAAATACCTCCCAGTGACGGTACGAGGCTTACCCTCTGGAACCACAGCACGTCAGGTGGAGGACAACTTCAATGGCCATCTCAATATCGAAAGCCCATGCCTCGTGGGCCCTATCGTTGAAGAGCTACAAGGCGGCAGCTGTTCCACTACTGTCATATTCCAAAAGGAAAAGAAAGGGCGAAAACGAAGCTGTGAAGACATCAAAGATTCCTTCCACCTGAGCAGATTCGAATCCGGATCGACTCAGGCTACAATCTCAATTTCTGACGATTTTCTTGGACTTAATGCACTTGCTGGTCGGAGAGATGCTCCTATTCAGTGAGGTCTTCTTCCTATAACCATTCGCACTATTGCTGACAAATTGCTGTATTATAGCATATACTTTGTACATGGGCTTGGTGGACAAGCGTTCAAGACCTGGTCCACGGATGATCAAGATGGCGACATCACGAATCTCAAGGCATGGCCACGCGATTTCCTTCCTAGCAGGCTATTGCATGAGGGCATTAATGCCAGGGTATATTCATTGGGATACAATGCCAACGTTGTCAGAAGGGCTGCGCCAAATGCTTCAATCACTAGCGCAGCGGAGGACCTTTTGATGATGTTACTCTCGGACAGAGCCTATGTAGGTACTGCCACGCCTGCCTCAACCTTTGCTGCTCATAATTGTCTAGACGCCGCCTCAAGAGATATACTTTGTTTGTCATAGCTTAGGGGGCATTGTTGTAAGTCAGGTGAGTTGCTTCAAAATGGTCTTACTGGTCCATCGACTTACCAGCACGCAGGCGTTGAACATGGCTCTACTTGGAGCGGTGGAAGGCAGCAGCAGACGAGAATACCACGATTTATTCGTCCACAACGACCGATGTTTAGTGAAAGGCGTTGTTTTATTGGGCACTCCCTTACGTGGAAGTGGTCAGGCAAATCTCATGGCTCCTATCGTCAAGACGGTGAAAGGCCTGAACAGGCTCTATGGTACTAATGAGAACTTTGTCAGAGCCTTACGAGAGGACTCTGGGGCATTGGACATACCACAAATTGTCACCCGCTTCAAATCAGTGGTCAAGACTAACGGTGTAGCTTTGCGCATTGTTTGTGAGGAGAGACCAGTTGTTGGCTCCTCGCTGGTATGTCCCTTGTGCCCGTTGTCACTGAGGTCTGACTAATGAGATCTTGGGATTAATAGACCACTTCTTACGACTCTGCTCTTGCTATTTTAGGAGACATCGTCACCCCATTTCGCATTCAAGGCCGGGATCATATCTCGATGGTAAAGTTTCAAGACGAGAATGATACGGAATATAAGAAATTGGAGAACCTTATCATAAAGATGATAAGACCTCTCGTTCCTACAAGACCTGGAGGAGAGGATCATCACTTCTCGTCGACTGATCGATCAACTGGTGCTTCCAGCGATCAACCACCTTGGCAACAGGGCAGTAATTCGTTTACGCCCTGGCGGCAAGAACCAAATCCGATAAACTTCAATGTCTATTTGGCAGCTCAATCAAACGCGTTTGCGTCCCCATCGAGGCAGCAGACATACCCGACACAGAGCCGCCCGCCACCAAGTCCAGCAGTCCAGACAGTATCGGACCCAACAATGGACGGCTCCTCAATTCCTGCGGGCACAAATCAAGATTCTCTTATATCTCGAGCGCAAACGGACCCTCATCCGGATACTACTGCGGACGAAAACCCTTTCAACCGCTTGGATCTTTTTGACACCGCGTTCATAATTGATGATACTGGATCTATGGTCAAAGAAGCTCGAAACGACGAACCCAACGGTTTAAACAGGTGGGCAGTAACGGTTCAAGCCCTCGATCATATTGCAGAGATTGCTGCTCAGCATGACCCTGATGGTATTGATATACGATTTTTAAAGTCCGCACATCTCGCAGACGACAATATTCGCAGCGGCAAGGCCGTCAAGAAAAAGCTTGATCAAATCGATCTCTGGGATGGCAAGCATGGCGGGGGAACATACTTCCAGGAGCGTTTGGAAGAATTGATTGACCCGCGGGTCTGGGAATACCAGTGGTTCAAAGAAGATTTGGCCAAGTATCCAGGTGAACTTCGACAGGCAACGCAAAAGCGTTTGCCAAGGTCACAATGGCCGAAGAAACCAACACAACCAAGTAGATACAACGTCATAGTAGTAACCGACGGCGCTGCTGATGACAGACAAGAGGTTGAAGAATACATAATCAGTGTTGCGACAAGACTCGACGAGTTGCGTGCCCCGAAAAGGCAGATCGGCATACAATTCGTGCAAGTCGGTGAAGATGAATCAGCAAAGGTCTGGCTTAAACGTTTGGACGACGACTTGAGTAACATGGTGCCACCTATTCGAGACGTAAGTTTCCCAAGATAACTTTCATGTACGCCATGTACTAAAATTGCAGCAGATTGTTGACACAACACCCTTTGACAGCCATCTCATTCAAGAGAATGCTTCATTTGCAGAAGCTTTGGAACAGGTGATAGTCAGCAATGTCCTTCAAAAAGCACTACTTGGAGCCGTTACAGAAGAAGAGGACAATAGAGTAATCGAGGCTGGCATGTCGGAGCTAGGGGTTTGACTGCTACCTTTGGCATTGAGATTTATCTCCCAAAATTCCCATGAACAAGATACGAGCCAGAATCATTGCCTCGAGCATGCGCCGTCGTTGGTAAAGAAGCTATGTAATGTATTAACGAAATACCCTAACTGGATATCATTTCAAACTCAGTCCTCCGAGAGCCTTGAAAAGTTGAAAGTTTCGCAGTCGCTCCAAGATACGAGCTTTAAATTCATCGAAACCTGGCATGTCTAATACCATGATATGCATTGCAAGGAAAACTTACTGTGCGGCGCACTCGAACACTCCTCCGCTCGGGGTTATCAAGCAAGAGCGCTGCCTTCTTCACAAAGACTTCCGCTCTAATTTAACTCTTCCCTTGAGCGACATCTCGCAGAAATCATTCATCTGCTGTAATGCAATCACACAAAGATCCCTTGCAAGGTGAGTATCCACCGACGTCACCCACCACAACACGCAGCTCCGAGGCATATACGCCATTCGCACATTATCGATGGAGCCCAGCCCGTCAAGCACTTCGTATAGGTAGCAACCCTTTTATCTGCCGTGGGAACTCCCCAACACACAGGTATCCGTGGTGTCGTCGCGGCTAACCGCGGCTAGCCCCTTTCCTCCAATATCAAAAAGCCTATTTCGCCATCCCGAATAGGAAATTTCGCCTTCATCAACACTTCATGATGGCGGTCCTCGCCACCGCCTTTCCTCATCGGTAATTATTTCAGGTCTACCTTCGATTTGCGCTTAGCATGAGGTTGGATTTACATTTAGGGTGTCCCGCAACTGTACCCGTTGCCCGCGCGGTAGGGCCTGCGGAGGTGTATGTGTGGTGACGTATGTTGGTGCGTGGCGCATCTGTTTTCATTTCTCCAACGATGCCATTGTGGAGTCTGACCCTGCTTCGTCAACCTCATCTTTCTTCAATCTCGTGTAGTGCAGATCTTTGGTTGGCATGCAGTTCGCTAGTTGCAATCTCCCTCTGCGCCACTAGTTCGCTAGGCTTGTTCGAAGCGGTCATCTCCATTCCCCCTGCTCAATCTGATTCTCGCCGCGCGTTGCTAAGCTGTTGCAGGCATTCGATTCTCTGAGCTGCCTTTTCTGCCTGTTGATTCTGTAGATGTAGACCAGGAGCACAATATAGAGCCCAAGGCCAACAACACCTCCGAATGTGCTTCCTGCGATAGAGCCCACGTCAAGTAGAGATCCATGAGGCTTTTGCGTGGTTGCTGCTGGTGGCACAGTTGCAGTCGTGTTCGCTTTAGTGAACCAATCCTGCACTTGACTGTTCGACCAGGACACAGGATAAGGTCCATTCTTCTGATACCAGGCCTTGATAGTATCAGGCGTGGTGTATGCTGGTGCGTCAGCATCGTAGCCGTCTTTCCACTCCATCACAGTCAGATCAAACACACCAATCCCCTTGTCCCAGGGATCTGCTATGCTGTCGACGGATTCGACGTTGCTACTTGCATTAAGTACTCTGCCTCCCATCACAAACATCTGCCTTTTTCCGATGACATTACAACTATGGATGTATCGTCCGGTGTCTGGGATGACGTCTTGCTTTTCCCAGTGGAACGCTGGCAGAGAAAGAACGAAGACCGCCCCCTGAGAAATTGTGGAAGTCAGATCGTTGCTTCTCCCACCGAATAGAAATATCTGTCATTATCTTGTGAGCTGTGATCGCGATTGTGTCAGGCTGAATATTAACCTCGTATGTATCATTATCACCAGCAACGCCGACAGCGCAGTGGGAGAAGACTGGAGCAGGCTTGGATCCGCTAACCTCTTGGACTGCCCACTGCTGTGATGTGGGATCGAAAATGGAAACGGTATCAAAACCCGGTAGAACTCCGTTCGCGACCTTTCCTCCAAGTACTAGGAAAAGCCCGGCACTGCCAAACATAGAGACAAAATGAGCTGTCCCTTCTGAACACACCCCGTTGTTGCTATAGCCTGCCGATGAAACGTTGAGCCATTGCTGAGACGTCGTATTGTACACGGTCAGCCCTGGCGGCTCGTAATAGTCCCCAAGTGATTGATACACAGTATTGGTTCCAGAATTTTGATAACCACCGAGTGCAAAGCCTAAATCACCTCCAGAAGCGTAAATACCATTTGTGCGACGGACGAGAGACGAAAAATTCGACAAAGCTGGTGGTGAAATTTGACTCCAGGCACCGGAGTTACCAGAGGGCGTAAATTGCCACAATTGATTGGATGGTGGTGCTGGCTGCTGTGAGAAGGGAATCGAACCGCTGACACTACCGTCATAGGCATAGAATGATTCTTTGCTCACGTCCGTCCATAAGGCTTGATTTACTAAAATTGGTGTCGTAGAGTGTATGGAATTTAAGTAAAACTGAAGAGTTGGTCCAGGAGGATGTAAGATCAATCGAAAATGTCACGTTGCCTACATCACTTAGTGATACCAGCCAACTTTCGAGCGAGGAGGCCTACAAGGCATTGTTGTAGAATTATCATCAGGGTCTTGAAAGGTGCCATGACGAATCCACCGGGTCACCTCACCGCCGTGAATGTAAAGGAAATTTCCAATTACAATTGCTGCAGAACGTCTAGTAGCTGCAGACAACGAGATGATCCATGGTTACGGAGTTAGACTTACAGCTTTGAGCAGTGCGATGGTGGAAATCAGGTATAGATGATTGCGAAGGAGGGGAAAAGTAAGGATCGAGACAGTCAGACTCGCGAACAAGGCTGGCAAGAGTTGCTATCAGTACGCAGAACACTCTCCATATTGGCCGCTTCCACATTGTTCCACAACGAACAGTGCTGCTCATAGATTCGGGGTGCAAATAAATCAAAGATGCGGCGTAAAGAAGTTTGAGGGTGACAAGAGCCCTTGACCGCGATTTTCTAGGCTTTTATCAGCCTTGTGAGCGTTATGAGGGGGTGGCGTAAGACTTCGATAAGCTAGGCATGACAATCGACGATCATTGTATACGGCTCTATGACTGAAGTTTCGACATGGGACCCGCAGCACTAGGAGTCCAATTGCAGTCGCCAAGCCGAGAGCCTGCTTTCCCTCAGTCGTCGTATATTATTTCTCCCTTGATTTTATTCCTAATGCTCTACCGTGTAGGCTCTTCCATAATGTACTCTTGCTATGCGCGCCAAGGACGTTGCACGAAGACTCAGGATGCCAAAGCTGCTGTGCGCGGTGCAATTGGTGACGAAGCTCGTCCATAAAATTGCAGTCAAGATCTCAGAAAGTTCGATCTAGACATCACCCGTCACGAGGCACGTAATCTTCCTTTAGGCAAAGGCATTTCCTGCCAATTTCGACCGACATCAGGAACATTCAATGACCGATTGGTAAGATACGGATATCTTAGTAAATGGGGAGAGTGAAGATTCCTTCTGCTTTGCGTATAATGGTCTTATTCTTCAGCAATATCAGCAATCTCCGTGATCTCATCATCAGACATCCTCCGGAGATCAACCCCGCGTTCCACACCTTCCAGCCTCGCTGCAAATTGAAGCGCCAGCTCTTGCGCAACCTCAGCAAGCGCATCATCCACGATTTGTGGCGGACCGATTGAGAGATCGATGCCGAAGTCTGGCAATCTGTTCGCAAGGGTGGTCTCTGCACGCGTCACGCCCGAGCTCAGTCTTTCAAAGTCCTCTGATCCTGGTAATATTCGGGCGCCTTGGTCAATTCTGTCGTTCTTCCCAAGCTGCTCCACCATGTTTGTCACCAAGTTTCCTGGTAGCCCGCACGCGGTAATCCGTCTGAACCATTCTAGATTTGTGCACACATTAAGCCCAATTCCATGACTGCTCACCCTCCTCCGTAAATGCACGCCTACACTTGTAACCTTCTTCTCTTCATCTTCCTCTCTCCCTCTCCGCCCTCTTCAACATTAGTTCCAGAGTCCATAACCCACACGCCTGGAGAATCCTCTCTTACAGCCCCCGCCAGACCAAACGACTTCAAAGCCCCAATCACACCTTCTTCTAACAATCTTACATAGCACCTTGCGCTCAAATGATGTCTGTCCAGCGAACAGATTAAGTAAGCCGTTAACTGCCCTGGCCCATGGAATGTGGTCTGCCCCCACGCAGTGCTTCGTGGAACTCAGCAGTGCCATTGGCGCGGAGGTGAGAAATTTGAGCTTTTGAAAGGGCGGCGATTTCGCGGCGGCCGCAGGTATAAGTTGGAAGAGTGGAAAAGGTTAGAAGTGTGGGACTTGGTGGGGCACTTGGGTTTGAGGACGTAGGACGGGCTTTAAAGTCGAGGTGTTGGCGCACGAAGTGCTCTTGGAGGCCCGCAGCGCGGAGGTAAGGCGTCAGGCCGGAAAGATGGATGTGAGTAAGGCGAGTCATGAGAGGGTTGAAGAGGCATAAGGAGAGTCCATGTTTATCTTCCTGAATTAAGAGTCACCCTCGAAAGATTCGGTACACGATGTCTGGTCAATCTTGATAACCAGATCTCGGCTATGTAGTTATCACTCTATAAGATGCCGTGATTGTTATGCCATGTCTTCTGGAGAACCTGACAGAGACTGAGAAAGTTGCACGGCTCGGATGCCGCAACAGCAAAAGCACCGTGCTCATGGGGACTGCTGCTCTGCAAAGATATGGCCCAGCTTCTCGACACAAATAATCCGTTGGCCGCCGGGTGCCGAAAACAGCGCTAGTAATGTAATTTTAATTGGTGGTAAGATACAGATGATGGTCTCGCTAAGAGATTATTGCATTCGCAAGATGGAAGGCTTAGGTGCCATCCCAGAGCAGTGGCAGATAAGACGAGACCTACTGCATTTGTAAAACGGAGTGTGCTCCATGACAAAATCGATGGAGGAGCCAAAGCCCAAAACTACCAGAGACCCATTGCGATTCAACTACTCCGCAGACGAGAATGCTAAACAAGCTGAGGAACGACGTTCGAGAATGCCAGGAGCCCAAAATGATTAAAAAAAAACACTAGATCTCACATCGGGGGCTTTGGAGCAGCCGCTTAGATTTCGCTTCTTAGCTTCTGTCTTGTGCTGACACTGTACCTTTTCTTACCTCTTGTTTTGTGCCCTGTGACTTTGCATTTCCCTCTGTGCTTCGCGGACTCCTCTCTATGGCTCTTGTAATCTTCTCTGTACCCTGGTCATTTATCTCGGGGCTTCTGGTAACTTTGTCTATGCTTGGTGTTACTTGTTGATGGCCTTTCTAGGCCTTTTTTATCCCCTCCTTGGCTTTTGATGGATTCTTTTACGCCCGTTGGCTCCCTCTCGGGACTTGATGCATCCAATTCACAGCGGCCATCCCTTTCCGCTTCATCAAATAAATTACGGAGCTTTCTTCCCTCCGAAAAAGAGTAGATGGTTCCCTTTCTTTTCCACAATACCAATGCTCTCTCAGCGTCCCCTTGTTTTCCAAGCTGGAGGTGACGCTTAGCCTCGATAGCGGCATAATGTGTGCCCAACACTTGGTCTTCACTCGCTGCTGTAATTGCTTCGGCTGCTTCCTGGAGATGACTTTTTCTTGCTTGACCAAGGATCATGACAAGCAGCACATCAGGTGTCGTGAGTATTTGATGTGCCATCTTAGCACATGCTCCTTCCGCAGGTGGGAGGACGAAGACTGTACTGCTTCCCTTCTGGAACGCGAAGACACCCCCGTTCAAGGGCCAGCGCACTTTCACTGTGATTTCGAAGAGACCACTGCTATGGAAAAGCGATCCTTCACCACCGTGAAGCAGTGTCATGGAGGCGCTGATTGACTCTTGGGATTTTAGCGCTTTCAGTGAAAGAGGACTATTCATGTATCGGATGAGTGGCTGGAACGTGCGGAGGCCGCCATCAATTTTTTGAACCTCGCCGCGAACATATTCTGATTTGAGGCTGACGTCAGCCGGAACATTTAAGACCGAGTCGCTGATATTAAGAAGCTGGACAGACACGCGGACTGGGGCACCGATTGGAACCTCACGAAGCAACGGCTTTATCTTCAGCTCGAGACCCTCCACAGGAATTTCGGCGTCCATATCCGCAGCATTGGGACTACTAAACCTCTCATGGCCCAAATACACACCCCCAGGACGGACATATGGATCAGGTAAGTGCCTCAGTCCCCGAAGACCACAAGACGCGCACTGCCATTGAATTGTATCCGGAAAGAGGTTGCTGGCAGGTTTTATTGCAGCGATTACGTCGACCGTGGTAATGGGACCGCCGGCTGTAGTATCGTGAAATAATCCTATTGCATGTCCTAACTGATAGGCCTCCGTGCAGAAGTAAGCAGGCTTCGAACCTGCTGAGTTCTTACCGTGCTCTGATCCCCGACCGGTGTTGTGGTGAATGACCCAGGCCGTTGCGATACCCACGCCTTCCCGCGGAAAGTTGTTGGAAGTTGTTGCACAGACATCGTAGAAGATACTCCACGGCGTGGAGAGGATGACATTGACAGATGGACTGTAGAAGTGCCACGACGTATCTAGGTCGATAGCTTCGCGATAGGCTAACATGGTCTCATGCGTCTCCGCATTTGTGTAATGGCTAGATGTCGAACTTTCGAGCGTGACGTTCGTCTTATTCGCACCGATATCTACATCCCAACCCAGAGTTCTGAAAACAGAAAGCCAGTATTTGCCAAGACTACTGTCTGCAGGTACCTTGTAGTTAGCCGGAGCATCAATTTCGATAAATGCTTTGCGATAAAAAACAGATATCCAGCCCATTTCAAGTTGACCGACGACGTCACCAGTGCTTGACTTCACATCGCCCTTAGCATAATCCTGCGAAGCTGGGTAGCGAACAGGAGCACCATTGAAGCACAGGCTAGCCGATAGAAGCCCCTCGTTGGTCCAGCTGTGATCGGCATTATTGTATCTCCACATTTCGAAAAGCATCGAGGATTCTTTGCCTTCATTCACAATGTGGAGATTCGTTACCCGAATGTAGTACCGATATCGTGCTCGAAGCTGAATGGGAATTCCATTGGCGGTGGCGGGGCTAACACCAAGGGCAGGAGCGCTTTTCCTATTAGAAACAAGATTGACCTCACGTTGATAGAGGTCTCCGCTAATAATCCGACCATCGGCGGCGCTCGGTTCAACACGGAGCGTGCCATCGTAGGCAAGCAGGGATCGCTGTGAACGATAGTACGAAATGAGCCAGCATCCCTCTCGCAAGGATCGACCATTAGCGCTGCTATTCGTGTTGGCCAATGGTTCAGGCAGAGCAGGAGCCGACATGATGAGCAAACTTGAGACAGCTCAGCGTTGGTCGCAGATTAGAAGATGGATCATAAGGTGAAATGAATGGTGACTATGAATTTGAAGTATTGAAGATATTTATGTGACTGCCGAAAGAAAATTAGGTCCAGGCAAAGCAAAGGCACCGAAGCAGGCGAGATATCACGAGTCCGGTAAAAGGCTCGATGCATCGCGACAAGGCGAAGACTAGCAGACTAACTATTCGATACAGCTTATTGCCGTCAGGCAGTTGTTAGGCTTGATGTGATTGGCTCTCTGCAACATTCTCAATCAGTCTTGATAGCCCTGTATGACTTGAAGGGGTCCGTCTGCTTAGACTTTGCAATTTCATATGTGCCTTGCGATATCTGGGGTTTGTGGCGAGTTGCACCCGTCTGCTTCTTGTAGCCTCTTGCCCGTATTGCCAAGGCAGCTTTGCGTCTTTTAATTTCCGAAGTATGATCAACCTTCGAATGCTAGAGTCATCTCAATTGAGATGGCGACTTCTGGATTACTCATCTCGGCAATTGAGACTCGCTAAGCCTCCGCATCTCAAGGAGGCAGGGAGTGTTTCCGACATATGGTGCTCGCAGCCGAAGTTTTACAGTGTAAACATGGAGAAAGCATGCTAGACAACATGGCAATGAAGCAGCGAGGAGCTCGAGGTATCTGCTTTGGCAGCGATGCTGAAGAACTTGCCTTCTGGGAACAGTACAACGCCTTGATATGGCGGGGCTGTCAAATATCGTGTCTCAAACCCTTAATCGGTTGAGCCTGAGAATAGCAGGCGTCCTCAGATGAAGCAAACAAGGCGTCCACCATTTTGTTACGTTCCCTCGGACGCTTCAAACATTGTCCGTCCTTGGAGCCTTGTGAGTGGCGTCTGATGAATGCAGGTAGTGTGCAAGGTCATCCTGAGTCCAATCTCGGGACAGAGCGGGCCTTTGCAACATTGCTATTGACTCCGTGCTCGATGTCGACGTGTTCCTTTGGTGGTTGAACTGGTTCAAGATGGGGCGTTGATTGGATTTTCTTACTTCACTCGAATGTAGGATTGCTTGATTTTGGCGGATTCTAGCGCTACTGAGGGCTATCTTCGTCATCGGCATACAACAAACGGAGAGACCGGCCGTTACCTCTACGATACTGATAAAAGCCTCAGTCATGCGGTTTTCCTGGGAAAAAAAAGTGAGCAGCTTACGCAGTGATTTGGACAGGAACCGTAGTCCATTCGGTGTCGGCGCTTTGAAATGCTAAGATGCGGTATGCAAGGCCAAGTACACTAGCGATACAGGCACTTCATATCATCAGTGCGTCAGCAGAGGCAACCAGAAACGGAAGCGGACTTACCTAAGACCGGTTGAGAACATAGCAGCCACCTCCAGCTTCTTCTTACATGGCATTTGCAACGAACATACCACCGGGAGAGGTAGTATGAAGAGATACAGATCGCTGAGGATGTTCACGATGGCCTGTGCATAGACGAGACCATGTGCCTGGTTACATTTCGGCGATGTGGCGCCCTTGAGATATGACAGGCGAGAATAGCCATCCTCGGGGCCGCAGAATACTACGAAGAGAACGGCCGTGATACAATAGACTATTCCGGTAATAGATATGAATACGTATGCGTTGTATCGGAGCCATTTGATCAAGCCGAAGAGGTTGAGGTAAAGAATTAAGACGCTGAGCTTGATGAATGATATGCACGGGCCATACAATGTCTGTACGAGGAGCGACAGCTGTCGGTGCAGAGTAAGTAGTGTTGCTATTGGTCTGTGGAATATGGCGATTCCTTACCACGAGCCTCTTCTTTGTGTAATCGTTGAATTTTGTGTCCCAGGCGTGCAATCCAAACGGCCCACCCGCAGTCTCTTGAACAAACTCAGCTATGATCAAGTCTAGCAAAGGCTGACAGACCGGCAATGGTGATGCAAATGTAGGAGATCCCGCCAGCCTGTATCAATCAATCAGAATCAGCGTCCTTTTACAACAGGTAAGTCTCTCACGAGTGCAACTGCGAAGGTAACTACGGAAAACGTCAGAGCTACCCAAGGCTAATTATAAAGGGTTGCTAGGGTATGAGTGTACAGTCGTCCCAAGTCTTCCGCCTCAAAATCCTTAGCTTAGTATACAAGCGGACAGATGCAAATAGCAGAATGATGGGCAAGCAAATCCCGGCGGAAATGAAAATCGAACCCTTTCTCGACGGAGGATTCGTAAAATTGGATGACAGGCCCGGTGGTGGAGGCTGTACAGGCTCATTGGAATTGTCCAGCGAAAAGGCTGACATTTCGATACCTTCGCGTGGGAGACAATGGTGTCAACTGGCGATGGAGACTTTGTGCAGACTAGAGCTTATATTTTATATCGTGGACTGTGCGCTGACATTCATAGGGCTGACATGGTGTGTGATGGCAACCACCTTACTAGAAAACTGCATTACAACAGAAGTGGGTGCCTGAGCGTGAGATCGAGCCGACGCAAGCGGTCGAGCGGAGCAAGCCTCTCCAATCGATGGTATTTCCACTCTGACGACGTCCTTAGGCACATAGTCCCGTCTCGCTCGTATGCCTTTCGCCGGCTTTACCGCCATGTGCCATCTGATTTGCAAGCTTGGGCCAGTCCACGGACCTTCATTGGATGACGGGTCTGCAGCTTATAAACTTCATACACTATTATAAGCACTAGGCGCGGGGAAGCTAAAGGCTGACGATTTTCCGCAGCGGACATGGCTTGTAAAAGTCTTGAAGTGGAAATGCTGGTATGTCATTTTTTGGTGCCGGTATTGAGAAAATGTCTTTTTGGCACTCGGAGAGCTCACTGGAGGAGCCAGTCCTTCGAGGTATTTGCTTCTTTGGTAGAAGCCTAGAGACATCTGGTCGACTTCCGAAAACCTTTCAAGCGTTCAGACGCGTAGGGCTGAGCCCTGTGAGGCTTTGTCAACATCTTGCCTTCGCTATGAAGCACAGTGGCAGCTGAAGAGTCGGATCGTTCAAGCTTTAGAATGTTGACGCCACGCGTCGTCTTTCGCACCGAGAATAAGTCGAAATGAGGTCTGCATAATCTGTTAATTTACTCCTACTCATACCCCCATCTCGGAGCTTTCGACTTCCCGACCCGGAAGTCATATTGACCGTCTCATATCATCCGATGTAGGCCAGTAAGACTCATGAATATTGACCCTTCCGAGATTCATTGGGCTTTCGCCATGGCAGTGGCTGTCTTGAGCCTCACTGCGAGTGGCAGCAAACCTTGAACTTCATCGTCAAGGCAAGAGTGGACATTCGTTCTGTACCTGCCTGATCCTGCTGCAGAAACCGGCTAAAGCGGGAATGAGAGTAGTCTTGCATAGAGACACACTCCAATTAGCCCCAAATTCGTGCAGATTTCATTATAGAAGTCAAGCACCACGATAGCAATCTACCGACGAGACAGCACATCAAAGCTTGCAAACATTGTCGTGGCTTGACATCAAGAGTAGAGGCAGACGGAGCCCTCTCATAAATGCCAAGAGATGAAGAAGATTATGCAATCTTGGCACCCTGCTGCTGCGGCTCCACAATCTCAAATTGCTCAGCAATGATCGACCTGGGTATCCAGTCGTTCGGAGACTCGTATTGCCGGCGACATAGTTCCTCGCAGCCTTGGCCTGAGGGGCCATATTGCCGCACCGGTAACTTTCTGGAGATCAGCACCGACAGGAGAGCAAGGATGATCGATTCTTGACCCCGCATCAGGGCTACAGGTATTCAGTAGTTCTATGCTTCGAATCCTCTGATCGATGAGGTCCCCCTTGAGGAGCAGTCGAGTGAATAAGGTAGGCATCAGGCATCAGGCAATCCTGTGTAGTAAAATAGAGTAGTGCCCGGTTGATAAGGGCATTCTCCGTGACTTCCGTTCCCGGATCGTCAGCAGGGGTAAGGGGCCGCTCCTGTCGCCTGACTTGGCATAGCTTGACCGTTGAGTTTAATTATGCGTGGGGTAAACGGCTCTTAGCGCGGGAATCCGCCAAGATATCAGAAGCATCCTTGCCACCAGCCTCTTCGAGCATCGCCTGACTCCCCCCCAACCCTGACGCTATCTATCAAGCGACGGGCACCCTGGTCATCCGTGCCACACTAAAGGCCATTCTTGGATGGCCATTTGAGCTCTTATCGGACGCCTTTCATCAAGACTACGTTGCTGTTTTACGACGAGCTTGATCGTCTGCCTAACGCAAGAAACGATGCACCCCTCCTTCGTATCAATCGGAGCTCTACTCCCAGCTTGTGCATACTGGAGCAGAAATATCCCTTCTTCCTTAAATTCGCCGCCGTCACCTCAGACTCGAGACTTTTGATCTCAAAGACAAGACTTTATGGTTTTCCTTAGCTCTGATGAGGGATTTCTACCAGCTATGAAGATCCCCTGTGCTGCATAAGGAGCTGCAGCCCAAGTCTAGATCGCATTGCAGACATCTGCTTGGCGACCGTCCCCACGTAAAGATGATGCTAAAGATCGAGTGACTATGGATTGTACCTCACGACGGATGGCTAAGCATTGCTTGTCATTGCTTGTTCCTCTGCAATCGGTGCGGCCCGGCGGCCCCTGATAAGCAATACAGACCCTCAGACCATCGGCAAACACAAGGACCTCATTCGCTCACTCGTGTTTTGTTTCCCAGGGCATCCGGATCGACCTCTTGCCTAATCCGGACATTTACCGCCCAACAACATTCGCATTGCGGGAGCGCATGACATGCAGACCGCTTCCAGCTTATTTGACTTTCAGCTGCACCATCTCTGCAGCCCCTCTTGACTGCTCCGTACCTGCTTTCCTGCTCTCCTGCTAGCAGCGTGCTACAGGTGGGCCTTTTCGTTCTGGCCTCCTGTCAGGTACTGTGCAGTACGATCCTCGCACTGTGCAGCCTGCATACACCACGCTAACGTTCTGGTAGCATCAGACAGCACGTATTCCTTCTAGCAAAGTGTCCGTCGAGCAACTCAAAGGGGTGGAATGTCGGGATTAGAGAACCGGTTTGGGTGGGCTACGTTCATGCTCGATCCTTGTCATTCATTTGGTGACTCTTCATTTCCCTTGTCACTTGCTGCCTCATGCATGGTCAAAGGACTAGATGGAAGAAGGTGTACTGCATATTCAACCCGAGGGCGCCAGCCATAACCTACACTTGACTTGATGCAGAAGGAACATTACTGATCGTCAATGATCATGCGTAAGGTACGGTCATGTGGCCTAATTCCGTGTCAACTGTCGTTGTCATTGGTTTACGCTGTCAAGATTCTAGACTGTTTTGAGGGTCTAGCATACCATCATTTAGGGAAACGCTTCCCAGCTAGCCCAAAGAGGACAACCCTTCTCTGTATCCTCCTGCTCTTCCTGTCGTACCTTCGATGTACCTCATCTCCGAGCCTTGCAAAGACAAGATGATAAGGAAAGCGGTGTGTCAATCCGTGGACTCGTTATCATATGTTCACAGATGGGGTGAACGCTTGGGCATATCATAGGGCTCGCTGGGTACATAAGGCTACTCTTCCCTCAGCTCCAACGCATCTCTGGAATTTCTCATCCATCTCATACCTAGCTAAGATGCGTTCTGCACTCTTCGCTGCCACTGCTTCATTGCTGGCCATTGCTTCAGGTCTTCCAGCCTCCAAGAACTATGTGGTTCATGAGAAGCGCAGCGAGGCTTCGAGCTGGGCTCCTGTAAAAGATGCCAAGCCTGACGGCCGCATCATTGTACCCGTGCGCATTGGCTTGACGGAGAGCAACCTCCATTTAGGCGATCATATTCTAAATGAGGTCTCTGATCCTACAAAGAAGACATATGGGAAGCATTTGACGCCAGAACAAGTAAGTACAATAGACCGCTCTAAGCATATCGCATGAATGGGCTGACCTTTGGGAACAGATAATTGAGCTCTTTGCGCCGTCACAAGATGCCATTGAAATAGTGCACGACTGGCTTGTGACATCAGGAATCGACAAGTCCCGCATTGCCTTGTCAAAAGGCAGAAACTGGTACAACTTCAATGCCAGTATCGCCGAAGTTGAGGGATTACTGCGGACCCAGTACAATATCTACTCGCATGCTTCTGGACAAGAGCACATTGCATGCGACGATTACAGCGTCCCCCAGGAGATTCAGGAGCATATTGACTTCATCCTTCCTACCGTTCATTTTGACACACAGATTGCTGCGAACCCAGAAATGAAGAAAGTGAGACGTGATATTCCGGCCTATCTGAAGCCTGGAGATCCTGGCAATGGCTTCCTACCAAAGAAAGGGAAAACGATCAAAGGCCCTGGCGCTCAGCCCGATGCTGCTCTGCCCTTTTCCACAACGAATTGCAATACCCAGATCACGCCCGAATGCTTACGAGCCCTGTACGGTCTTCCAATGGGTAGCCTCGCAAAGTCTTCCTACGGGATCGTCGAATACACGCCCCAAGCGTACCTACAGGGCGATCTCAACTTGTTCTACTCAAATCTGGCCACAAACGTTCCGTCTGGTACAGCTCCAACTCTCGACTCAATCGATGGCGGAGTGGATCAAACTACGACACAAAGCTTCAACGACAACGGCGAGTCAGATCTTGATCTGGAATATGCAATTGCGCTAGGTAAGCATGCCTCGAGGGTTTAGAGTTGCGCTATACTCATGAAAGTTTAGTGTATCCCCAAAAGGTGACGCTCTACCAGACGGGCGATCTTGTCGAAGGAGCATCATTCAACAACTTCCTTGATGGCATAGACGCTTCCTATTGTACTTCAGGCGGCGGAGATAATCCGACCTACGATGCTACGTATCCTGATACCGCCTCGGGAGGTTACAAGAGCAAAGATTGCGGCAAATTCGCCCCCACTGCCGTCATCTCCACTTCCTATGGCTACAACGAAGCCGATCTCACATCCGCATACGAGAATCGCCAATGCAACGAGTATATGAAACTTGGGATGCAAGGCACAACAGTCCTTTACTCTTCGGGCGACTACGGCGTCGCAGGGAATGGCGGTGAATGCTGTACGAAGGCTAAATGTATGCTCCCCCTCTCCTAGCCACTCATTTCCTTTTCCAGGCATTAACATTCTGCTTCCCACAGGCGCCGGTGGCACATACTCCACATCAGGCAAGACCTTCAACCCGTCCTTCCCCGCGACCTGCCCCTACGTCACCGCCGTAGGCGCCACCCAGATCAAGCCCGGTGCATCTGTCACAGCGCCCGAGGAAGCCTGCGAAACCGTCATCTACTCCGGCGGCGGCTTCTCCAACGTCTTCCCCATCCCCTCGTACCAATCCTCCGTCGTGGCCACCTACTTCAAGAACCACAAGCCCCCCTACACAGCCACGCAATACAACAACAACCAGTCAGCCCGCGGCTACCCCGACGTCGCCGCCAACGGCGCTAACTACGTCGTCGCTGTGGACGGCTCTCTTAGTCTCATCTATGGCACATCCGCCTCTTCTCCAACATTCGGCAGCGTCATCACGCTTATCAATGAGCAGCGCGCGAATGCGGGCAAGGGGTCTGTGGGCTTTCTTAATCCAACGCTATATGCGAATCCAACGATTTTGAATGATATTGTTACTGGGGGTAATCAAGGGTGTGGGACAGCCGGCTTTACGGCGGTCACTGGATGGGATCCTGTCACGGGGCTGGGGACGCCGAATTATCCGAAGATGTTGAGTACGTTTAGTGCGTTGCCTTGATGAGTTGGGGGAGGGGAGAAGTCGGGGGCGAAAGGGAAAGGGGGAGGTAGAAACGAGCTTAGTAAGCGATGGAAAAGGGGCTATGAATGATGAGTAATCGAAATGTGGGCTTTGGAATTGGAAGGTAGACATAGGACGGTCGTTCTGATGTCGTATTTCAAATGGATGTTGAGCATTCATGTTTTGACTTCTTGATACTCGTCGTAATGACCTAGTATTTGATCAACATTTCATTGGAGATGCATTGTTGTGTGGTGAAATGCGGTCCTCCTTCGTCGAATACGGAAATAGGGCACTTTTGCGTAGTGCAAGATATGTGCGCGCTGAAATCAGAACACGATCAGTCATTGCATCGGCGGAAGTAATGTCTTCTCGTTAAGCATTACGCTCAAAGAGTTGATTTGATGTTTCGTGTGGAGACTGCGTTACGTACACTTGCGTTGGTGATCGGGTGATTGGGGTGAGACATGGGCCGAAGCTCTGGATTTCGCTGTGATCTTTGTTAGGTCTCATGCTGGCTGATTAAAATGAGAGAAGACAATGTCTCTGGGTACTGTAGCTGAATTTCCCAGGGACCTTTGTTGATCTTTGGTACATATGTGATTTTATCGAATGTTCCGTATAGTTGAGTTCACGCATAAGTTTACGTATGTGCATATTTGCAGGGAGTCATTTGGAACCTGCTGCTTTGCTTTGATCGCTATATTCGCATCTCGGTACCGCACGCATATCGTCTTCGTTCATCGGTATGCCAAACGAGTTGCTGCTTCTATCCTCGCCTTTTCATTCTCCTGATTTGTGTCCACATGGGCTGCAGCTCTCGTATTTGGACCAACGTATACCTTTGGTGGGCTTTGCATCGCTACTACGTAGGCTGTGTCTTTACCGTTATTATCATTTGATTCGCCTTTCGTGTGCTGGGGTGTCAGATCAAGCCCCTTTTCTGCTGAAGAGCTATCGGTTTGTCTCGTTCTTACAAACCTAGACTTGTAAATTTCACAGGTTTTCTCATAGAGCGTAGATAACTTGAAAGTCTCGAAGGTTCGCCGTAAAAGCGGCCGCATAAATGGCAGTGTGGCACCTATGAGGTAAACGCCGGGCTCGACGATGGTCCAGGTGTACAGAGGAATTGTATCGTAGTATTGACTTCGAACCTTTTTCTCAAGTCGGTAGAAAATGACTAGGCGAACAATGGCAGTAATCAATCCTCTGTTGCCAGGAGTTGTAAGTCATCAGGCTTGCTATCGTAGAAAGGGAACGGATGACATACATGCAGCCTGTAAGGAAAGTAATCATGAGTCCGATCTTACGCGCTGTCCGAGTATGGAGTCGCCATATGGCATGAATCGGTAATACGAGAATTGCAATGTCGGTCAATACGTTGGGAACGCTGATTATGCAGTATGCGACGTCAGCGTTGCCGCATGTTGCTTCGATGTATAAAGTCCAATAAGCCCGCAACGGACGACATTCGAGGCAGGCCCACAGCAAAATGCCAATCCAATTTAGAATGACAATCGTTGCGATAGCCCAAGTCGTGTGACGATAGAGTCTGGTCGGGAAGATGCGATGATATAGGCATAGTACTGCAAGCTTCGGGAATGTGATGGCCGGGGGATAAAGGAAATGAATCGACACACGCAGCTTTTGGAATCGATGCGTAATGTCTTGCATGCCGAATCCCATATACCGTCCGAGACGACCATGCTCAATCATGACTATAGATTTTCAATCAGGATACCAAGGTTTCCAGATGATGATCGTGCAAAAAAGTACTGTTTAAACGAACAAAAGATGCGTTGACTTACTAAAGACGCAAGTAATGAGACCAAGATTGAAGATGTAAGCCGGCAACATAAGATACACATCCCACCCTTTGGCCGTTTTACTGAGAGTTCGGGAGAAAAAATAAAGGGCTACGAAGCACGTTTCAAGTACAACGAGTGCAATTGCTAGATCGAGGAGCCCTGGGCCCCTATAAGCGTAGTAATAATGTGGCGAAATATTGTGCGTGGAATTTCCGTGGGTATCCACCTGCGAATCCATCTAGGACGATCGTCGTGGAGCTGGCATTGAGCACCGAAAGCGCCCCTATCTTGCCGGCTAAGAATCATCAAACCGGCCGTTTCAATGGTTCACTGTAATATAGTGAAGACTTGGAGGACCATAGTGAAATTGACACTCAGAGTGCGATGGGCGATAGCAAGAAACAAGTGCGAAGTCATTGTTCTTGTGCAGGTACGGAGACATGCAGCTCACCATATGCAAGATGATGCACAATCTCCCGCGTGCACAGACCTGCAATGTGATAGTGCCGGAGAATCTAGAGACCCATTTTCGTTACTTCTTTCAGAGTCAAGGGCTCCTCATGACGTGATCCAGAATCCGTTTGTCTTCCCATTTCTACCTTTCCAGTGCCAAATCTGTGAGAAGAGGTCGACCCCGAAGCTCTATCCTGTATGAACGTTTATGCAAGAAAGCAGAGACGGTACCAAGGGTATGTCAATGGATGTTTTGGTGCGGGAGCGAGGTGACGCTACGCCTGGCACCAAAACCTCAGCCGTTTCTCCTCTTGCGCACCAATCACATGACGCTGAGAAAGTCGAGCAGATCCAAATGTGGAGAAACCCACAGAGTCTTCAAATTAAAGCCCCTGTACCGCTTCTTGAAGCAACCTGGTCTTCATCAAATGGTGTCCTAAGCCACCTACGTTAGTCCTGTAATACTTCTGGTCGACTTACGCCAACCTCTTGAAGACCTCCCGAGGACTGACGGCTCATGGCCCACGATCAACATCACGGCAACAAGATGCAATGAATTCGTCCAGACCTTGGGGCCCCGTCGATCCTGCTTTCGTCAGTCTCTTTAGATCTTACCGCGACGGGGCTGAGCGAGAGCTTACCGTAGGCATACTCTCTGGGCACAACTTTGTTGTCCTCAAGGTAGTTGAGTAATGGCGTGAAAATTTCCCAGCTCGCATCAACCTCGCCGGCCCTTACGCTGCGCGAGAAGTCTCCTTTGCAAGCATCGAGTAGTAAGGCTTCGTACGCTTCAGGAATGTCCTGACCTCGATATGACAGATCAAGATCGATAGCTTCGGTCTTGATATCCAAGTGTGGTACCAAAGCATTGATTGTGAGAAACATGGCTTCATCAGGCTGCACACGAATCGTCATTCGATTGGGCGCTAGCTCTCCAATGATGGAGGCGTTTGGTGTTTGACGAAAATTAATTACGATGGTCGCTTCCGACTTATCTAAGGCTATGAACGCCAGTGAGCAACCTCATTTTGGGGGGGGATTGCGTTCTCTACCTTTGCCTGCTTTTAGCAGAATTGGCACGCCGGCCCAGCGTTCATTCTCGATACGGGCCTCTGCGGCGCAGAATGTCACGCATCTTGACCCTTCTTGCACACCGTCCTCATCTCGGAATGCAGGTTTGAAGCCGTCGGCAGATCTTGCATACTGGCCGATGATAGTACGTTGGTGATCAATGGGTGGCATCCATCCAAGAACTCGAGTCTTTTCGTCACAAAGGTCGCGCGCACGAAAGGACTTTGGCCGCTCCATGGCGAAAAGAGCAAGTATTTGCATCATATCTACATCTTTGTAAGCGTCGGCCCGCAAATCGAGACGCAAGGATAAAGCCTTACGGTTCTGCATGACATCTCGAATGGTGCCACTCGATTCGAAGTAGCCGCCTCGGCCTTCCACTCCAATGCATTCACACATTGAAATCTAAATCCAAAGTCAGTTAGCAGTGGTCTGTCACGGTGCCCGACTATAAGACCTCAACGCTCTGGATATGTTGTTTGTTCCAGATAGATGCAAAGATCTCGTTTCCAAATCTGATTGCCAGTAAATTATTGACGACTTCCTTCCCCAGATAATGATCTATACGGAAGATTTCGTGCTCGCTCCAATTCCCATCAATTGCTCGCTGAAGCACTCTTGAACTTTCAAGGTCATGACCAAATGGCTTTTCAATCTATCATCACCTTCAGTAGCGCACCTGAAGGATACCGGTGTCATTGGTTGACCTACAATGATCCTATTGTCGCCCCTCGCCGAGCAGCAGAATTTCTTAAGGCCGGCGCTTGCAGACTCGAAGGCCTTTGGAGGCAAAGCCATGTAAAAGAGCGAATGCTGTTCCTTTTTGTTCTCACCCAAAGTATCTAGTCTCCGTCCGAGTGCTTGAAATGACTTCTCACCACCTTCGTGGCCGGAAACGTAACTACATCGTTTCTTGAAATCTTTCAGTTGCTCGGCATATCGAGGGCTATCGATTTTGGCTCTGGCGGAGACGATGCTGTTGAAGTCTTCTTCATTGATTTCATCGGGTGCAAAGCCCACGATTCGGAATGATGGGGGCAATAGAGTGCGACGCTCCTGTTCGCCCTGTCAGGAACGGCTTGTGAGTAGCGTCACAAGGTTCCCTACTAAGCCGAACAATGCGGGAAACTTCCTGCTTGTAAGTCCAACTCTGATTGATCCCTTCCGAATGAACACCGTACCAGTTTCTTCCTTGCAAGATCTCCGGATGCTCCTAGAATGACAAGGACTGTGTCCTCTTTGATCGCTTCCTCCATGATACTACGTACAGGCTGCTCAAGTCAGGAGCAGATGCGAAATGGTCTAGATCAAGGCCACCATTTAAATATCATCAGCCTGCTCGCCGACTTCGTCCATACTCCGTTGGTGACTTCAAGAATTTGCCTCTCGGATGAATGACATCACAGAACAAGTCCCTAAAAGACCCGCCTAAGACCGCGCTGCATGCGGGGGCGTATAGGGGGCATCTTTTGGCGGCCCGCACAATGCGTTTTAGCCGCCGACCTTCTGTCTCGAGCCGAGGGAGCGTATTTTTCTTCCTCAATTTCCCAACGCCCTATCACCAAAGAGATAAGGGTACGCTTTAGAGCATAGTAATTCAGGTAGGTGAGATATTTGCGGAATGCAATGTCAAGCCTACGAGAAACACCATGCATTTCTAAGGCAATTGCGACTAGTATCAAAGGCCGCTGACGATCAAAGCGATGATGAGGCCTTTTTTGACTTATCAGGAGCAGGCCAAGCATAAAGCAAGATTACAGAGCCTGCCATTCATCACATACTAGGCGCCATTCGTGTTTGATACCAGCAAGAGTTGCCCCAGAGGAGGTGTTCCTAGTCCTGAAGCTTGCTTTGTGCCGCAAACCCATGTGGGAGGAAGGCAAAGCGATGGTCAGCAGTATCAGCTATGCCCTTTTTCTGCTTCGTTCTTGGAATGATGGTGGGATACTAAACGGGCGAAACTTGAGGACAAGTCAGTATCAGTGAGTATGCGTTCTCTTACAAATATCTAGTTATGATATTACCTTTTTCCATCTCCGCCTGCTCCGAATAGCAAGCGCATTCTGACAAGTCTCCATCTACTTCCAGCCCATTGGAAAATCAGTTTTTGTACTTTAGAGACTCCTGTGAGACAAAGCTTGGACCAAGAGGGGTTCTTTTGCCCGTTCCAACGTGGTATCATCGCTTGAAAATGCATATCAGCTGCGTCCACCATGTCTTATATGATTTAGATTCCATCTGTATTGTGGTGGCTTTTGTTTCAACTCTACGGCATCCTTCGCACAAAATCATCACCAATGAGTGATGATGGCTTATATCGAAGGAGATAGACTTTCCCCCTCGATCACACCGCCTCGCCCCAGAACGAAGAAGCGAATGAGGAAGAAAAGAGTGAAAGGAAAAAAAGAACCCAACATTCAAACATTTCATAAAAAAGAGTTTGCTCCTGCGAGGACTCGGAGCTCGGTCTTCAGACTATTGTAGCGGATACGAGCCACCAATGGTGACCATGAAGATCTGCTACTCCCGAAGGGAGCCCAATTGGATCGCGTTTTCCACATTTGCTTCTGATATGCTAACCATTGCACCACCGGAGCGTTTTGAATATCGTGAAAGAAGAACAAAATATACACCTGTGGAGAATTTGTCATATTCTGGGACTATAAACAGCATAGAAGGCAATGCGGAGACGCCACACCTGACACAATGCCCGCAGCGCGAAGCCTACCAGGCCGAGTAGTGGCGGCTGGTGATTCTTAAGTCACTCACCTGCAAATCAGCTGAGAATTCAAGTGCTTACCGCCACGCATTATCATTCTGATAGCAATCACGGTATGGTCCCCTCAAATGCCCCACATGATTCCTGAATGACTACCCTGAGAATCTAGTTGCTTTCCGCCAGGTACTATCCATCTGACAGAAATTGAGTTACAACTTTCTGGATGAGGCTACATGATTCGTAACCACTTTGTCTCGGCTATGCGATCGCTACTAAAATCGTAAACCTGCACGACATCATACTGGCCAGAAAAAAGTTTTCCGGACGATGGAAGAGCTTTAAATCGCCTTTGGTATCTGGTCGATCTCTGGCATTTGCCATGGACAGACATGTTTCACACTGCTACTTCTCATTAAAGCTCCCCGCACTTCAGCCTGCGGCAATGATCGCTCAAAGAAATTCCCGATGCAGCCGTAAGTCTCACATCCCACGGGGCGGAGATGGGGAAACACGAGGCTGAGCAAATCTCCGGCACACGATACCTTGGAAGATCCTGAAAATAGCAAAGTATGCTTCGGCGCCGGAGCGAAGCGAAAAGCGCGCTTATAGGAGTTGAGATGCCACTTGTCTGGCTTTGCTCTATGCGACACGCTCTGCGTCAATCTCACCTAGCGTGGCTTGCCGTCTCCGAGAAATCTTGTGACAACGTTCTAAGGCGTTTGTGGATGATTTCCTGGAGAAGATAATGCTTCTCTCGTTACTTTCATGAAGCTTAGCGCTTCCTGATGCCAACGTTTCGGCTGGCCTCCGGCTGGAAAATGTTTCCAAGTCGATCACACGGCGGGAGATGTCCGCAAGGATTGCAACCTGATGCACTTGCTCCTATTGTATTGGATGTGCCAGCCATGGCATTGACTAATAGTTTGTTCTGGTGAATCCCATTTCCAACGAGATTTACGTCATTGAGTCATCCATGCCATTGATCTCCTGCGCGCTAAGTATGCTTCGAAGGAGTGACCTTGTGGTCTGGTGTGCTTTATATCGATGGAGTTCATGAGCATTTTGCTATAGCATGACGCAAAAAGAAAAACCAAATTCACAGCCTCTTTCATTTTCCACTCTGTCTCTATACTCTTCAAGATGATGAAAAAGAAGTCTCTTGGGAGATATAGTAATATCATCTTGATATCCTACATTACGACCATATTTTCCAGTCCAGTGCCAGATGCATTGGCGATAAGAGGAGGTTTGGATACTAGACAGAGCTTCAACTGTTATGACTACTCAGCTCCATTCGATGCCAGCTGCTGGACGCTGCTGGACGTGCCAGGCTTCTTAAGAAATTGGAAACAAAATATCCCAACGTGTGCAGGGCCATACACTGCAGATCCCAATGCAAACAGCTCAGCTTGTTGTACCAGTCAAGAAACATGGTCGACTTGCTTTCTACGCGTGACCTATGGCTTTGCTGGATGGGATTGTAACCAGATCAATCCGGGGTCGTGCAATTGGCAGCTTTTGACACCCAAAAACAAAACCAACGAGCACCAAGCCGCTTATGCCACACGCAACATATACGGTATGCTCATCCATACCGATGATGAATTCCCATTCATGGTCATCAAAGCTGACGTTGGATTGCTCAAGCGATCAACAACTTTTTCTATACGTTCTATCTAGCCTTAGTTACCGCAGGGAGCTCTGCGCAGCTCTCAACCGAGGCAATGGTATCATCTGTGGACAAGATCAAAACGCAAAGTAGTTTTCAGGGGATTCTGACAGCTCTCTCTGCTGGTCTAGCATTCTTGGGAGCACCCAGTATCGGAGCCGTGTTGGTCGAGCAGCAGGCTGCGGCCAGTGTGAAGTATGCGTCCCAGGCAGCTGTGGTTGGCCTGCAACAAGCACCGCCAACAGCCAAATCACTCTGGCCGTCAGGAACCGACTCGTCGCAAACTTATCAGATCGGACAACTCAAGACTGTCTTGTCCGACGCTCTGAACCAGGAAAAGCAAAGAATCTCGGATACGGTGCATAAAATCATGGGTGACCTCGATCTCTTCCTAAGTTTCTCACAACAAGGTCAATGGGTCACGAATGAGACGTACGACTTGTCAGACAAAGCCACTAATCTTGATATGGCTTTGAAAACGTTGTTGACCAGTCAGGTATTGGCAAAGAATGGCTGGTACGCATTTCCAATGGACGTCTTGGCTCCGAAATACACGAGCCTCGATGCACTCAGAGCGGTGAGCACTGGCGCCTATGGGTGTAAGCAATGGGCAGACAACGGCATCTGTACAGGAGACACAGGCCTCAACTTCGTGCAATGGTGGTCTCCGACCACGCATCGTATGTTTCAACTTGATCAGAATAAAAATCCAGACCAGCAGTCAGACCCGAATCCAACTACATTGCTGAACGAGATCGCAAGCAACAAATGGGCGGACCTCGAGCTTCTCTTCGACGGTAGCTTTAATTGCACATGGGAAGGTCGTGCAAGGGGCGACCCAACAGTCGATTTTGGGTCTGATGGCAAATTGGAATTCGGTTGTATCAGTAGGATTGAACAAAAGTTCAGGGCTGACTGCGGATATTGCTTCCCAGGATCTTACCTCTTCCCTGGAAATGAGTGCGCGTTCACTCTTGTGCCTAAACCTCTCGGGAAAGATGCCTGCAGGACCCAGGTATTGAGCACAAGGCGGCGCCGATAGATTGCTTGAGGCTATAAGGGACTAGTTGCAGCGCGGTGTGCGAGATGTCTCCTTTTGCCAGGACTCAGGGGCGGCATTGAGCCCGAATGGGACAACTTGCTTTGCTTCACTACTCCACCGAGGCGCGTTGAAAGCATGACAGGGACATTGCAGTCTGCTGACTCCCAATATATGCATAGCGGTTTGGTATTACCTTCTCGACTTAGCAAATTTGTATTTTAACCCCCTTTTTCAATTCATATCTAGCTATATCAACGTAATGCATCAACCAAAGTACTTCTCATATGCCGCTCATAGCAGTCTTTTGCATATCAATATCCCTTCTTTACTCTTGCTTTAGTTTAAGGTGGTATAGTAATTGGTTTGAAAATTAGATTATGTCACCCAAACGTACGTTACCCTTTGTAAAGAACCAGCTACGTAAAATAGGTCGCACATGCCAGTCAGCACTAGACGTTGTTATGTCACGACCCTCATATGACCGAAGCTGTAGCAGCCATGACGAAAAGCAAGACTCCAGTCATATAGGCCAAAAGGATACTGGACGACCAGAAGCGAGTGTTCAAGAAGGCGCCTGATTCGGACTTACATAAGTCAAAGCTTGACGAGATCGAAGCATGGTTACGCTACATCAGGTACGAGTATTCGAAGGGACATGAAGTATGGGTTAAATTAGCGTTCATGGGACCGATCCTAGGAGGGTGGCTGGCCAAGTACTTTCCGCTAGCTGCACCTGCATTCGACCCACCTGCCATCACTTAGACCGCCCCAGCCGATGGCCCCTCACCACCGCCATCATATTCCTGTGAGCCATCTCCTGACACTACGGAGGAGTCAACCAGGCAATTGCAGGAAACTCTCGAAATTATGCGGGCACGGCTCAAAGAAGGGGAGCAGCAGATCAGAGAGTATCATATAGCTCTGAAGGCCAAGGACCAGCAGATCAAAGATTTGCAGATGGCTCGGGACGACAAAGACAAGTAGATCTATTAATTGCAGACTAACCTGGATGCTAAAGACGAGGCGATCCGCCGCATAAAGCAGGTGTACTCCGAGGTGCTTGTCACTGAGGATTGAGGTGGCCAGAAATCCAGGAGACGGACTTGGCGCGCTAACAGCCACTGAGCTTTGGCGCGAACCTTATTATTTCAAATCTACAGATGGCTACTGAGCACTGTTTTCGCGATTCACGACCACTATCATCACGTTGCAGGTCACAAAGCCAGCATCAGCATCTAATGGCATCCTCGCTTGGATCTTGCGTCAGCTCTCTCCGCTCCACCAACGCTCTCCTCTCCTCTAGCATCTCAATCCTCGACAACGGCGTGAATGACTTCCCACGGCTAAGCAAAGTGCTACAAACAACGCGTGTGAGCTTTCCTTTCCTTCCTATTTCTTTCATATGTGAGCGTGCTGACGAAGGAAACGCGATCAGCACTTCGAACTACTTCCCGAATCATCCCTTCATACCGCGCAATCACAACTCCTAGGCACGCTCACGCCCGAACTTGAAAGCCTTCTCAATCGCATTTCCACACATCTAGACAAGCTCGAACGACGCGAACAAGCGCTCATTGCGCGCTCCGAATTACTCGAGGGCCGGATTGGAGAGGAGAGACGCGCTAGTGCCGCATCGGGCGGCTGGGGTGCTAGGGGAAGCGGAGGGCTTGGAAAAGGAAGGGAGCCGAGTAGCGTGGGCATGAAAGGGGAAAGTAAGGAGGCGCTGAGACTGAAGCAAGCAAGGGCTAAGAAGGAGAGGTTGAGCTATGCGGTGGAGAGACTGACGCTGCAGGCGCAGCAGAGGGAACGGCAGCTGAGGATGAGCATTGCTGCTACATGAGAGTTGACTTGGGAGCTGTAGGATTTGGGCGTTCAGGATGCGATGATACCCATGGATCCATGCTATTGATATTACGGAGAGATGAGATAAAGAAATCAATGAGTTTCTGGCTAAGAATACAGGGGTATTTCATGTCCAAGTTCAAGCAATCATCCGCCCTTCAATCGCGACCCTTCGCTAGAGCAACGCCTCGTAAGGCCGTCAAACCCACCCAAACAGCCTCCTCAGTCCTCATGGTCCGACTTCCTTGACCAGGAACCACGTTGACCCAGTAGTCGAACAAGGTCTCCGGCGCGCGTACCTTCAACTTTTCCAGCTCCTTGTCGGCTTTGACGGCTGCTTCCAAACCTGCTACGCCTCCAAATACGATCAGCATGTGGTCAAACTGGGGTAAGTCTGCCTCATCCGATCCGCCTCTCTGGAAGTCTTGAACCGGTTGACCGCGCTCTGATGTCCCGAACGTGAGATCATAGCCGCCATCAAATGGGCATTCTGTCATAACAGCCGACAAACTTTCCGCTGTTCTCACGGTGTAACCCCAATACAGACCCTTGTCTTCCCTAGGCTGGGAAGGTGCGACTGCTGCTGCCCCTTTCCAGGCACGCGAACTCCCTGCTGGCAATTGAGACGCCTTCTCCAGTCCGAGATTCAAAGTCACTCTGGTGTTCTCTGGGATGTTCTGTTTCAGCGCAACCGAAAGCTTCGGCTCCAAGCCTGTGAATATGGTTGTTCCTGATCCGGAGGTGTTAGAGCCAGACTTCGCAACGCCCTCACGATACTGACACCACTCGTCCTTCTTCAGATGGTGGGGCATATCAAGGCTTGGTAAAATGCCAGCGTGCTGGAGGTCAGGATGCATGGGGAAAAGCATCCTTCGAAATTGGGGAGGGCATTCAAGATATGAAAGAATATGCGCCAGGAAATACGAAGGGTCAGTGTAGCCTGTGTACTTCTTCGGCTGGTCATTGCTACTGGAGACATGTGAATCACCATTGTTGCCGCCGCCCTGGTTTGGAGGGTGAACGAATTGTCCGTCGTCGAAGATTACGATCTCGTCGACGCAGAAGACCGCTAAAGCGCGGGCAATTTGGCCTGCTAGAGTAGCTTGCAGCTCGCGAGTTTTTGCACTGACAAGACTCAGACATGGGGCAAGAATGTAACTCATGGTAAGGGTTTCACTAACTTCGCTATGATGCTGCCAGGCAGAGCAATGCTCAGAGTCCATTTCCGTCCTTGCTGCGTTTTGAAGATCGCAGTGGGCTTGCTCGTAGCCACGTCAGAGGAAGCAGGCATAACGTACACACGTCCATTAATTCTTAATTATGGCAATTGCACATTCCGATAGAAAATTTCTAAATTGAAAATAGAGAATCTTTACAGTGAAGGGTGTCGGTAAGTTTACTGTCGGCCTTCTCAACCTTCTGTGGGGGAACTATGGTGGTTTCGTCCCTAGGCTTATGGGGTCGGCGATAACACACAGCGTAAATTACCACTAGCGCAGTACATATCGATAAGCCAAACCTTGTCGCATCGCTGTCCTTACACTTCTGGTCTCAGGCATCCTCCATCCAACAAATTCAATCATCATGTCTGCTCCAGCACGCCCTTACCTATCGAATGGCCAAGTGCTTCAATCGTACGTATTCTACTCCTACCCTTCCTTTATCAGTCTGCTGACTCTGCCCCATAGCGCCCCTCTTTCAACCCGCGTTCGCGGCTTCTTTTCCGACTCATACAACTTCGCTGGCCTTTACCTGACTACGCTCTTCACAGTACACCGTTAGCCTCACTTACTGGGGGGATTGCTGATATTTGGGTCATAGCTCGATGCCACCGCCGCAGCAGAATCATCTCCCTACAACACACGCAATCGCAACCAACCGAGAACAGGCGGGTCAAGATATGGTGGTGGAGGAGGAAGTAGTGGCGGCGGAGGTGGTGGGCCGAGTGGCGGAAAGAGAGTAGGCAGGGTTGATGATATCAGGGGCCCGGAATGCAAGAGCTGTCAATGAAGTTGGTTTAGAATGGACAGGGCGTTAGGTGCTATGAGCATTCCTAGGATGCTTTTAGGAATTATGCAATTCAATCTCATTTCGACATTTCATGTCTTGGTTGAACATATGAAGCTGTCTACGCAACTCTCCAGCATCATTGCTCCTCCAGCAAAACGCACCATTTTGCTTGAGATTCCTCACGTCAATCACGTTCGATGGATTTGGATACGGTAAGTATGACGGCCAACGATGCTCCCCCAGGCTTTTCTCCGAGGGCGTCGACCGAGCCGTGATCTGCGTTACCGTCAGCTCTCAGGCGATGCTGTCGATCGAAGCACTTGTACCCACATTAAACCTTCACATTTTTTTCATCACCACGACTTGGAAGCCTCCTTGATCACTCGAGTCTTAATCCCATCAGTGTATCTCTTCATTTCAAAGTAATAGCCACCTCGATCATACTCGTAAACCTGACCCTCGCCTCCGGCACCTCCTCGTCCTGCTTTTCTACCTCCCCTTCCTCGCCCTCCTTGTCGCCCTCCCCATCCTCTCCTTCGCCTTCATCTCCACTAACCACAACGATATCATCGACTGTCCCCACCGTCCCCGTCCTAAGCCTCACATTTAAATCATCCTGACCCTGAAAAAACAATCCAAATTCCAAGGCCCGTTCAATTGAGCGCCCCGTAGCCTTCAGCACCACCTCCTCTTTCTTTTTCTCCCTCTTTCCCCCCTTTCTCCACGGCCAGCACCGACCTCAGCCCCGCCCTTACGTGCAGCATCTACCTGCTTCTCCAACTGCCTCAGCTTCTGCTTATCATTTCCCGATCCCTCGACCAAATCTACGGCGCCGACAGCACGTTTATCAACCTGCTCGAGGAGCTTGCGCACGCGCTTCACAGCACTGATGAAGGGCGTGCGGGAAGAGATGTAGACCACTTTTTGTTGGGAGGCGGAGGTGTAGGGGGAGGGTATGGCGGGGTGGAGGAGAGGCCGCTTTTGGACGCGGGCATCTGAGGGGGGGCGTCAGTCAACGATAGTGGGGCAGATAGGCGGAAAGGTATTGGAAGGAGGACCGTACGTTTTGGAAGACGGGCAAGTTTCTGAGGTTTGTGAGACTGCTTTGAGGCCGCTTTTGCTTGTGCATTGGCCATTGCGTTGGCTGCACTATCTCTTGGAATCAAATCATTGAACCAGTGCTTCAAGCAACAAGGTCCGCATGGAAACTTGCCCCTTCGGACTTTGCAAGTCTACCGTGGACATGAGTGAATTGGATATACCACCAGCGGGATAAAGACAAAAATACGCTTAGCATGCGATTGGATACGACGCTAGGTTAGACATCGTGACATCCTGTGAACATACTCTGCTATTCTTCTTGTGAGGCATTATTGGTTACCACCAGCAATGGACCCATTTAAAGGTTCATACATGAAATTGACCGTAAAGTAGGCCATCTCTATTGCTCAGGCGCCATGGACGTTTTCGATTTCCTTGGGCTCTTGAATCTACCGTAGTTGGAGCACTGGGAAGCCAGCATTGATGGGTTTGAAATATATTGTGAAGCTCTAAATCATCTGAGCTGGTGAAAGTGTTGTTGAAGCCATGCCGAAAAAGCTATTACCAACTGAAGCGGCCGTTGAAGATTTTCGTTATGAAAATGTTGACCTAACCGCTCATAACATTCGAGTCGTCCGAATACTGCCAGATCTTAGTAATGATGGATTGATACAGTGCCAAATGGAAGAAGTCGAGCTGTCTACAGCCGACTACGCTTGTGTCTCCTACAGGTGGGCGACTGAGAATTCCAAAAAGCTGATAACGTTGAACGGGCAGTGCTTTTTTGTCCGCCGAAATCTGTTTGACTTCCTCAAATCAGCAATTCAAACTTCCAAGACGGATTCATTATGGATTGACGCTATCTGCATTGATCAAAATAACCTGGAAGAGAAGAATCATCAGGTTCAGATGATGGGTCAGATATTCAGAAAGGCGTGGAAGGTTTTGGTCTGGCTAGGCAAGGGCGACTTAGGTATCGAGATAGCCTTTCAAATGATTGGAATGATTTGGGAAGAGGGTTCGCGGGAGAAAGTTGAGAAGGAATTCCGGTCTAGACTTGGCTTGCGACGGTCTAATATCAAGACGTTTGAAGCCGCGATGGCCAAGATTGTCTGCTTCCCCTATTGGGAGCGTCTGTGGATCAAACAAGAAATTCTGATGAATAAGAATGTGCGCTATCTCTATGGTAAGTGGGAGGTTCTCTCTTTTCATGGGTCTTGGTGCCGATGTGACGGCCTGCGATGGTGCACAAAATGTCATCGGTATGCAGCTGGAAACAGGATTGCTCCTCAGCTATTCGATTTTCCAGGGTATACTCATTCTGCCTTTGAACCTCGCCCGTTGTCAGAACTTGTACGGCTATTCTCAAGCTCTGCTTGCACCGAGATTCGAGATCGAGTATATGGCCTGCTATCTATGGCCGAGGAAGGCGATGCGATCAGGGTTGATTACGCGATGACTACGACAGAGCTGTTCGTGCATACTCTTCGCGCAACTCGACTTGCAAGCTACTGTGATATAGAATTTCTCTATGTGCTAATTAGTGCACTTGAATTGTCTAGCTCCGATCTAGAAGAGATCAAGATTCGTGATGTCATGGAGAAGTACGCGTTCATCGACTGGAGTCTTCATGTGTCCATTGCCCCAATAGCGGTCTTCGCAGATGCAGACTTCTGTGAGAGGTCTTGGGCTTTTAAGTCACGTAGTTTAGACACTGATCCTCCAGTTGACAGACTTCTTCGTATGAGTGATAGCTTGCTTCCTTGGAGAGAACTTAGGACTATGTCGGATGACGAGGAAGCTGATATCATCTATTCGATCACCGACGATCATAGACAGCGTTCAATCGTTCGTGGAGACCATCAACTCAGTCCTGGAGACGTGATGTTCAACGTCAATACTAATACATCTGGGGACCCATCTAATCTGCTGCTTGTTGGAAGACCTTCAACCCAAAGGCCGAATTGGCTAGATGTCGTGGCGGTCGTAGATTCAGACGTTCTGATTCAGGATTTCGAGTGGCAACCGCAAAAATCCGAGGGTGTCACTAGGTTTAGGATATACGACGTACCTGAGCCATTACGGGAAGCAAGCATACGGATTGACATCCGACGTAAACCCCCAGCTGAATTGCTACTCAGTATCTCTTCGATCGCTTTAACCATCGGCCTACTAGAAAGAGGACCGCGCCATGATAAATCAGGAGAAGCAACAATGTGGTCATGGAAAGCGGACAAGATGGCATCAAAACGCATGTTGACTGTTTCGGCAATCAGAGATCGCGAAGGTCGCTCACTGAAGAGGAAAAGAAGCACGTAAGTACAGACGAGTTCCGACAACCTAATGAGGCGCATGCGTGATTATCTCGCGCACATGCAGGAAAGAAATATTTGAGTACTGATCGTCCGTATTACTGACTAGAGTTTTGCTCTATAGGGACAACCTCATCGTTACTATTTGTTAGCGTGGTGTTGTGTGCAAAGCTTCGTACGCGGCGTCGGTCTGCACAAGGCTATGAATGTTTTGATGTTTCAGTGATATAACCGGCCAGGATTACTTGTCTCTCGGGGCATTTGCCAATCTTGGCTTGCTGCCATAGCGCATCAAGTCTCGACCAAGCTTCAAGAGCGGTATGGCACACCTCACTTAGACCCTTGCCATTGGCTATTGCCAAAAGCGTGCAGTGAGCTTTCATAGCAACTAGCCCTCGACCTCATCTTCCCCGCCTCCGCCCTTGCTGTTTGCGGTCTATCTAGTGACAAAAATTTGGCTTAAGGAATTCGCTGTTTTCAAATCAGTATTCTCAGCAGCCATAATTGGCCTGTCTCAAATCACTAAGTCACCATTGACCTCCAGCGATTTGACGATGAGAGCACTAAGCGGAACACGAAGGGTACGTTGCTCATCGTCGCGAAGGAAAATGCAGTGAATGACGGAGAATGCGCTTTGGCGCATTGATCGCAAAAGACCCAGCTCGGGAAATCTCATCATGAACGCCTTACTCTACAATTTATGGCAGGTAACGCTCTCACACAGTGCGTCTACATGGGCAAAGCCTTCTCGTGACATCACGAATCATGAATGGGGTATGTTTCGTTTCGCTCCACTCGTCGGGTGTGAGACATTCCTGCCGATGGTTCCAGGAGACATTCCGTACGCAAATAGACACTATCTAGGCGACCCCGCTAGAACTGCGAGTCCCATGATCTTGCGACTCAATCATTGAGCGATTGATATCAAACTTATTATAATGTCCTATGAAAATGCTTTATCTTGGGGGTGTTGATCAGTGCATTATCATATCGCCTCTGCGGTCTTGTCTTGCTGGAAAACTTTATGGTGCCATGACACCGGAGACGAAGAATGCATGTAATCTCGTTTGCGTTCCTTCATGTCGATTCTACTCCACGCCCTGCTGCTTTGAGCCTGTCTTCGACCTTTCCTTTGCAACATGCACGAGAAAGCCACGGTCGCTCCATCGAGGACCATGAGTAACGGTCGAGACATCAAATGGATCGAGGTCTGATATCAGGCTCTTATGTGCAAATTCACCACTAAACATCGTCCAGGGACTCCGAGGCGTTGCAGCTGTAGGAATAGCATTCCACCATGTCACCCTCACCTGCTGGAGAAACCTCGAAAATGCCGCCGAGAGCAAAGAGGAATTGGGCTCGATCTTCTACCTTCCTCCCTTCCGGATGTTTGCTTTTGGCCACGGCTGGCTCTCGCTCTTCTTCCTCCTGATCGGCTTCGTCAACTCCTATAAGCCGATCAAGTTGGCACGGAGGGGAGAGATACCTGCGGCCCTAACCGGTCTCAATTCGTCGGCCTTCAGAAGGACGTGGCGGTTTGTACTACCACCTATGCTTGCCACTGTCATAGCGTGGGCGCTCGTCAATGTTGGGATGTTGGAATTTTGTAGATCGATCAAGAATGAATGGTTGAATACAACGACGCCTGGGAGGAGCGGCAGCTTTCCGGAAGCGATCAAGAATCTCTTCTATGCCATTTACTCGATGTGGGCTGGAGTTGATTTCTACTATGAGAAGAACCTTTGGGTCATGCGAGATCTTTTGATGGCGTCGTTCTACGTCTATCTTGTGCTTTTGGCTACTATCCGGTGTAGCCCGAAATGCCGGATGACAGTCTTCTTTGGGTTGTATGCTTTTGAATGGTGTCGCCATGAGAGTGAGTCTTCCTTCTTTGCTTAGGACTTTCATAATGGCTGACCATATAGTCTTCGAGATTGGAAGTGTCTTCGGTGGTATGTTCTTAGCCGAAGTGAGCCAGCATGACTTCGGCCTCCCAAGCAACGTTTTCTGCTCGACGTTGCTTCACAAAGTTCGATTTGTCGCTGTCCTTATACTGTCGAGCTTCGGCATCTTGGTTTTCTCTTTTACTGATGCAAACGCGGATTTCATGACCTGGACGAGAGTATTGCACCGCCTTGGTCAGCCGTACTTTCCCGCTACACAATGGGCACCTTTTGGAGATACGAAAACATACTGGCCTGTGATTGGCGCACACCTGATTACTATTGCTGTGCTTCTATCACCTGGGATCCAGAGCGTCCTCAGCCATTCGCGCCTTGTCTGGCTCGGGAGCATATCGTACCCGTTCTACCTCCTTCACGGCATGGTCATTCGGACACTCTTGGTCTGGATGTTATACGGGCTTCGAGAACCTATTTGGCTTTATACAAAGGATGGGAATGGAAATATCGAAGAAGCGTGGCAGACCATACCCAAACCGGATCGATGGATGTATGTGCCTTCTTTGGCAGTTTTCTTGATCGTCACACTTCTGCTAAGCCATTTCTGGAATCAATGGATTGAGCCGTGGTTTGGATGGTTAACGTTGAAGGCTGAGGAGTGTATGTGTCCAAAGTTAGCGGAGGCCCAAAAGAGGGAAGAGCTCATTGAGGAGGGTTTGCCTATTGCCAATGATGCCAGCCTAGGCGAAAGGGTACCTTTGATGAGCGAGATAACTCAACAATAACACAGGATATCCATGGATCTTTCTTTACTTCCTGGTATAGACTACCATTTTGCATGATAGCGGCATTGCAGCAAGAACGATTTGTGATCAACCCTTGCATTCTCCGATTCAGGAAACCTTCATTCATGTATATAGTTTGACGTGGGTCCTGTAGACATGCGAATGGACGATTCTCTGATCTTGTAAAAAAGTCTGCGACGGTAAATTGTAGTTTGACCCAGGAAACGTTGCTAATTGAGATCATTCGTCTCCGAATTGTAAATAAGATCTCAATTCTTGATCTAGTGCACCTGTTTCTTACACATTGTTCTTGACACAATATTCGCTTCCTATCATTTTCCCTTCCTTTGAATCTCCATCAGTGTCCTTCCTTATAACCCTCCGGGTAGATGGCTTTCCGCTCGCCAGACAAAACTTTCGGGTGCTGAGGGTGGTTTCTCCACTCATCCGCTGTTGAACAATGATGCGTCAGCGAAGTCCCGCAGCCTTGTGCTGTCGTCACGTACATTCAAGCATAGCCCACTGAAGTTTGTAGACTCCGAAATTGATGATGCAGCCTGTGGAGGTATGAGACGTCAGCTCAGCGAACTGGTGATTTCTCCTTGTTTGCAACAGCATTGGTATGTCAAACTGGGGAGAGCACTTCTTAACAGGCAGATCTGGGCATTTATGATACCGTGCGAGCGGTAAGCGACATACCAGCAAGGAAGAAAGGAAACAACGGTTTTGCTATGCGCGTATTAGCTAAAGATGTCCCCTTCTGCGGGCAGGAGCAACTGCTAAGGCCACGTACCCCATGGCGTATTGTAATACTTCAAGCCCATTAATGTTCGAGCCATGATGAGATAGTGCAGAGGACCCGATGAGCTGAGTTCTTGCTGAGGTTGGGAGGGATAGTATTCGATGGACTTCAAAGCCGGAGAATGGATTGGCGTGCCAAGATCGTGGTCTTGGCACCACTAGGCTTCATTGAGGTGGTCTGGAAACTACTCACATGTGATTATAAATATTCGTCCTCCGTCTCGCGACGATCTCGAAAGAACTTCCATCACCGTCTCATAGCTATACGGCTTCAAAATGGCGACACGGATCCCATGTCTATGCCCACGTTTGCATCGGCTTAACAGGCCCATCTCGCGGTGACAACTCCCCGGACACTTTTAATGTAGGGCATGAACGAAAATATATATAAATTTACAAATAGCTTTTTAGTTACAAAATATCTGGTGACAAGTATTTTTAATTTTTTATTCTTAGCAACTTTGTTACTCAGCCTTTTATCTAAGAACTAGCTAATAAAAAGTCCTAGTATGCAAAAGATTTTACGAGATTTAATGGTGTCCAGGGAGTTGTTGTCACCGCGAGCCCATCTAACACCTTCCTCCAGGGTGACCTGCCCACAGCAAGTCACGTGGAATACACAAGCAAAGTGGTAGAAATGCGTTGTTTGAGTGTCTACAAGACGTGAACAAGCCAGTACGTTGCTCTTCTATCTCAGACACAGGCAAAACAGGAGGTGAGCATTGCGTAATTGGAAAGGAGCGAAGACCTTAAGTGATGCGATGTCGGGGAGTGAACGGTCTGCGCGCGCTACTGGGGCGTCGAATGGCGCCAGGGTAACCTCATCCGCCATGATTCTCAGCATGATTTGTTCCGTAAGCCAAGAAGCATGCAAATATTTACTGTATTTGAACGTCTTGTTATGGTCAAAATACTCAATTGTCTTCATGTAAAGCTTCCCCGAAAAGGAAAAGCTTCATGAAGCGCTAGAAAAATGTCTGAGTACGGACATAGCGGACACAGCATAATCTCCAGATCAGGGCTCACGAGAATGGGCCTCACGAGAACCCGCCCCACGAGAATGCCCAAAATTTCTGTCCGATTGTATTTCTGTTGTTCGACGTGCGGAGGGCTGTACAGGAGGATCCTCCAAGCTAGATTACGAATCAAAGTCCCCACAATTTTTACCATTTTTGACTGAACGGTCTGGAAGTCAAAGGATCGCAATGATGAGCCAGGGAGCCTATTATGGGCTTCCCACTTTGCCCTCCCTATATTCAGTGCGAGACAATACAAGCTATCAGCATCCAGACAAATCCTTAGTCTCATACACTCAAACAAAGGGCAATTCCTTCCTTGGAGATAGTGAGATTCACCTACCACGATACGTCCACCCTCATCGTCCCTTGGCACAAGCCGACGATCGACTAAGCTCCGATCCATCGTACCTTCTTCCTAGTCAAAAGTTCCACAATTACAATGCGCCTGTCAACAACTACAATGCGCCCGTAAACAATTACTATGGACCCGTAAACAACTATCACTCGCCCGTAAGTCCGCCCGCACATGCCAGTCGAAAAACCGAGCAAGAAGACGTGAATCCTGAGCAAAGAGAGCTCTGGTTAGGGTCGAGGGAAGCATTTGAAAGTCGCTCACCCAGCGAAGTGGTCAATAAAAGGGGTCCGCGAGAAGCGCCTCAAGCAAGCGGCAGAAGTTCAATTCGTCTTCCCTCACCAAGGCGTGACTTGGAGGAATACTTCATGCCCGGCGAAGGTATCTCACGAGAAGTTCTGGAAAATAATGCAGCCGCATTTCTAGGTCGAGGCCCCTCTGCAGAGTCAGCATCTTATAGAGTATGGTTGTCATACTCAATTAGCCCTCAAATAATCCATCATGAGTAACCAGTCATCAGGGCAAATCTGGTTATCTGATTAAAGCGTGTCGACCTCTCACTGAGGTAATATCCCTCGTGTCAGGCATGGTTCAGGTGACAACATCCGCTAATTCATACTCTTAGGAGCAAATTGAGGAGCTCATCGATGAATCTGCGTCCTTCGTCAAATGGAAAAAGAAGAGCAGGTACAATCAGGACTATGCAGACTTCAAGAGACACAAGGCTAAGCGCAACCGGAGAGACGAGAGGGATGAGGATTGGAATACGGAAGACGATTTGTGGATGCGGAATGGATATTCGCGGACGAAAGTTGAAGTGAAGAGACGAGTATACTAAGCATATCTGACTCACTGATTAGTGCAGCAAAATATGGGCCAGGGCGGTAGTTGGTCCAACATCAATGCTGCTCGCACAACCTTTGTGCTTGTGAGACTCGTGTCAATTTGGCTGTCGAATGCCAATTAGACGAAGCCAATGCATGATCAGAGAACAAAGCTGGGTGCACGCAGGACGAAGAGGAGAAGGGGCTGAGCCTAGAATATGATCTGCGACCGTTTGATATGCCTTCGGTCTAATTATTTGAGGAGAGTTTCGTGATTCTGTTCTTGTAAATGAAGCCTAACACAATGAATTTCGCTCGTGGCTTGTTGCCTGCAATTCCCCCTCTTTACTCAAGCGAGGGCAGGACACAGGACCGTCGACGGCGTAATGACATGCAGTAATACATTGAAACGAAGAGGAAGACTCGTTCCTAGTCCAAGTCCTTTCCAACGTCCCAATATTACGAGACAAACTAGCAGAGCTGGTCGTTAGCGCTGAGGGGTAGCTCACGTATCGTCAGGCTAGGGAACCCACCAAAACTTCAAAGACACATTCAGCTCAAAAGGAGTAGCTGTTGTGCCAATTGTCTATCCTCAAGCCTGCTTGTACGGCGATGACATCGTCGACAATTGCTCACGATCTGTCGAATGCCGAAGCCGGGTGCGTCAAATTGAACGTGGAGTACAGAGCCTTTGAATACTAAAACTCGTACAGTGTCATTCGAGCTCGTCTACGTGAAGGTCGCGCTGCCATCAATTTTGCTCCGCCCGTGCTAGAACGGTTGAACGAGACTTACAACAGACCGCGAAAGACTTATTATGCCTTCGATCACAAGGAGATCAACGATGAGCCTTGTATTACGTGCGGTGCGCTAGACCTTGGAACTCTCTTTTCCCATGGCACAGGCTTCGATTTCCGAGAGGGGATACGTGTCCGTAAGGGCATTCCGATGGGCTGGTCTGACGAGATCTATGAACGTAAAGCGTGCCCGCTCTGTCGCCTTCTCGTAGATGTAGGCGATACGAGAATGAGTGATGACAGGCGGGAGGTAGAATTCTGGTACATAATCACTGTGACAGGCCACGACGTAATCTACAGCACGTCTGAATTATCATGCAAGGAAGAAAATACGCCTGATGTAAGCGGTGATCATTTGGTACCGGAAGCATTTTATCTTGCGTTAGTCAGAACGGTCAAGCCGCCCCCTGGGTATGGTTTTGAGTATCGGACGCTGCTCAAAGACCTCACCTACATAGGCCTCTCTGACGCTGATTCACTGATACCTTCTGGAAGCTTCAGCCTACGAGACTTTGTTAATGCTAAAGACACGGTGAAAATCATTCGCAATTGGCTTGCAAGGTGTAACAAGGATCATCGATGTTGGACTGCAAAGGCAGATGCTTCGTCATTCCCAAACAAATTCCGTCTCTTTGATATCAGGTCCCTTCATATTGTTGAATCAGAGGGCCAAGAATCATACATAGCATTAAGCTATCCTTGGACGCAGATTGAGAATTTGAAAGCGATCAAGCAAGATACAGGACGTACGCTGGATGCATGTCCACAAATATTGCAGGATATCATCAATATCATCCAAGATATTGATCTTGGTATCAGTCATATCTGGATAGATCAGCTCTGTATAGACCAAGAAGATTGCAACCAAAAACAAGAGAACATAGATGCTATGGGTACAATCTACAGTGCCGCTTTTGCCACCTTCATCCTTGCAGTTCCGCCAGAGGACACACCTCAGAAGGGACTTGCTGGCTTCTCTATTGAACGTAAGCCATACCAACGCACGGAGACTATCGGAAAAACCAAGCTAGCAACCACATTACCCTCGTTAGAAATGGCAATCTTAACATCTCAATGGAACACAAGGGGTTGGACGTTCCAAGAAGGTCTATTATCAAGTCGCTGCATCATCTTCGGGGCTGAACAAATCTACTTTGAATGTCAGGAGATGGCTTGCTGTGAATCAATTCATGACCGTGACTCGAGAAGGACCGAGCAAAGTAAGAAGTTTCCACACAAGAGTCGTCTTCGCAACCCACTGTTATATCCTTATGACTTCAAAGAGACGTATTGGCGTTTGGTTCGGGACTACACTGGTCGCGACCTTACCTTGCCCTCGGATGCCCTTAATGCATTTGCGGCGCTCGCGAATGTACTTGAACAGGACGGTCACAAGCTATTTCAGGGAATGCCGATCTCCGAAACGATAGACTACTTGCTGTGGGAGCATGAGCCTTGGGACTTTCGCGACATTCACAGACGCAGAGATTTTCCAAGCTGGTCGTGGGCTGGTTGGTGTGGGACGGCCGCCATGAACATACCTTTCGACGCAATATCAGAAGCAGACTCGGTTTGCGAGGTGATTGGCAAGCCATCACATGGTCATTGTCTCAGAATCAATGCACGGACTGCTCATGTCAGCGTAACATGTCATGGACCCATTGGTTCTATCATTGAAGCTTCAAAGTCATCTGTTATAATGGCCCGAGGAATGCTTGATGAGCCGATCTCTGGACCACAGATCTACATACTGATGGAGGTATTCAGAACAAAACACATTACACAAGGTCTTTTATTAGAGCGAAAAGGGGAGGTATATGAAAGGGTCGGATCGGGCCATGCAAAATTCATCAACTTGGAGAATATTCGGTTTCAATGGCAAGAATTGTGGCTTGCCTGATAAAGATCCAAGAAGGCACATTATTGTGCAAAAGGATTAGTTGGTGCTGTTCTCTAATATATGGGTCGAGCACCTCCACTCCACCACCTGTACTCTCTTCAACAATGATGATTCCGCGAGCAGTGATCATGACATCCAAATACCAGCAATACAGAACAATAGACCTGATTGCAATGAGTTCATGCTCGCAATCCAGGGCGGGATAAAGGCTGTATCTGAGAGGGTGACGACCAGCTAAGAGGATTGGACGATGATGTGACGGGCTGCAAATGCGGTGCCCAGACAGGCCCCGAGAGCGGGCAATCTTAACGCGTAAGGGGATCATGTTGCAACTATGCGATGCGGGGCGGAATAACTAATGTCCGGGGCAGCTCATGGATCTTTATATATTAAAAGAACAACTATCAACCAACAATAACTAGTTTATATATATATAGCTTAATATACTTTAAAGGTATATATCTAACTAATTTTTAATAATTATTATTAAGTATTATATCTGTATAATAGCGATTTATATTAGTAATAAACTAGTAATAAAATATATTAGCTATTTATTACTAAAGCCTAGATTATATAATTACAATATTCTTTTCTAAAACTATTTTTTAAATAATAAGTAAAAAATTTAATTTTAATTATAAATACTTAAAATAGTTTTTATTTAATAGCTTAATAAATATATTTATAAGCTAGTTTTTTATATTAATATATTCTACCTTTAAAAGACTTTTTTATATATATTTATAGATATAGTAATATTAAATAACAATATACTTTATTTTTTAATAAAATTTAAAGTTCTTAGTAAAAGTAATATTCTTAGAATTATTACTTTTTAATAAAATAAAATATTTTTTATTAAAATTAGTTTTATTAAATTATTATAAAATTTATATATTAAATTTATTTCCTTTATAGAATATTATATATTTAGCTTTAGTTATTAATATAATTACTATATACTATTTTTAAATATATTATATATATAATATATTATAATAAATTATTATATAATTATAAATTAATTATTTATTTATATAATTATTTATATATAATATATTTATATAATAAGCAGTAGTAGTGTCACGGATTATATAAGAGTAGGATGGGAATGTCCTAATTAGGCTTAGCTCCGCCCTACCCGGCTTGGCATGAGGCCCTACTTCCACTACAATCCTTAGATAGTTTAATAATTAATTTATTATTAACTAACTATATTGTATATATTGCTTATTAAGGTCTCTATGCACTGCGTTTCCTTATAAGTAGGGTTTTATAATAAAAATATAATTATTAAATTAAGAACTTTTTTAAAATGTTTAAAAACTTTTATTAATAAATTTATATACTATAATAATATTATTAATATAAAATATAATTAAATATATTTATTTATTATTTATTATTTTCTTAAAAATATAACTATTTATAAATATAAAAAAGAATTTAATTACTTAAATTTAAGCTAATTACTTTAATTTATATAAGTTTTTTTTAAGCTTTAAAACTTTTTATTTAATTACTTACTATTTAATATATTTTTTAATAAAAGTATAAAAATTTTAGTATTAAGGTTACTATTTAAATAAGTTATTATAATATTAATAAAAAATATTTATAATTTATATTTTACTATTAAGCTAATAAGTAAATAAAGAAACTTAAATTTAAATATTAATATAAATATTTTATTATAATTAATTCCTTTTTTTTATATTAATTTATAAGCTACTTAATATAATATAGTAAAGCGTAGGCCTAAAATAGATATAGTAATAGATATATTGTCTAGAATTATAATCTTATTATTATTTAAAACTACTAAGATCTAAGATTAATCTAAGATGCAGCTAAGAGCGGAATTAGTTCTAGACAACTAAAACTACTCTCCCTATCAATGCCTACTAAGAATAAAAAGACTAACATCTATATTAGATATATTTAGGGTAGTAATTACTTAGGGTAATATATAATCTAAATAATAATTAATACTAACTAAAAGTTCTAATAGTTATAATAACTATTTCTATACTATATTATATTATATAAAACACTAATATAAGCTAGTATTTAAAAAGAATATTTATTATTAATTATATTAAAAAGTACTTTTAGATTATTATAACTAGTGCAGTTGACTGCGCCCTTATTGCTATATAGTAGGCAATTTAATCTATTGTTGTTCTAGAATATACTGTTCTAGAACATATTATTTTAAAATATATTATAATTATAGTATATTCTATTTATTAATTAGGTGTATAGCGTTGTATTTATCTATAAGATTCTTTACCCTATTAATAAGGTTATTATAGTAATACTAAACATTATATTTATAGTTAAATATTTTCTACTTTATTAAATAGCTAAGCTTATTATAATAGATTTTCTATTTTAATAGTTTTTTAATTTTATATTAATTATTTTTTTTAAAACTTTTAACCTTAACCGCTAGTGTTTCTTCCTAATATACTTAATTATAAGGATTCTTTTTTTATATTAATATTTTTTCTAGCTATACTATTAATATTATAGGGTAAATATTTATAATTAATAGAAATTTAAGTTAATATATTATTTTATTAACTTTTTTAAAAACTTTAAAAAGTTTAACCTATTATTACTTTAGCTTATAATTATAAAAGCTTAGAATTATATATTTTTTATATAATATTAAATAAATACTATTACTAGGGTAAAAATCAACGCTAATATATTATTAATTATATTAAATTTTCGTTATAGTATTTATAAATAAAAATATATTATTAGTTTCTTTTTTTTTAATTAGGCGTAGCTAATTAAAATCTTCTAATAATAAATTATTTAATAAATTTATAATATCCTTTACTTTAAAGCTATAAACAATTTTATTTAAAGTGAAATTAGTTATAAAATAAGTAGAATTATTAAATAGAGTACTAATAAATAAGAAAATATTAATTTAATTAGCATAGTCTAGCTATAAATAATAGAATCTTAAAACGATTTCAATTATTTAATTAGTTTTTTCTAATTAATTATTAGTTTAGAAGTAATATACTATTAATATAAATAGTTCTAAACTTAATATCTAAAAGATTATACACTAGAACAACAATATAAACTATATATTATAGTCTAAGATAAAGCGGCCTAGAACTCTTTAATCCTAGAGTAAAAGCTTTTTTAATATAATATTAGCTTATTATTTAACTAACTAGTTTTTTTTTCTAGTAATTAAAAATATTTTCTTTAAAAACTTATAAGTTAAAATAAAGAGTATATCGAATTTATCTAGTTTAAACCTTAGCAAGTTTATAATAAAGTTTATAGTAATAGTAAAGAACGGAATTTATAAGGAAACGCAGTATATAGAGACCTTAATAAGCAATATATATAATGTAGTTAATTAATAATAAATTGATTATAAGCTATCTAATAAGCTATAGTAGAAGTAAGGCCTTATACTAAGCCGGGTAGGGCTAAGCTAAGCCTAATTAGGATATTTTTATCCTACTCTTATTATAATCCGTAATAGTATACTATTAAAAACAATAAAAAATAACGTCTTTATTATAAATATAGCTTTATTTTTATTTATATATATCCTAGCTCTTAAAAGAAACTATCCTAGCTTAATTCTATCTAGATTTAGTCGAGTTTTAATTGAGATTTAATTATATTATATTAGGAAAAACGCCTATTTCGTTAGAGGCTATAGCGACAGCAAAGTTAAGCTAATTAAGTTAAGGATTATATCGGAGGAATATATTAACGTATAGAAGGAGCAATAGTAAGCGGAAGCTAATTAGTTAAAAAAAGTATTAAAAATCGGAAGTTATTTAAAATTAAATTTAAAAGTTGTAAAGAAATATAAGATTGCAAAATAACTATATAGTTAAAAAACTATAGTTTAAATCGTCTAAAACTAACTTAAAAGCTATTGATAAGCCCTAAGCTATATAAACTATTAACTATTATTATAATAGTAAGTATAACTAACTTAATTATAGTAGTAATTGCTACCTATAGTAAACTAAATATTTACAAATATATATTCCTTATTATTATATATATTTTTTATATTTTATAGCGTATAACTAGGACTATAAGCTATAGAACTAATTACGCTAATATAAGTATCTATTACTGCGTTATATTCTTACTTTTGTCCGCTTCTATTAATAAAATAGACGGCTATAGATAGCGTTTTTTCCTTAGCATTTATATAATAAGCTAGCTATGTTTACTAATATAGTAGCGCTAATTGATACTATTAATATTAGGGCTAGAGATTTTGATTTTAGGGAAAACAATTTAAAAACTAATTAGATGAGCTTAGGTAAGTAGGAGGAGTAAAAAGGGCTTTTATTAGCTAATTCTACTATTGCTATAGTAAACAGTAAAAAAGCTAGTTGCTAGGGGGATTAGGCCTAAAATGTTATTATTTATAGGCATAAATATTATACTAAATCGGCTAGAAATAAGCTAACTCCTTTAAGAAATCGGTATAGTTTATATAAGAATATAGAGGCTAAAGGCTAATTTTTAGCTTATTATTAAAGCAATTATAAGCTATTATAATAGCGTTATAATTTAGGAGTTTAAAGCGCTTAGCAGTAATTATAAAAGAGTTAGCCTACTTAATAGTATCTTTATTGCTAATAACATTACGTTTTATATAGCGATTTCTTAGTAAATTATCTAAAAACTAGCTATTAGTCTGCCTAAAGCGTTTTTACAAATCTTTAACTAAGATGCTTAAGTTATTTACGTTTAAGACCTAGCATCTATATTCGTTAATAAGCTTATATTGCTACTAAATATAAGCCTTATTTAAGCTACTTATCGAAAGATCTTCGCCTAGGAATAAAATTATAATATAATCCAATATTATCTTTGCTCCTTTAACTTTTACTACTACTTTAATACGTTCAATAAAGCTGTAGATATTATTATAATTATTTCTATTAAAATAGCTAATATTTAATTAGCGGAAGCGGTCTACTAATAAG